ACATCCTCCCTGATTCACATCCTCCCTGATTCACATCCTCCCTGATTCACATCCTCCCTGATTCACATCCTCCCTGATTCACATCCTCCCTGATTTACATGTGACTACACACATCTATCGAGAGTTGCATGAACCCGACACTCCCGACGAAACCGTAATCTTCCGTGCCCTGAAATAGTACTGTTATGTGGACTAGCCCAATTCAGTGATATTCGTGCTCTGCTACCCGCACCATAAAACCAAAGTTTGTACAGTAACCTAAGTACTAGGATTATGACAAGTGTTTACTTACAACACTAAGTACTGTTATTCCACTCCGATGATCAGATCAGATCAGATCCCTATCCGACCTGAGAGCGATATAGATCTAATTCTATATTAATCCTCGATCGGTCGCACCTATAAAGAGCAATACTATAGCTAGAGAATTTCAGTATTATAGGAGGAGGGTGACTCATGGTCTTGCAAGGTGTTTGTAATACTGTATGTACAGTACTTAATGGGAACGCTTCTCACATCAACACTTAGTTCGAATGCGACATTGTCAGCTGGAGAAGTAGCAGGGTCTGACCGTTATACTGACCGAAAATTTATCCTGGAAAGTTTTTATTGGGTGACCCCTTCACAGCCTTAACAAGCTGCAACATGTCATGTGGCTATTGGTGGTCTGTTTGCTGGAATGGTGCTAGGTTGTTACTGTGGAAGGCACTTTAGGGCCGCTCTTCCAGAGGTGGCTTCCCCCATGTTAATGGCCAGGCAGAACCTGACTTCGAGTTCTCGATTTCAATGTTCCTTATACGTGACCTCGTAGCTTTCTTCCTCGGCGTGAATCGACCAACTGTAAAGTTGTGGTGGCAATGGAGTGTCCTTGTGAGGCTTCGCGTCCAACGAGGAGCTGTTTAATGGGAGACGACAGTGGAGAAGGGGAGTGGCCGTCGTAAGTATAGTACTGTGCTCCGACGCGAGATCCCTTTGCTCAGTGCCTGCAGGGGGGAACGTAAATACTGTACTGTACTTACTACAGTATACATGTAGCGCTGACGTTGTGGGCTTTTCCGTATGCTCTTTTCTGGCAGTCTAGTAAATCGCCTACTACTATGTACGTATTCGAGAAGAGTCGAGCGCATTATATGTCGCGGCCTCCGCCATAGTAATATAAAGTGATAAGGGTTTGTTTTGTTGATGACGAATTTGTGTAAATCGGCCTGTGCCAGATGGGGGCGTCCGCATGAAAAACACTTTCCAGGCTCGAATCAAGGAAACCGACAAGAGGCGGATGACCTGAAAGTAAAGCTTTGGCAGAGTGGATTCCGCTGGACCTTTTGGCAGCCGAGGCCATTTGTATTCGGAATCACTTGAGAAATCTTTACTTCGTCAGGCCAGATCTTGCACAATCCAGTGATAGCAACACACATGCTTTTGTTGCCAAATGAAAGACAGCGTCCAAAGTCTTGGGTGGAATGTTCAGCGAAACCAGCGGAAGTAAGTACGAAGTAAAGTACATAGTGTCCAGTGGGGTACACTCCTGTCTGGGATTGCAACTCGCCTGTGTCTCCAGCTTTTTGGCATTGATGTTCGCGCCGCGACCATGGCAGTCAGTTGTCGGTTTCTCTTGCTCCTCGGTGCGTCCGATGTAGGATGTGATTGTGTTAGCGTGGAGACTTTCTTCGTCCGCTGTTTGAGAGGATACTGGTGGGTTGGTTTGCTGGGTTCGAGCAGAAGTCAGCTTGTGATGACAGTTTCTTGAGGGACGGGTACAGTATACAGACTTCAAGCTTCAGACTGAACTCATATTGCACTCAATTGTGATCGTCACTAGTATATGCTTGATCTTGCGAAGATGCGAATGGTTTCAGAAGGTTCTTTAGTAATCCCTCTCTTGGTCATGAGAGACGCCTGCCTGCAATGGCGTCGGCACTGGCGCTGCAGGTGGTTTTGTGAATGGAGCATTGCCAGAAACATGAACGAGGACGTGCAGTGGACAGCGGGTGGTGTGGTAGCCTGCCAAATGCTTCGCCAACATCGAGGCTACGAAAGGGAAAAGGACGAAACGGGCGAAGGGAGGTGATCTAGCGTACTGTAGCTCGAGGTAGATCACCGACCGGGAAAGGATACTTAAATACTGTAAATAGCGGCTGTGAAATGAAGCAAGAGGACGAAAACCCGACCTGCACTCGGTAGTATGGTACAGTAAGAACAGTGGGTGACGAGTGACTGAGGACGAGGAGCTGCTACTTGAAGTGTAGGTGAGGATAAACAGAAAGCGAGCCGATAGTTGTTAAGTTACTATGTACAGTAGATCTCGACCGAGGGAGCTGTATGTGACTGCAGATGGAGGAAATACATACTGTAGTTGCCTTCTTGGAATGAACTTGGAGAGGTTGCTTTCCGTCACAAGAATACAAGGCGCTTCTGCTTTTAGAGAAGGTGTTGAAGGTTCTGGGCGACTAAGATTAAAGAGCAAATCCTATCCAATGGATTTTGTAGGGCTGATGCCGCCAACCAATCCAAGACAGCTCATTGCGCTTTAAAAAGGATATTCCTCCAATCATCTTCTATTGCTTCGTCATGGGACAACTTGTTGGGTTTCCTTTGAACAGCCTCTCAACGGATCCTCTCGAGATCTCTTCGTGGTGATGAACCATATTGCCATGCTACAGCTCATTGCGATTTTGAAAAGGATAAAGAATGCTCCAGTCAGAGACATTTTCATTACTTCGCACATGGGGCATCTCCCTTCATTACAAATGGGATCCATCCCTCAAGGCAAAAGACATACGCAGCCTCGAGCATCCAGCCCTCTGTACTCCGTTTTGGGTCCAGTGACTCTCCACGCACTACATATTGCTGACTGTACTCCCAGGCTCACAACAGGATCTCGCCGGAGCCATTGGATCCAAGAAGATCTCCAGCATCACTCGCTGGTGACTCTACCATGACGCTCGCCTTCGTCTGCCCTTGAAGGACAACCAACCTCATCTTATCCGGATCATGGAGAGATTTCTGCTGGAAAGTCCTACTGCTCAATCAGACATCTTTAATCGGCCTGACAATTGGCTTGTTGTTGACCTCTGAGGGATGCCTCGTCTGGAAATCATTGAGCCTACTAGGGTGCGACCCGTCTGGGATCGAACGTCTCCACGGTCCTGTAAGCCATGAACATTCCATCCTCATCCACATCTTGTCATCCAGGACGCAGGCCGTCAGATGTAGCACCAAGGTCGACGTGGCGGTTCGAGTGGTCATCGTCATTATCATCGTGGAGGCCATCGCAGTAGGGAAATTTCAAGTTTCGAAGAGAGGGAACCGACGTGAATTCGGAGGCTGAGAGAGAGGCCTGGATCGTTGATGTTCCAGAGCAGGTCACGAGCGTGCACCATTGGGTAGAGACCTGTCATATCATCATCTGGTTGCCCAAAATAAACGCTCCCCCACACGTTCGAACCTGCGCTCCACCAGTTCAAGTCGTCATCCTCGAAGGCGGAGCGCTCCACTACGAGAGTCCATGAGGCCTCACTTAGGACCGGCACGACTCGCAGGATAGAGCATACCCTGTAATGCTGAGCAACGTTGCGCTGAAATCAAGAGAAACATTAGAGACAGACCAAATTGATGTATTCAGCCGGTGTTCTGATCCTCGACAACAGCCGTGATCGGAAATCATCGTTAAGCCACAGTACTCGCCTGAATGCAAGACGGCAAAGATCGAAGCTACCCCAGACCGTTCCGAGTCATAAATCCGTGATGGGCCGTCCCACTGCTCCTCTCACTCGCGCAAGAATGAAGAAGTGAAGCAGGAGAAAGACAAGGTTCCAAGTCGCGCCGAAGTACAATGACGGCGCCGCAAGGCCAGCAGCAACCAATTTGAGAAGCTAGTACCCGACTCTTTGACGGACAGATTGTATTGTCTGACATACTCACTGGCTACTGTGGGAGTTCAGGAAATCTCAACCGAGTGCATCCAACGAGCTGGTTGAGTTGCGGACTTCCTCCTCCCACCCAACTAGCGCCGTCGTCTTTCTCTCCACAACCAGTACAACACATCAGACAACAGTGAGACCCCGGTTCGTCACTGAGTAACACGGCATGTTTGGTCGTCAGACAGGACTTCGGTGTCAAGCCGCTTTCCCCGCGTTTTCGACCAGACCCAACCACTTCAAGCCACCTCGTACAGTGACCTTAAGCTTCCCCGACTCGCCTGAACTGGTGGCCCGATCTCTGACGTACTCACACAGGATATAAAGTATCGATTCAATCGATATGGCATCTCCTAGTCTGAAATACTGCACGCTCAATCCTTTTGTCTTCATTTTCCTAATCTGCTACGCCAGGTTAAGTCCCAATGGCAGCTACAGTCACGGCACCCAGTCCCCAGGACCTCCCCGAGGAAGTTCGTGCAATCCAAGGCTTCATTCCCCAGCCCATGCTGGGCTGGCTTCGCCAAACTCCCGCGGACACGCCAGTGGAGGAGATTCGCCGCCGGCTGTTCGAGGACGAGTACGTCTTTGTGAAGGGTCTCCTGCCTCGCGACGATGTGCTCAGGACGCGCGAGCACTACTTCTCGCAATTCGAGTCCTTGAAGCTGTTAAAGCCCGGTACCGCAGCAGTCGAGGGCATCTACAACTCGGCTGAAGATCCTGCACTGCACAATGGTATCGGCGGTGGAGAGCCCACAGGGAACGACGAACTGCAGCGGCTTGTCGAGGCGCACGTCCAGCAGCCGTATCTGGACTTCGTTGCCCATGCAAAACTGCGTGGCATGGTCCGCGATCTCATGCAATGGGAGGAGGAGGTCCTGGTCAAGAGGACCATGCTGCGTCACAACATCCCTGGCGGGCAAAGCACCGGTGTCCATTATGACAAGCTCTTCCTTCGAGGCGGGGATGCCTTCTTCCTTACAGCGTGGGTGCCGATTGGTGACATCAGGCCGCAGGGCGGCGGGTTGGTTTACCTAGAGGAGAGCACGAGGCTAGGGAAGGCCATTGAGGACGACTTCTACGCCCGCGCGCAGAACTTCACCCTCGAGGAGAAGATCTCGGCGTTTAACCGCAACATGACCGCGACCGGCGTCCTGTCGATGGACCCGATGGTGTTTCAGCGAGACAATGAGCATTTGTCCCAGAAGACGAGGTTTCGCTGGCTCGTGGCCGACTACGAGGCCGGTGATGTGGTCTTCCATTTACCGTACACCATCCACACCGCTGCTGCCAATGACGATCCTGGTGGCCGTATCCGGCTGAGCACCGACTTGCGGTTCTACAGCAAGAAAGATGTTGACGCGGGGGCGACGGATGAGAGGTGGAATAAATACTGGACACCTGGTGACGGACTTTAGGGTGGTCGAGATCAGTGAAGTGACTATCATCACACGACTGCGACTGAGATGACTCTCAGCAGCCTTGAATCGGCTCTCATCATAACCCCGTCGTTGGACGCGTGCACCGCCTAGTAGGGCCCTGAGCATACAGTGTGTCAACCACGACCCCTTCGTTCTGTTCAGGCCAGTTTCCTACATCCCCAGTCCATGCCAATTCCTATTTACCGCACGCGACCCGAGTCTCGGGATTCTTGGAATTCTACTCCACCTGTCTGCCGTTTTGCCGGGAGCGCAGAGATCCCCAATGGCACTGCCACGGAGGCGGTGCGCGTGCCTCATTAGCCCTAGTTAAGGCGATGCGACCATCTGGCCCCACCGAGCGCTGCGTCGATCCTATTGTAGCTTAGGGCTTGCTTTATTCCCCAGCTCGTCCAGCCCTGCACGCGGCGGAGCCTGGCGTGGTTTCGAGTGATCGACAACTTTCGCTACACCGTTGCGTCATTCCACCAAGGCGAACACCACATGCCCACCACGTACACAGTACTCCGTACCAACACTCACACGGCGATCTTGGCCTAGAGGTAGTCGAAAGCCTCATACCATGTAGGTATATCTGTCCATGCGCGACCTCCAGTAGCTGTTGCAAGTCTCTACCCAAGGATATCCTCTGTCTGCATAGATTGGCCAGCCATAATTGCCTAACTCGCCCCACCGAGCCCAATAATCAAGAAACTCGACATGAAGAGCCTCTTCAGCAGATTTGTGGAACAAAACCCTCCAGGCGGCTTTGCGTCCACCCAAGCAGTACCCTCCAAAACCAACCAAGACAAAGCCATCGCTGCTCAAGCTCAGGCATACCAGGAAGAAGAACAGGGACTGGGCGGGGTCGACTTCCCCGAGTCCCTCGGCGACACCCGCAAGTTGCAGGTCCAATACGACGGTTACTGGAATCTGCACACGACCATCCGCGTTACGACCGCCGATAACCTCGACGTACCCACCGAGCTGTACACGGTCGACGCCCGCCACCGCAAACCTCAAATGAGAATCCGGTCGCCGGCACGCAACGTCGAGGTCGCGACCGTCGTCTTCCACTTCACCAAAACGCGCATCGACGTGACGTTGCACGGTCAGCAGTTCTCGCTCGAGTCTGGCCGCATGAACACACGATACTCGTACACGTCCGGGGCAATGGGCGGGGAGAAACTGACGTGGCAGCCGCGCAAGAAGCTCGACCCGCTGAACATGGTGCTGTTGAATGGGCGGGGAGGTGCGATCGCCAGGTTCAAGCCCGAGTACTGGGGGTCGAAGCGTGGTGGGGTTCTGGAGTTGTTGCCCGAGTGTTGGACGACCGACGCCATGATGGAGGAGGTGCTGGTCGTGGCCCTCGCCGTCATCCACTGGAGGGAGACGCAGAGAATTAGTGCGGCGAACTCGTCTGTGTCAGCATAAGTACTGAGTGCATGTATGATGTATGGTGCATGGATGTAAGAGTATGTGTCTGTTGTGTCTCTGTGGCTCCGCGCCCGCGGCACGAGATGCGGCCACAAAAAGGTGTGGTCAGGGGGACTGGGAGGATCATGCGATCGAGGGAGTTCAGGGCTCGGTAAAGATGCCGTTCAGTTCGCGGTTCCCGTACGACGGGAGAGCCTCTGAGCAGGGTGGAATGGAAGATGTCCGGCGTTTAGGGTGCACGTTACTGTCTGTAACTCTGTGGCGCGTTCCTTCAGGCATGCGACTATAGGGAGGAGCTCGGGAGTACTGTACGTTGAAGATAAGTCTACTGGACCGAGCATTGGCCGACGGCACTGGATCTGAGGATGAGCGTCTCGCATCTCAGGCGAAGTTCAGTCTGTAGTGTTCGAAGCATTCTTTCCAAAGTGCAACTGTCCTCGCACTGAATGTCCACTGTATACATACTTACACAGCCCGGAGAGTTCATCGATTTGTGACTTAATGTCACAGACAATCCTCAATGGCGGCCGAATCAAAAGTGAGAAAACACGTTGTCAACTCTAGGTCTCATTAAGAGAGCTAATTACTCATATTCGACGCCCTAGTCGAGGAGCGGCCGGAACCACCCAGAATGGCAAAGTAATGACGTCTGCAACTAGGGGATTTCGGCACGCCAGCAGCGGCTAGGCTTAACCAGGCCAAGGCTACGCCAGGGCGGCTCAGAGGATCTCGCCCTGTCCACCGCGGAAGCGGTCGGCGCGCTGATAAAGGGCTCAATAGCCTCAGGTACGAGGCAACCAGGACGACGAATAACCATCGTCGAACATGGGTTATGCCCCGGGCTTCCGCCTCAAATGGCCCAAATTTCTGCCGCAACGTCAACGACTCTCGTAATGGAGTTTGCTGAGTCAACGCACAGTTTCCGCTCTCCCTTTCTGGCGCCCTGGACGTACATTTTATTTGGAGGCCATGTCGCCCGTGTCTCGCCGGCTTCAGAATGACTGGGAGAGGTTGCTAGACGAACGAGCGAGTCTATATTGTCCATGTCCGGCCCGTGGCATATCATGGAGGAGGAGAAACGAAGCCCTCAGCCTGCTGATGTCAAATTCGGCGATCGCGACGACGGAGATGCAGCACTCGACCTCGATGCCGGGGGAGAGATGCCAGTGCACCGGCGGAACTACACCAGTGGAACGCCTGACAGTGGCACAACCCTAGACGCCCCTAGCGAAGCAGGCGACGAGAAGGACGCGTCCGTGCCAGTGCCGCTACAACCCGCCAACAATGACACGACCAGTCCACCACCCAGGCCGGCACTGCAGGAACGCACCATGACCTACGCCTCGAATGCCTCGGGGCTGAGGGAGCTGCCTCGGTTGAAACGAAAGGAGACAAAAATGATGCAGAAAGAGGCGCATCCAATGCAGCATCTCGGCATTACACTCGGGTTGCCGGCTATTCTGATCTTCGACATCGTGGTACCGTGCATCATCTACTACACGTGGTGGAACCGCCATAATCGCCAATGGAAAAGGCAATGTCGGGAGCAACATGGCAGCCTCCCTCGATCACAGTGTCCGATCCCCAAGCCGGAATACGACGAAAATATCCTCGGCTACGCAATCATTTCATTTGGTGCCGGCGAACTCTGGATCTTGATAGCAAGGGTATATCGGCTTTTTGTCCACACCGAGGACTGCGCGCCTTTGTTGTCAAGGAGCAGGTGGGAGCTAGATGCCACGTCCTGGGTATATGGCGTCGCCATGATTTTGGCCTTGATCCCTTTCGTTGTCGGCAGCTCCTTGGTCAAGCCGCATCTCTACCTCTATTCGCCGACATTTATAATGGGCTTCCTCGGCATGTTGATGCTCATAACAGAGCTCTTCCCCTTCGTGAAGATCCCGGTTGGGATAAACTCGCAGCCTCGAGGCACGAAGCTGCGACCATTCATTTACTACGCTGCCGAAGATTTCATTGCTGTCGACGGACTGCAGGACCGCGAGTTTCGTGTCCGTTACAACGACCGATACGAGAACAATAAGGCTTTTCGGAATATGTTTCGATACTTGACTTGGTGGTGGCTGTTCGGGGTGTGCGTTTATATCGGGAGCGTGTCCGCCGTCATCTGGACCTTGGAGTTCCACTACGCGTTTGGGCTGTCGTTGGGGGTCCTGTTCTCGTACATTGCCATCTGGGCGGCTGTTTCTTATATGTGGGTGAAGATGGAGATTGATCGGGAGCACAAGGCGTTTGAGGAGGGCAGGTGGGAGCCATAGTGAGCGGATCGACTAGACAACAGTAATGGTAGTAATAATGGTAAGCAGCACCGGAGTCTTGCTTGCTGGGACAGGTACTTGGACAGTATGCTGGTGAAGGGATATTCTCAGGAACCGACAACTTGCTGTCAGAATGCGAGACTACTGGTGCCGTTGTAGGCTACAGCCCAGGCCCTCTCGGCCCTGCAGTGTGACAGTCGGAGACTGGTGGCGGCACGTGGCACGCTGCCGGAAAAGGGCTCCGTTGTAAAGGCGCCAATGACGTTGTCGGCTCTCACTCAAGCCCATCTCTTCAGGCCTCATCCTTGTCTGCGTCGGCATCGACCATCATCACTCTGATGTTGCACGGGAACGACTTCCATGACGCTGCACCACTTCAATCCGCACCTCAAAATGCAACGTGCGATATCCATCATGACCTGCGACCCTCGCGGAGCGCTTGTGCCAGTTTCAAGTAGAGTCGTGCACCTCGAAATGCCACCGAGTCGGTTAAGGCTTCATCGAAATCATGTCCGACACCATTGAACAGCATAGCAGCCTGGCGCCGTCTCCTACTCGGCTCCGACCAGAATCACCGTGTCCCAACTTCTCCCGTCCACGACGGGGCCATCAGCGGAGCTATTCGACCGGGCTTCCTTTCGCATACACGAAAGGCGCCATGGGCAAGAGCCAACAGGCTGCATCTCGCCAAACAAATGGCAAGTATCACGCAGACCATGCATTGATTGATCCTGTGTTGGGGCAAACCCGTCGCGCGTTCGAGACAGTGGACGATGGAACGCTGGAATGCTCTCTGAAGAGAAACCTCGCCAACGAGCGCCACTGTGGAGAGCAAGATGTGAGGGATGCTTTCGAGAGATGGATTCTGTCCGACAAGGCCCGCAAACGGCTCAAGCAGCCATATTTTGCCCGTGAAGATTCAGACCCTCAATACTCTCCAGACTCGGTGCATCTTTCGGGTGTGCGCGGTGGCCTTGCCCACGAAGATGGTCAGGAGGAGGGACCCTTGTACGAGAAGGTTGATGGGGTCGTTATGGACGCCCGTCCCGGGGGGTCGGCCGGTCCGTATGCAATGGAACAGACACTGCCGGAGATCGAGGCGCATGACATTCGCGAGATTCAAGACAGGTCGACCAATAGGTCCGTTGGCTCATCAGCAGCTGAAGATTTCCAGGCGCCCCTCTCGTCTTCGTCGACCGATTCCAGTAGGGAAAGGAGTGGAGCGAGCCCTCAACTCTGGTCAGAGAGCTCGGGGTCAGTATCCACAGCATCCACCGACAATGGCGTGCTGAAGCCCTACCAACATATCTCGAAAGAGTTCATGCCATCTTCTATGGATGAACGCGAAGAAGGCCGCCAGCATAATAAGGGCTCCCAGGGTACATTGCCTCCTGGTATTTCAGAGCTAGACAGCGGACAAATCCCATCGGCCGAGCTGCAATCTACTAATGCAGTAACTATATCGCCTTCACCGTTAGGAGTTATTGGTGAAGAGGAGCGGAAGAATGTCACCAACAGTCGGGTTTTGAATACTGCGTTAGTCCCCAACGTCAAAGGTGTCAGAGATGGGGAGATTATGGGTCATCTGCCGAGAGCTTCAGCAACGGCTAGGAAAATAAGCGAGCCCTCTATGACTTCCAGTCCTCAGCACGCCACCTCCCAGAGCCACCTTGACTCGCCGCCGAGGGTGCTCGGTGCCGCGGGTGTTGGTGGCAGCGGGCAGGTCTATGAACTCGAGGCGACGGCACCCCTCAAACCTGGCAACAATGGTATCAAATTTTCCGCGCCTCCCGTTGACCATGACAGTACTGTCGATGAGCCGAATGCCTTCACTAAGCTAGAGCATGGCATCTCCAGAGCAGCGCACGCCGTCCATCTTAAAGTGAAGAAAAATGTCACATTCAGCAAAGTCGATGATGTGAGGTTCAGGACGCCGTCACCACATCCTTCCTCACTGGACAATACAAGCGCCGTAGAGGTCGACCACGAGCGACGAGTCTGTGTGAACCCATAATGGTGTCGTCGTCATGGTTGGGGAATATGTTCCACCTAACGCGGCCCAACTCCTGGCATCCGTCACGAAGGGACTTGCAATGAGTTGGAACATGGATCCTTGTTGATTCTTTTGCAATAGCGTCGGGACTGGGTCACAACACCGACGGGCACGACATCGACACGCGAGACTCAACCTCCGAGGTTCGGTTTTATTCTCAGCTGCGACCTCCAACTGGGCTCAACACCTAGTAGGTGACAGCAACCCAGGCTCTCGCGCAAGTACAGCCAGACTGCCCCCTGAATCGCTCTTGGATTCCTATATTTTGGCTGCTATGGTTTCCGTGGTAGGTTCACTCTGTGAGGGATTTCGAGGGACTGGCACCACAGCCGTGGGCGTTTCCAACACCGTACTCCCAACACGACATCGGTTATCTGGTTCAACCTATCAATCGCTCACGCCTTCACGGGATGCAGTGAACTCTTTGACGCTCGTGGAGATCATGAAATGTTTGTCGAGTGGCTTTCCGTGGATGTGTTTGTCCAGGCGAAACAATCAAGAGCAATCCCCTGAATAATTCTGGGCGCATTCTCTCCTGGACCCTGCCGGAGCCGCTTAGATCCCATCCTGCCCATTTCTTCACCATGGCAAGTCGATCACCCGAAACGATGGATGGTTTCCCTCCAGAAATCCTCCTGCAGGTGCTATGCGAGGTCAAAACCAGTCCGTGGAAGTGTGACGACAGCTCGTTCCTCATTTCACTTGCCGTTTGTCGGAGGTGGAATGATGAGGTGGAATGATGTAGAGGAAGGGAGCAGAGGAAGGGAGCAGAGGAAGGAAAGACGTGTTGTGTCAGCATTGGAGTGCGAAATTCCAAAAAGCCCTAGAATAAAGTAAAGGCTAACCTAACCTAACCTAATGTGTCGCTGCCTGTCTTGGCTTAGCGTCACTAACTAGGCAGGCCAGGCCAGGTTGCTCGCGCAGAGTGATTGGAGCGAGCGCCTTTTATCTCTTTGACTTTCTGTGCAGGCCACCACGTTTGACCCCCGTCGCGGTACGGAGTACAGTCAATGCCATATGTGTGCTGGCTGGCTTTGAGACGAGCTGGACTTGACTTAATATCCAAAAAGCAAGAGCAAGAGCAAGAGCAAGAGCAAGAGCAAGAGCAAGAGCAAGAGCAAGAGCAAGAGCAAGAGCCAAGTCATTACTGAATGGGAGAGTTGAAATCGGGTATCTTATTAGCTGTCGCCAGCGCTCACGTTTTAACCTGTGAAACCGAAATTACCAGCGTCACCACTGCTCAAAGCTGGTACACATGCCTGAACACCGTGCCAGAGAGTCCCGTCTCGTCCCTGAAAAGGCCCAGATGATCAATAATGGAGTTGCGAAGCACATCGCTCATTCAGAGAAACCCCGAGAAGTTCGTTGATCTCGCCGTAAAATCAAAGGCGGGTCGCGCTGGAGCGGTTAGACTCGCAGCAGAGTACCGTTGCCACCGTGGTTTAGAAAAACCCATGCTCAGACCTTGGTTGTCTTCACCACCCTGGTATCGATAGCATGGCCCCAGCCATAAAACCTACAATCTTCACCATACCAGCACCCATTCTCGTCGGGCTTGTTCTGCGGACAACGATGGCCATAAATACACTCAGGGTCGCTACAGTCCATCTTATAGTAGCAAGGGGTCATGCGCGCTACTTCACGCAGAACATTCCGCTCCGCCTTGGAAAGCGGGTAAGTGTGTGAGTGGGAGCAATTGTTTGTGGTGCAATATGAGGAACCCTGGAGGTAAAAGATGTTGCAAAGCTTGAGTTTCTTGATGCGTTGGATCTCATGGTTGGGGATTGAGTTGTCGACTTTGTCAATGCGTTGACCGTGGCGGTTTCGGTCGATGGTTCTCGTCGACGGCTTGGCAGCGGCCGAAGCGGCGTCGGGACTCTTCAGTGAATTGGGGGTCGAGGTTCGCGTGGTGCTTGGCGGTTTGGAGGCTGGTGGCGTGGGTTGGGCGGTCAAGACGGCCCAGGTCACTGCCGGAGTGCTGGAACTAGAAGCGGTACCGGTTGTGCCATTGGAGTCGACACGTGCAAGGGCGGGCAGGGTTGCAGTGACGGCTTGTAGAGGACCCTTGGGCATCGCGGGTGCGGCGGCTAACTTTGTGGTTCGGAAGACATTTTCGAATTTGGTGGTTTTCAACGTCTCTTTGAATATTGCTAGGTCTCTGTCCAAGGGGGCAGCTTCCAGGAGGGTGACGTGGTTGATCACGTAGGGGTCTTTTATCGTTTCTTCAAGCAGCCTGGTATACTGGCTGTTGGTGGAGCATCCAAGTATGACCTGGTGACAATGGCAGTCGTAGAGACTGACTTTAAACTGATCGGTCACCTTTTCCCTGGTACTTTCTGGTCGCGTTCCGGCATCGACAAAATCTAACAGGCGCTGAGTGCTGTTCATGCCTCGCACGAACTCGTCAAACACAGTCTGTTTCTCAATGACTTTCAACCTGGCAAGGTGTTCGGACAACGTTCTAAAGTTTGCGTAAATCTTGGTGACGATCTTGGGAGAGTCCAGGTGGTGAAGGTGTTCGGCGATGAAGGTTGTAACACTGTCGAAAATCATATTTGCCGCCTCTTTACCACCATCCTCGCCTTTTGACAAAAGTTCTTTGGTGAAAATCATGCTATCGCCATCGAGGAGCACTGAGACGAAGGAGTTCCGATCCTGACATCACCGTTAGCCACCTCTTCTCTGACACGCTTGGTTGCGACGGCCGTACCATGACGAGCTTGACGGCGGCCAGTTGATCGCGGAGGGCTTGTTCGCGGAGCTGGCCTTCTCTGTTATATTGGGCTTCTCTGCTGTGATCGAGCTGCAGGCGATCGAACTGGTTTTGAGCGGTTTCAAGCTGGTACATCAAATCCTAGGGACGCTGTCAACGCGATGGCTCGGGATGTTTGAGCAGGCGGGTGTACCTCGATCAACTGGTTTTTGTCTTCTTCAAGGTTCCTGAGACGCTTGTGACGCTCCCGAAAAGACATTTGGCCCGTGATGGCACCCATGTCGCCGATGGCACGGCTGGATCTGAAGGAGCCGTTGCGGGAAGCGTAGTCTGGGCTGGAGTTCATGAGAGGATGGTCAAATGTGGGTGAGAACGGGTCGTAGCGAGCCATGTCGGGCATCGAGCGAGTGACAGTCAGGTGTTTGGGCAGAGAAATGGACAGTGTTGTGAGATAAGAGACGAGGCACAGAAGCCGAGGTGGTGGTTTTTAATTTGACGGGTTGTTGGATTGTTGGCGGTGAAGTACTGGAATGAGGCGCACACACAATATGCAGCCGCGCACCCAAGCACCAGGCAACTTTTTCTTAGTAGAACCTGGGGTTGCCTTTGGACGCGTTGTAGGTGGAGACCAACGGGGCCCTTTAACTGGCAGGGGCGTCGCCGGAAGCCCTTTAGCGTGTCCCGCGGCTGCAGCATGGGCCAGCGTCACCGGCGTCACAGGCGTCACCAGCGTCGGGCGGCTACGAAGACAAGCGGCTACCAACAGCAGCTGAGCTTGTCCCGATTGGGGGCGGTCGATGCGCCCACTGGGAAAATCCAAACTCTGTCTTTTTGCATAGCAACTGCCAACAGCTGGTTGACCCCATCTGCAACCTCTTTTCTCTGTCCAACTGTCTCCTGGGTCGCAAAAATGGGTCGCTTCTTGGATCTCGCTCTTCTGCTCTTTGGCTTCCAGGCCGCAGGCGTCTTCGCCCAAGCTAGCCCGGTAAGTTGCAGTGCGACCCTGCGCTGGTGTTAGACTCCTAGCTAACGACTCCCATTTCCAGGAGGTCGAAGAGGAAATCGAGAACCCATCGACGAGCCCGGCCCTTGCCGTCTCGGTCGAAGCGACGTTCCCGGACGCTGAGATCTTCGGCATCAAGATCACGAACGGGAAGCCCTACGAATCGCGCCTCTCGTTTCTCAATGAAGAGCCCGACCCGGTCACGGTCCAATTTGTGGGCGGGAGCTTGTGGACATTCGAGGGGACTCAAGCCAACCCGACGCCACGCATCGTCCGCAACTTGACCACCGCTCAGTACGCCGTCGAGATCCCACCTGGCGAGAAACAGACCCTGCCATATCGTTTCCAAACCAATCTTCACCCGCAGGACCTGAGACTGAACCTCGCAGCTGTGGTCAGCTCCCAAAACACTTTCTACACCTTGAACGCCTTCAACGGCACCGTTACTGTAGTCGAGCCCGACGCCAGTATCTTCGACCCCCAACTGTAAGCTTCGGGAGCGACCGTCTGTGTCGGTCTGTCACTAACTGCGCATCCAGTCTCTTCCTCTACTTCTTCTTGCTCGCCTGTGCCGTCGGAGTCGGTTACTTCTTCTACACCATCTGGATCGTCCCCTACTTCCCCAAGCAGCGCAGGGTCGCCAAAGGTGGCAAGCGCGCCGACATGGCCAAGAAAGCCGACACTGGCGTCACGTCTGACTCTGAAGGCCCTGCCGTCTCCACCGGCAAGGCATACAACGAGGAGTGGATACCATCTCACCACATCCAACGTCCTGAAGCACGACGAGTCAAGAGCGGAGGACGGCCTAAGAGTCGCGGCAAGCCAGAGTAACACTGGAGTCGGGTGGTCGGTCCGGAAACCCAGTCAAGCGAAAGGACGAAGTTTGCGTCGTCTGTTCAATCACGCTCTCAGCCTGGGATATGACCCAATTCCTGAGTTACAGAGACGTCTCCGTGCCCTGATAGAACACGAAGGTGAAACCAAAGTATGGGGATTGAGCATGGGCGATTGAAGAAACCATGCTTGATGAGCTCGTGCTTGGGTTCGATCTCTTCGTTTGTATTATTATCATCCCCCCAGCTTTGGACAGGCCAAGCCAGGACTGTAAGAATGTGAAAGGCCACTTGGACGGGCATTTTTGGCAGGGGGCTCCGAGCAACCCCTTGGACCTGCCTCAGACGAGCTTGCAGAGCTTTGGGTCAATCTAACTACCTACCCAGTATGCACGCGCGAGTATGGAGGTGTAAGCAAGCATGGAGGGAGGAAGGAGTACTCCGTACATGCAAATTTATAACCAAAATAGAAAAAATAAAAAAAAGTTGCAAATAACGGTGCCATGACATTCGACCAACATTCTCTGCCTGGAGTGTAGCTCGCATTGAACAGATCACAAAGTGCCGCCCGTACGGAGTACTCACAACAAGCCCCAAGGACGTATTGAAGTAGAGTACGGAGTAGAGACGACACAAAAATCGCGGACGTTCTCTTCGCACCCAAGTACGTGTCTTGATACTCGTACATGCAAGTGGTAAGTCAAAGTGACTTTTGAAGCATTACCACCGCTACCTACCTAGGTACCTACTCCCTTGCTTGCTTGCTTGAAATACTGTGGTCGAGCCCTTCAATTGGTCAAGTCATCGATCAATCAATCAATCACCCATAATGTCGTCCTCATCGGCAGGCACGTCGTCCTCGGGCTGCTCCTCAGCTTCGTCGATCCGATCTTGGTCTTCATTAGCAGCCTCGTCATCCTCGTCCTCGTCCTCCTCGTGTAACTCCCTCTGGCGCTGAGCCTCCTCTTCATCGACCTCAGGCTCGTCAGGCGCGTCGGGGTCGTCAACATCGTCTTCCTCAAGAACTGATCCTTCCTTGTCGCCTGCCTTCCTACTACTGCCCTTTTGAGTCTCTGCTTTCTTGCCCGTCTTCTTGGCCGACGCTTTTTTATTCTTCTTGTTGTTCTCCAGATATCCGACCAGGACGGAGTAATTCTTGCCGAGCTTGCTTCGGTTCAGGAGTAATCGTTGTCTAACGTCCTTTTCATCCTTGATCGCACCGCCCAAGACGGCGAAGATGATCTTCGACGTGAGTTCGCAGAGGGACTGTTCGGCCAGCAGGGCAGCTTGTTTTCTCGCGTTCTTGCTCTTCAAATTGCCTTCTTCGGTGTCCTCGTCGGCGCTTCCGTCGTCTTCGTCGGCGCCGGAATCGCGTGCCTCGTCATCTTCCGAGTCTTCCGGCGGTCGTTCGATCTCTTCCTGCGTTGGTTCCGCTTCGGTTGTTTTCTTCCCTCTGCTGCTTTTCTTCTCCTTGCCACTCACGGTCTCGATCTTTCGGTGCGTCTTCCTCGCGAAAGACTTCTCGGTCTTCTCAAACGTGACGAGAACTTCTTGGACGATCTCGTCTGGTATCTGCGTGATCAGGCTCTGCAAAATCGGCTCGACTTCGTCATCCAGCTCGCCGTCGTCCGGTGCCATGGTCCGGATCGTCGTAAACAATGCAAAGAGTTCCAGGACGTTCAGAATCGCGTGATACCGCACCGGATCTAGTGGCGCCCTCATCTGAATGATCGGTGCAATGTGCTCCACAAAATTCGCTCGCGTCACGGCCAATTCTCTGAGCGAACTAGTGGAAAGTCGAGCCTCGTCTTTCGCAGCAATGGCTTGTTTCAACCCGAACACTTTCCAGCGGAAATAGAGCGAGAAGAGTTCCATCAGAGAGGTGCACAATTGGTCTTCTAGTTCCGCAAAGGTCGCCGTAGTGTCTTCGTCTGGTTTTCCGCGTTGAAGGAGTCGAAAGAGGAGGCTGAGAAGGGTCTGTTGAGTGGTGGCTTTGCCCTTTTCTTTCCTTGAGGGGCCCGGGGGCAGTTTGCCTTCCACGACGTGGCTGCAGTCGTGGACCCCGGCAAGCTCGGCCAGACGGATGGCGATGTCAACGACTTCGGTCAGCAGCTGTTTGTCGAATGTGCCACGATTTCCGACGGCTTTGTCCCGGAGGAGATTGGCCAGCGCGGTGACCGACTCGGTCCAGATCTCCTGAACCATTGCATCAGCAGCTTCTTTGCTCTGCTCGTAGCTTCGAGCGTTTCTGAATGCTGCGCTGGCGGCAGCGAGAACTTGCTTGTCCGAGTGCGAGGTGAACTGTTTGCTGATAGCGTCAAGGATTGCAGAGTACGTCGCCTCTCCGCTCTGTAGATCACTGATCAGACCGATGTCAAGCAGTTGCTCGATCCGCAGAATCGAGGACGCGGCTTGGGGCGTACTGCCGAACTTGTTCAGAAGTTGAGGGAGGATGACTGTAAGATTCTGCGCCGCGGTTTCCTGCTTTTCTCGGATTTGGTCTTTTGTTGCATTGGTTCTGCGGTTCGTTGGTGGCTCGACGATGGATTGCAAATACGATTTAACTGCGGCGTGGAGCACGTCTAACAAGATCGTATCTTCGCCCGTGCTCAGTTTGTAAGCTTGTTGGACTTGATATTCAATGTCATCGTCGTCGCCGGACGATGGAATGGATGAATGGTCGTACAGGAGATATCCGGCCAGGTCTTCCCAGTGCCGTAACTCTGCCATGTGAGGAAAGATGGACTGTGTAGCAAGGGTGTAGCGAGAGTCAGATACCGGGTTCAATGGCAGGGATTGACCGGCCTCATCCAGGGATTCTTCGTCGTTGTCGTAACCAGCCAGGACCGAGCCTAGGCATTTGAATTTGATCCATGATCGGTTGGGGATCTTGAAATCGTCCACGTCGCCTGAATCCGGCACTGCAGCCTTGAATTGAGCTTGGTCAAAGTCCTCGATCGTCGCCGCGTAGAGATCCTCCAGATTGGACACGAAGAACTTGGCGACAGCTCTTCTGATTGCTGGCTCGCTGTCGAAGATCAGCCGTCCAATGGTGTCAATATCATCGGGTTCCAGCAACTCTGCGTCACGGAGCTGGTCTAGCAGCTCAATAGCCTCTGTGCGCACATTGATGTGCGCGTCCCGTGCGCCCATTTCCACCAGCCGTGATCGGAAGCGATCGGTAAAGGCCCTCAATGCGGCGATATTGTGCTTATTGGCGAAAAGCCTCTTCAACTGTTTGATGTCCTCGAGCCTCGTGGGAGCGCTCGTGTCGTTGAGCACCCAACCCAGGTAACGCAAGTATTGGCCTTCGAGGAACATTTTGCGGTACAGCGCAATCCAATCGCCAAGTGCTGCAACACAAGGAGCACGAATTCGTTCCTCGACGTCTCGGTATCGATGCACATAAACTGTGTCGAACACGTCCCTCAGTTGTGCATCAATTGCCTCCAGCTTCGTCTCTGCAGCTTTCTGGCTCTCCTCGATGGTCTTTATCCGGCCCTTATTGGCGTTCTTTTTCTTTTTCTCAGCATCAAGTTGGTTCTTCAGCGTGGCCATCGTATCTTGAATCTCCTTCGCGACCTCACAGAGAGCAGTAGTCATGGCCAGTGAAATTATTGTGGCGGTATGCCTGAACGACTTGTAGTTCGCACCAGACATGGTGGCAACCCAGACGTGGATGTTGTCATAGATCTCGGGTTGGTCGTAGAATGCCGAAGATGCGTGTAGTGACTTGATGATGGCCGCAAAGAATTCTTCCAGTACATCCTGGAATCCAGCATACTGTTTCTGTTTGGATGCGAGAGGATAATCGGTAGCCTTCTGCTGCTCGTACTCCTGAAGCACATCGCCAAGCTTGTTGGGCACAGAATCTAGATCCTCAATATCCTGTGTTTCCACCCTGGAGTCGCATCCGATGCATTGCAGGACAAAATTGACCAAGTCTCGTAGTGCCGCAACGCTGTCCTTCTGCACGGATTCAAACCAGCCCGAGGCGGCATCTTCGGGCGACTGTCCCTTTCCAAACACTTCTGCGTAGAGTCCTTGGTGCTGCGCCTGGCTCGGTCGAGCACGCGCCCTCTGTGTTTTCGATGCCTTTGCAGCAGGCTTGCTTCGGACGTTGGCGGAGCGAATGGCCAACGTTGTGCGGGACCCGGTCGTCGTCTTTGCTCGCTTCGTGGCAGGCTTTGCGGGCCCTGCCTTGGCTCTCTTCGCGCGTCGCTGTTCTTTCAATTCCTCCTCATCTGGCTCGTCCTCTTCCTCATCCTCGTCATCGCTGTCGCGTTCGGACGGAACGTCTTGCTCTTCTTCCTCTTCGTGCTCCGTGGAGACGTTGTGTGCCCGTTTCCGCTTCGCTGCACCGTTTATCGCGACACTGCCAACGTGATGCTCCTGAGAGAAAACTGCTGGTTGCCTCACCACTCTTCCGGACTTGCGACGTGATGCGGAGTTGCCATTGGGTGTACTGGTGTCGAACTCCATGGCGCATAGGTGGGCTGTTGGCGGAGGGCAACAATCTGGAAAATGCGACGCGTTTCCTCAGCGGTCGTTGGGAAAGAGGAAAACCATAGGCGAAATACACTCGGCCTTCGATGCGACAGCGAGGTCGCGTAAATGCGCAGCGTGGCGACGGAGAAGAAAGACGTTGCTGGATATTCAGAGATCTCAACAAGGAACCCGCAACAAACGCGTGACGCGAAGATGAAGTGGAGTGGATCAGTAGCACGAGGACACAGTAATTTAGGTGAGAGGGATAAGTTAGTGGGCTCTGGGGGGCGTCTTTAGGGACTTTTAGGCGGCCCCAGGCAAGTATCCTCCCGCAGACCCCACCTAAGCTTTATTGCCGGCCACAGATAATTAAGTCACTGTATGTAACTCCCTGACCTACCTCATGTACCCAGGTAGGGTTAGATATAGGTAGCTGCAAACGTCCCGCTCATCACAGGCATCCTGTGGTCTGTGGATGTCGGGGCTGGCTGCGATTATCATCCTTTCCCATACCACAGAGTTAGAGGCATGTCTCTCCCGATCTCCCCGTTTGCTGCCTCGTCCGCTGCAGCAGGCACAGGAGAGATCATTTTGGCTCTGCTTCCTCCCGGCAGACAGGCCTTGCAGAAATGTACATACCAGTACCCGCTCAAACTCATTGCCCCAGATCCTCACCATTCCGGCGAGCAGAAGCACGTGACAATCGTTTTTCTTCTAACGTATGGCGGCGGCCTTGTGGGCGGCGACCAGATCGATTTGAAGGCCGTGCTACAGGACGGTACCAGGCTAGTGCTCCTCACCCAAGGCAGTACAAAGATCTTCAAGTCTCCAGAGAAGTCGGTGGTCAGCGGCCAAACCCTCAATGTCACGATCGGCGCTCAGGCTGCTCTCTGCTACTTGCCGGACCCGACTCAGCCTTTTGCCGAAAGCGTCTATGACCAGAAACAGACCTTTACTGTTCAGCCCGACGGCACAAGCAGCCTGCTGGTGCTTGACTGGGTCAGCGAAGGACGGCGCGCCAGAGGAGAGAGCTGGACGTTGTGGAATTGGAAGGGCAAGAACGAGGTCAGAGAGTTAAACGACCACGGCAAAGGAAGGCTCTTGCTCCGGGACACAGTCATGTTGCGCGGAGATGATCTAGGCGGCATGGGCCTTGTCGAAAAGTCCAATAATATGGGTATCTTTGGCACCCTGATTGTCTACGGTCCGATCTTCAAGAAACTGGGAGAATTCCTCCTTCGAGAGTTTTCCACCCAACCGCGTATCGGGGCGAAAAACTGGACTACAGGCGATGGTACAGGTCAGGTCAACATCGTCGGCGAAAATGACCAAGCCAAGCAACTCGAACAGCAGAATGGTCTTTTGTGGACAGCTGCAAACGTGAGAGGGTTTGTGCTGGTGAAGTTTGGAGCCAAAGAGATCGACGGCGCGAGAAGATGGCTAGGGACTCTTCTGAGACAGGAAGGCTCAGTCGAAAAGGTTTTTGGCCATCAGGCTCTCCTTTGTCTAAGGTGAACTGAGACTCTTCTCCGGTGAACACGTTCAAGTATGGCAAGGCCCTAGCCTATTATTGGGATGGATCCATGCCCGAATCGCGATATCGCCAGACCGGTACAATTGCCGGTTCTCTCTAATATGGGAAAGCCAGATAAACCTTCTTGAACCGGCGATGACGACCAATGGTACCATTACTTTCCCAGGGTAAGGAAGAGGCGATCGCCGATATCCCCCAGTCCAGGCTTTATCATGCCTTTATCGGTCAGCCCATCGTCGACGCCGCCTGCCCAGACCTGGGTTCCCTCAGGCCATTCCTCGGCGGCGCGGGCCAGACCAGGGGCGGCTCCCAGCACGCACAAAAAGATGATCTTTTCCACGCCCCAGTCCCTCAAGCTCTGAATAGCAGCACACGCTGTGGCACCTGTAGCGCACACAGGGTCGACGATGATGGCCAGTTTGGCAACCTGCTCTGGGGACTGAGGAAGGTTGTTATAGTATTCGACGGGCTGCAGTGTCATTTTTTCACGGAACAGACCGAGGTGATGGACAGAGACAGGATCGGGAAGTAGCGTCTGCACGCCTACGACGGAGGTCAGTCCCGGCGCAAGCTTCACCGCAGTAGAGCAGACGCACCTTCGACCATAGCGAGCCCACTTCTCAGGATGGGGACGATGGTAACTTTGGAGCAGTCAACGCTCTCGTACGGGTACTCGAAGTCTATCGGCGTCACGTCCTACATCAAATCAAGGGTCAGCCTGGAACTCAATCAGCGTCGTCGCCCAAGAGAGGAAGAATGCAGACTCACCGTTCCAGTGCTCTCGAGGTCGAGTTGTGCTAGCGCCTCCGAACCCAGCAGCAAGGAAATCTCATGCACGAGTGTCTTGGTCTCCCGAGCATTCCTGCTTTTTGAACGCAGCTGGCTCAGCTTTGCGCGAAGGCACGGATGTTTGGAGATGTGGACATTTGAAGGAAGAGAGGAAGCCATGTCTACGGAACTGATGATATGAATACTGAAAGTCTACCGAGACAGTAGTGGTCTTATAGAAACATGGGGACAGAGCACAGAAGTGGTCATCTGAAGAGAGGATGCGACGTGAGCGCGTTTTCCTTATCAATGGCAGATGCGGGCATTCTTCCGGAGTTGTCGTTGGCGGGGTGTCGCTGCTTTTATCGGATGTGGAGGGGAGGCTCGCTCATGCTCACGTGACACATCTGCTCCGTCCGCGTCATGGTTTCATTACCGGGGGTTTCTCACTCATTAAAGGCATAAAGGTGAATGTTTATAATGGCAGCTCCCATAAAACACACACTTCTATGCAAGTAGCACGTAGGTCGTGCTCAACGAGCTTCTCCGTCGGATCCGCCATCTCTCGTCAATAGCCTATCCATGTCGAATGACTCCCACGACGTGAGCCACTTCTGCAAATGTGCTCTGTAGATCTGGGACAAGCGCGCTGCAGCTTATCGTACGGAGAGACAGCATGTTTTACCGGACTGCTGATTGCAGCATAGCGTTCTTCATACCACAAACTCTGCAGACCTGCGAATTCTCAGACGAAAGATGTCGAGACCGACGGAAAAGTTCGACGAGGTTGAGGACGACGCGGAATTGACTGAAGTAGCTGTTCCTCAGCCTGCGGACACGGAAGACCCTGGAAGCCCTTCGCTCGAGGGCGTGGAGCGGCGACTAAACAAACACGAGGACGAAGCTGCGCTCGGGGAACTGGCCGCACCTGAACCCGCCACGGAAAGAGAGAGGCATGAAGACGAGGAGACCGGACATGCTAGCGGGAGCTTGGAAGACACGCAAAAGCCAGCTGATACGAGGCCCGAGAGGAATAGGCCCGTACGGTGGGCAACGGAGCTCTACACTATCTCATGGCTGGTGATCTTCTCGCTCCTGGGGACTCTGGCACGCTTGGGAGTAGTCGCACTCACTCTATATCCCAACTCGCCGTTCCCTAGTAGAGTGCTATGGGCGAACTTGGGGGGATCCTTGTTCATGGGCTTCCTCGCAGAAGATCGTCAGCTATTCCAACAAGAGTGGGGATCTCCAGACCCTCAAGCGCCAGCCTCGAACCACCTCAAGGTCAAGAAGACCATTCCGCTCTACATTGGCCTTGCTACAGGTTTCTGCGGCTCATTCACATCGTTTTCCTCCTTCATGCGCGACTGCTTCCTGGCATTGACGAATGCCCTCCAATCGCCATCACCCACTTCGCCCTACCACGTCGATACAAGTGTTGCGCATCGAAACGGCGGCTTCTCGTTCCTAGCTCTTTTGGCTATCATGATCATCCACCCGGCAATCTCTCTAGCCGCTCTTCAGGTCGGAGCACAACTGGCTCTGCTACTTCAGCCAGCAACGCCGACATTACCCTTCAGTCTTTGCAGGAGGGTTCTCGATCCGCTAGCTGTCCTCTTCGGCTTCGGCTGCTGGCTTGGGGCCGTCTTCCTGGCAATCTGGCCCCCTGGGAACGATGTCCATTGGCGATTTCGAGCAGCCATGCCACTGGTGTTCGCGCCACTAGGTTGCCTTCTCCGCTTCTACGCCTCAAAACATATGAACGCCATCATACCCAGCTTTCCCCTGGGGACATTCGCAGCCAACATCCTTGGAACAGCCGTGCTGGGAATGGCCTTCGACTTGCAGCACGCTGCTAGAATTGGAGCATCAGAGCCGAATGCTTGCGTCGTTCTACAAGGAGTTATGGAAGGATTTTGTGGTTGCTTGACGACGGTGAGTACCTGGGTTGCTGAGCTTCACGGGCTGCGGCGGCGCCATGGTTGGATATATGGATTGGCCAGTGTTGGTGTTGGGCTGGCGCTGATGGTGATCATCATGGGGTCGATGGGCTGGACGGTTGGCTTCCTTCCTCCCGCATGTAATTGATACCTGGATGCGCAAGTCTTGGCACAGTTCGGAGGACGGTGCTGTATACACCGTACTTATAAAAGCAACGAGTGCGTTGCCCCGTGACTTACTCCGTACTGTGTACTGTGTACCTCAACCTGGACCAATCATAGCACAGGACCCGCAGTGTCGCAACGTCGGCCCCGCTCGATCCATATCAGGCTAGCCTGCAGGCTCTGCAGCCCAAACAGCGCTGATGATTGGCGCCCCGTAGAAGGCTGCGCCCGACAAAGGAGTCTGACAGGCCGAAACACCGTGATTGCTATTTTCTCAGCGCGGCCTCCTGCCACGCGTAAGCAGCAGCTCGTGTTCATGCACCTTGACTGCAGCTGAGCCTCACGGACCTGGAGTCTTGCTCGCCCTCAGCTTTCTTACACAGGGCCCCTCACCGTCGTTCGCTGCTGCCTCCAGTCCATTGCGTGAGTGTGCGTACCGAGTATGCAACTTCATGCCACGAGCGCATCGAGACCTGTCCTTTGATTCCACGAAGCCCCCCCTTTCACCGTCGCATAGCACAAACAACACATAATCGCACAACCACGATCTGAAGCGGCCCGGACGAAACGAGGCTCGCTCCCATCGACCACTCACTCGAGCCGAATCGGGAGCACGATATCACAGCTCTCTTCCCACCATGTCGACGCCCTCGATGAAGACGCTGCTCCTCTCCTCCCTGCTCTACAGCACAATCCATGCCTTTGTGCCCCTAAACATCCACCCTCCCATCGACAACAACGATCTACAACGTCACGCCCTCCCCTCGGAACTCGAACTCGACACCGCGCACTGGGTTCCCATCGCGACCCTCGCACCCGTTACGTCGATCCCCACGTCGACGCCAACGCCGACACCCGCACCACACTCTTCGAACGACGACGACGACATCATCCTCCCGTTGGGCCTGGACGCATTCGCGGTCCCGGAGCTCAAGAAACGACAAGGCGCCCCGGTGGCCGCCCCAGACGCCCAACCGACGGCGGTCGGCCAGATCAGCCCCATCACGACGTACTACATCAACAGTGAGGTGGCGCCGGGGTCGTTCGCCCAGGTCCCCGTCGTGTACACGCAGACGTTCGCCCCCGTGCCAGATCAGTGGCCCAGCCCTGTGCCGGGGACGATCGGCCTGGGCACCATCCAGGGTACGGTCGGGCAGGTGAGGAGTAAGCGGGCGGTGGTGCTGGCGGAACCGACACAAGCTCCCTTTGCCGGTGATCGGGGCGAAGATACCACCGAGCTGGAAATGGAGGTGCGGAAGCCGCAGACCTGGAGTGCGTGAAGACGTTTAAAGGACAGGGCAGCTGTTGGTTAGGGTCTCGGATAAGAGCGTGTGTCTGGGTTGGCGTCAAGAGGCGAGGACACAGACTGCATAGATTACCGGAAGAGGCTCGCCGCTTTCTATTCTTGCCAAGCGTGCTTTGACACCACAAAGTCGATGGCGAGGGGACTTATTGGATATAATGATCAATCGATCGAATGGCCTTCGATCAGCCTGCCTCGATCAAAACGGCCTGGAGCGGCGTCTGGCGCAACATATTGGACACGGAACAAAAAGGTATGGCCTGGAGTTTGGATCGGCGGCAACTGGGTATGCCTTGGTTGGGACCAGGAGTCGTATATTCCGTATTTTTGGAAAAAGAAACCCCAAAGAGCGTCTGCTTCCGATATGCAGAGTACAGACGAGGGGATCCTTCGCTTGAGCGGGATGAAAGTTTGAAAGCCTGTAGAGTCGGTATAGCAATAGATCGCGCAGTCTTGCAAGCCATATATCCGCACATGTCTACGGGCTATCGAGTACATCCTGCGGGATTCTACCATCCAAGGCTTTTCATCCCTCTCGGCCATGAAGGGAAACATACACGTCCGTCGCTATGCTACGCTACGCTATGCTATGCTAAACTGAGGGAAGGTATCTCATTTTGTATGTGCCGCTTTTCCATGCAAGCCATCCACCCAGCCAGCCAGCCAGCCAGGCAAAGGCATCATCCATTCGTTCATTCACAAAAGGGCCCCCATTATGTCCGGGGAAAAGACCACTGAAAGTCGTCGATTCAAACTGATCAATCCATCGATCGATCAATCGATCAGCCCAATCGTCTCCATCCATCCATCCATCAATCGTACAACTTGGCCCAATCCGGGATCAAGATCAACTTTTGCCTCACGTGGCCGAGAGCGTACGCCCTTCCTTTGGTGTCTTTCTTGCCTTGTCCTGCACCTTCACCTTCACCTTCAACACCACCACCACCTTCTGCGTGTTCATCTTCGTCCCCATCTCCATCCTGCTTACGGCGCCCCCGTTCCACCAGCACGACATCCTGTAGGAAATCCACCTCGCTTCCCAGCTTGACTTCCATGTCGGTGCCGCCCCAGTCGAGCGTCACTTTGCCGGACTTGTGGACTTGCAGCTTGCCCACCGCACCGGCGGGTAGACGCAGGGGTGCCGTTGCGGTAAGGAGGCCGTCCTCGCCGGGAAGTTGTATCTGGGACTTATTCCGTGACGACGAGGACGACTTATTGGCTTCTCCGTCGCGGTCCGGATCATGTTTCACGGGTCCGTCTGTCGTGGTGGGAGGCGCGTCAGGGAGGGTCTCGAGGTCGACGGTGCCGTTCGCGGCCATCGTCGTCGTCGGTTCCGTCTTGACTTTTGGTTCTGAGTCTGTGCCCGTGCCCGTGCCCGTGGTGGAGGCGTCGGGCTCGACCAGAAAGGGCGTCAGAGGCGGCAGTTGGAAGAGGAGAAGCTTGCCGTCGTGCGGGCCTGCGGGCTCGTCGACGTCTCCGTCGCTATTCTCGTTCTTGGGGACGAAGATGTGGCGCAGCTTGTCGACGTCGTCTTGCATGCGCAGTCGCTCAGCTCGTTCTTCGAGCGTTTCGTTGGCGGACGCTTTGAGGGGCCCGTGCCTGTATGGCACGCCGGGTTGTTTCTTGAGCGCTCGCTTGCGCAGCTCCGGACTCGAGGGCTGTTCTTTGATGAATTGGACCGAGTCTTCTCTGTCGACGTCCATGTCCATATCCATTTCCACGGCGTCCCCGTCTCTTTCTCTGTGGTCATCTGAGGATACTTCTAGGGGTCCAACGTCCGGTTTCTTGCTTAAAGGTGCGCGTTTCCTGCGCACCGCGCTGCCATCTCGCCCGGGTCGGTCCTCCTCTTCTCTCTGCGTCCGAGGTGCGCGGACCGGTCGTAGGCCTGCCCCCGATCGTGACGGCTTCGGTGCAGTGCTAGTGGCGGGGGCTTTCTGCTTGCCCTTTCTCGAACTCGACATGATGGCGTCGTCGGCGTCGGCGTCGTCTTTGTCCTCGTCGCTCGAGATCCAAATGCGCTCGATGTCTCGTTTCGGTCCATCGTCGCGTTCGTCATCCGTAGTTGTCTCTATCGTTTCTCCTGCCGTTGGGGCTCTAGCACCACCACCACCACCACCTCCTCCTCCTCCACCACCCCCCTTGGATGTGCCTGCGCCACCACTTCTTCTACTCCCTCCTGCGCCTCCGGCATCACCGTCTCCTGGCAACGCATCCTCGGGACCACGTCTGTTCACTCCACCCTCCAACAACTCAGCATACCCCTCATACTTCTGCCTCGACTGGGTGGTTGTGAGACCGCCGCCACCACCACCAAAAACACCTCCACCGGCCGCCGGGCCTTGTCTCTGAGCCGGTGTGGCCCCGCCCCGTCCACGATTGACTGCCCTGCTTCCTCCCCTTGCGCCCCGTGTCGAAGCTTCGTGTTCGGCAGCGCGTGCTTTCTGACGCTCCGCTTCTTCTTTGGCGAATTGTTCCCGTTCGGCTTTCGATTTACGCTGGATGCCGCCGCGAGGTCTGGGTGCGCCGCGCCCGCGCGTCGTGGGCTTGGGTGTCGAGGCTGCGGGTGTGTCTGGCATAGCGAACGCCTTCAAAGTGCCCCTGAATTATTGGGGTTTGTCGTCACGGTCATGAGTCGCGACGCATAGTGCAGTTCAGAAGTGAAATTGTTTGGTCACAATCGCGAGCTGAGTGCAGATCGTTTTCCGAGAGCCGTGCGGGTGATCGGCAAGGCCTGGTCGGGAACGAGGTGGAAGACACTGAGTGTGGTCACTCGGGGCGCTGTTATTGATGTCGCTGAGGTGTGGGATTCATTGACTGACCCAGGCTGAGCGAAGTCAATCTGACTGCTTCTTCAAGACCTCTTCGGGAAATATTTCGCAGTCTCCACTCGCTAACCAGCAAAGCTCAGCCTCGTCTGTGAAATCACCCCGCACAAGGCTGCGTCGGCCGCGCATCGCCAGAATCGAATGTTTGCACGGGACGGAATCCCTCTCATTTCGTACATTCATAGATACTACTGGATCCTTGTCAATTCGATATTCCCCCTTGCGTGGAAGAATAGATCAGAAGCATTCGCCAATTTTCGTCTCAAAGCGACATACAACCCACAAACGAGACCCTCGGTTTGCTCAAACACCGCGTGACAATTGCCCCACGCTTCCTCGACTCGAACGAATGCCAAACTCATTGGCAAACAAAGCTCAAATGCACATCCGGCACCGTCGCCAGCCGTCCATCTCGTCACACGAGGGCCTCGCGGCCTGGTCAAATCCAATACACTCACCCCTCCCTGGTCAATTCTATTTCCCAAATGGCCTCGCCCACCCTCCTTGATGCCTTCGTTCGAACGAAATTGCGCTTGGTAGAAACAACAGGCTGCTCATCTCTTTCTCTTCTTGTTCTTCTCGGGACTGCCATGCATGCCAGACGCCTCGTCGGAAACGTCGACTCCAGTCATAATCTCGTAAGGCTCGTCTGCCAAGGCACTCTCACCCGTTTTCTTGACAGAAACTCCCATGTGCCTACCATATCGGCCCTTTCGTCCATTCCCTTCGTCTTCGCTGATGCATCCTTCGATGCCAATACCGGCGTCCTTGCATCGTCCGCAAGGCCGTTGGCGGTCGCAACCTTTTTTGCTCTTCCGGCATCGCTGGCAACGGGGTTTGGAAGACAGATCTTCTTCATCTGCGCCAAGCGAATGTTGAAAATTGAGGCTAGAACCCGACGATTTCCTGACCTGCCCGGCAGAGGCAGGGATGGATGGTGCTTTCATCAGTCCTGGTTGTACCGACTTTGTCTTTGACAACGAATTTGTCCGAGGCTTCGAAGACTTGCTGTTCTTCACCGATGAAGTGGACTTGGCTCGGAATCCATTGGTGGGCCCATCATGCATCTTCGTCTTGATCTTCTTGGTCTTCGGAGGAGCGTCATACTCGTCAGGTTCACCCTTAGTGCCGTCATGAGCATAGTCCGCATCGTTCTCTTCCAGATATTTCCCGTGTTTAGGCGACTCTCCTTCTGCATCGCTATACTCATCGCTGTCACTTGTACCACCTGTGGAGGAGGCCGCATCGGCGACAGCGCTAAAAGTTTCATCCATAGTGGAATTGGAGGTGCGCCCGTGGGAGTAGTTCGAAGCATCTCCAAGAGCGATCAGTGTACGGGCGACATCTTCATCCGAAATGCAGCTGGCCACGGTGGGATCTGGAGTTGGGAGCACCCCATTGCCAACAAATCCCTGCCTCCCAGCATGGCCTTGCTGCATGCTCGACCTGTCTCGAAGTCGGTGGCCATGTTGGTGTATTGGTGTGCCCATTTCTGCAACTGCATCGCCTCTGCCATATCCATAGGCGAAACCATTGGAGTTCTGCCCATAACTTTGTGGGGACAAGGCCGGAACTTGCCCATATCCGTACAGCTTCTGCCCAGGAGGGTGTAAAGGCGAGGGCCCCTCCTGTGGGAGCGAACGTCGCTGAGGTGATATGGAAGACTGGGAGGCAGTCACGGGTACCTGAGGAGGGACGAAAAGAGGCAAAGTCTGGTGGCCCAGGTCAGCACGGGGGCGAGAACATGGAAGGACCGGGCACTTACCGAGCTGTCAAAGATGGGCTGCCCGCGTCGACCATCTTGAAGCACGTTGGCTGTACTGATGTCTGAGCTGGCGAATTGCTCGCTTTTGGCTTTCTTGGACCCGGAGATTGAACTGCGCCCGGCGTCACTATCGCTGTATCCATTGTCCTCGTGGAAGCTTCCGTTGGCACTGGAACCACGACTGGCTGCACCATATGAGGTGCCTTTCTGTTGGGATGCACTGCGACGACCTCGACTTTGAATCGGAGATGTGCTCCGTTTTCGCGCAACCCGCGACGCAGGCCTCGAGGGCGACTGGGACTGCTCGCGCAGATGAGGAGGCAGCATCGAGAATGGCTCACCTAGACTAGGGCGTCGTCTGGGTTCATAGCCATTTTCAATGTGAAATCCATGTGGATTCGCATTGGATGTAGCCTGTAGGGCCGGCACAATGCGCACATGAACTGTGGAATTGTGAGCCAGATTGTCGTACGAGGCAATCAATGTGTTTCCCAAGGCATCTTCAAAGGTCACTCCGTGACCGTCATATATTCCGTAGAAATTCTTAACTGTGGTGATGATAGACTCGGTGGTGTCATGGGTGTTGAGCACCACTCTGAGTGGGATACGTGCCCTCGTCTTTGAGCCCTCGTCCAGGAGGAGCTCAAAGGAGACAGACTTGGCAGGAAGCATTTTCGCCTTGGGAGTTTGTTCACTGTCGGTAGACAGCAGGCTGGATACCTGCATACCGTCTAGGGGCTTCGGTGTATGTGCTCTGCCTCTTATACTGCGGGCGCCGCGGCAGCGATCATTAAGGATCGGCTGGGGGAGGGAGGCTTTGTCACAGAAAGTCAGGGCCTGATTTCGATCGATTGATGCCCTGAGTATGATAGTTAGCTGTGTTGTGCTCTAGCGACCAGGGACCTTTGGTTGGGAATGACCAATGCAGCCGGGCAGGCCTGGCGATGTGGCAGATGGTTGGGGGGCTGTGGGCTTCAACATACCGTCAAAGTACATGCAACTTACACAAAGTGGAGGCCGCGAAAGGCAACGGTGAAGGCTTGCGACGACTTGAGAACTGAAATGACAGGGACTGGAAAGTGCGCAACGGGAGTTGCAATGGGATCCGGCTCTACCGCCCAGGCATTGCTGAGAGCTAGAGCATGGTGACAACGGTGATGGTCTGTCTGATGTGGCGGGCCGAAGAGAGGTCAAGAGTAAAGGTAGAACGGCTAGACTCTCTCGATGGCACTCCAATGGCCTGAAGTGGTTGCAGGTAGGAGGTGAGAAGGTAACGACAGGAAACAGGTCGGAGGGCTGAGGTCAAGGGAAGAAGGGAAGGCAAGGTGCGAATTGAGGCTTGGGATGCGCAATGGTCAACGGGTGTGTGAAACGGGGCCCACCCCCGGTCCAACTATGCCAGTACGTACTCGTACCACAGGAACGTGCAGCTGGCTTCGAACAGTGTAGAAACTACGATTATGAAGACGCTGATTATTCGCACAGAGCTCGACGCTGGTCGCCCCAAGAAAGCAAGAAAGCGACGAGCGGACAGCCGCGAATCTTGCACCCAGACTACTGTACAGTGACTACTCGGTCGAGCTTCAATTGCATGGCACAGCGCCGGTGCATATCTTGGACAGCGACCACCTGCCAGCTAGGTCGGTCGCTTGAGGGCATAGCGGTATCAGGTGACGGGATAGTCGTCAAGCCATGAGCCAATCGCCCTCGGTGACAACCCGAGCGGTGTCGTGAGCCATCCGGGACTGGCAGGCTGAGAAGATGCCGTGGTGTGTATGGCCGGATTAGAGGCCGGGCAGCAGAGACAAAGGGCGAACCCTGAGGCAGTCAGCAGGCGGCGCTGAGAAGCCCCGGCGATTCGAACGCGGAAAGGTGAGGACATTAAATGCGAGCCAGACCCGGCGATGCGCTGGCTTCAGTAACAAAAAGAATGAAAAGAAGGCGAACCCCTCACTCGGGTGAAATGATGGTCGAAAAGTGGCCGTCGTGCATTGGTCTGGCGAGCGTTGTATGGCCGCTATGGCAAAGATTAGCAAGCGTCAGCGTTTGGGCCTGTAATACCGTAGCCTGGAGCTGTGACCTTTTCTGAGCCGTATTTGAGTGGAGTTCAAGGAGTTTGGATGCCGTTCAAGAGGCCGTCGCAGAAACAGGCAAGCATCCGCCGCCGTCATTCGACCAATCCCTCGACAACTCGAACGTGGGCTTGCCGCGGTGGCTGCCACAAATTGCCCACAAACTTTCCGAGGGCTCAGCCCACCCTTCCTCAAGCCGGGCTGCGCACTGCTGATGGAGATAAGTCTACGGTAATCGAGCTATTGCCAGCCCGCCACAGCGGCAATGAGATGGTTATCGTTCGAGCCGTCTTCGGCCTTTCGCGATCCGCAGTGATGGACACGGGCGGTTCCCACACTCGACCAGGATCTTGGCGGCAGCGCGGAACTCGCGGCCCCCTCAAACCAGCCGCCACGCATTATGCGCAGGAGAGAGTTGATGGTAGTAGCATCCTTATGCGTATATACGGTGTGGGATCCCTGGCCCGGATGCCATTACGATTCGCAGAAATGCCAATGTCCCGGCCGTCGAGGTCGCATCGCATCTCAGCGCGGTGACGGGATCAGCGCGTCTTGCCGTCACTGATGATCAGACTTGGCCATCCCCACCCAACACTTCTATGAGGTATATCATTCACGAGGAGCCCACTCCGCACTAGGCATTCCATCGTCTCTCAATGGCCTCGGAAGGCAGGATCGGGATGCTGAAACATCAGATAGGAAGTCGCCAGTAGTAAGCGCGGTTAGGCGCAAGCAGGATGGTGCAAATTGGGGCCGTCACATTGATACCAATGACAAGCTTCGTGGGCTGCCAAATTCAAAGTTTTGCGCAAGAAACTCCGAGACCTCGGGTGGTCGCTTTCTGAGAGTTGCACCTCTGTCGGCGCGATATATCATCCCATCTGCCGCCCAGGGCGACGAGCGACAAGTCTCCACAAACTATGCATTGAGTAGACCAGAGCAAGACTACGATGCCCTGTTTGACGTTCGCAGAAGCCCACCTTAAGTGAGGGCAGCACTGCGAATTATGAATTCGCCGGCCAATCATGCTTCTGGCTCGATCTATCTGACAGGGTATTAGTAGAGCTGTCATCGCGGACATTTGCTGTATCATTGACCATGGCTTGTCATTCGTGGTGACGGTCCGACGACCTTGTTTGAGGTTGAGTAAGCGCCCCAGGGAGGACGGCTGGCCTCAAGCGCGACCAGCCGGCAACTGCATGGCTCGAAGAAGAGCCATCACAAATCCTGTTGGGAGCAACAATGTGGAACGCATCACCTTGTTGTCCCTATCGCGATGAGATAAGTAGCATGATTGTACACCGCATTCGATGCGATGGGTTGATGATTGGGCGTAATTAGAGCTTTACCCAAACTCTGAAAGCAGGTGACTTCGCGACTAGCTGGCGAACTGCGCGCTCGGTGACGTCACTTCCGAGGTTTGCGTGTCTCAAAAGACATTTGCAGTCGTGGGTATCCAAGAATTGGATGGGCCGTCTTTGTGCCCGTAGCGGGCCAGATGGTGAGCTCTGCCTTGTATACAGGAGTTGCTGGTTGCTCTGAAGCTGGCAGAAGCTGGTTTGGTTGTTCTCGAAGTGACGTGTTGTTTACGAAGTTCGGCTTTAGGCTAGTTCAGCCTTGGCAAGCCAATTGCGGCAAGAGCCTAGCAGAGCCGCCATTGACCAATCACAGCGGACCCGGGTGTTTACCTCTGTGCATGCAACTTCGAAACCTGCATAACCCATCATAACAAAATACTGCTGTCTTGTTTTGTTGTCAGGATCAACCACTATGCGGTGCTCCCTCCTGCAACCATAGAGTCTGCATCGATACTCTTGTCTGACCTCGATTGTCCTCTCCTTTCTACGACACGAGCGCTTCTCATCACTGCGAGTGAATGTCCACGGCTGTGTCGCGTACAGCATAGTCTAGGGGTGTCCGCCAACCCTTCACCCTCCCTCACCTCCATCGCTTCCGACAGACTGATGGTCAGACTCTAGACGACCAGATTGCTCAAAGATGGATGTGAAAGTGAGTGAACTTCTCTTTCATCCGCCACATATACCCCTTAGCGACGCGCTCTGTGTCCTGTCGGTGATTTCACGCGAGGAGTCTAGCCCCCAAAGCATTCATAATGTCGCTGACTTTCCAACAGCCACAGCGCCCACCGCGGCCTCTACGCGTCAGAAACGACGAAAACATGCCCCCTGAAGGCCATCCTACCAAGACAATCCATCACCGAAACAAGTCAAGTCCGGCTCTTGTGACGACGTTTGCCGAAAGTCAAGGTCTTAAGGCTGCGGCGAAGCGAACTGCTTTTGGCGACGTGAGCAACATTGCTGCAGGTAGACCGAGCAAAGATGATTCAACTCTACAGACGAAGGGCAACATCAAGCCCAACCAGTCCCTAGAACAGAGAAGATCCCTTGCCCTGCTGCGACCGGCCCAGATAGGATTGAAGAACATTCTTGCCGGGGCGAGCGCTGTCACGGCGTCCAAAGCCTCCACGAATCCTTCAACGATAGATGGTGGCTCGTTACAGCCACACAAGAAAACCTTGACCAAGCGTCACACAGCCATCTTCAAGGATACTCGACTCGGCGTGGTTCAAGAGACGGAACTCCCTTCATCGGAAGCTGTCAACGCTCTACCAGAAAAAGAGCCGGTGTTGGACCTTGCTCAGTCTTCAACTGAGCCTCAGACTTGTCTTCTCCCTCCTCCGGCCCCTGCGCCAGTTCCCACTGAGCCGACGAAGGAAAATCAAAATCTTCACTCTGACACCAGCTTGCCCGGCATTGAAGAGGTCAGCCTCGGCCCCCCTGTCCCCAGCAACGCCAACAACGAAATCGAGTTCAAGGATGTGAGTGCCACCGCTTCAGAATATCTTCCTCAGCAACCTTCAGAACATTCCTACGACCGCCTCGTGCCTCATCATCTTCAGGTCTCGACGGAGACACATGCTCCGGCTGTTCGAAAAGAAGCGCAACCGATGGCGGTGGCAACGCTCGTGAATCCGGTTGAGAACATCCCTCCTCTGAGTCCGCATCACTCCTACATTCAACGAAAGATCGAGCAGGAAGAGTACTGGGATGAAGAGGATGATGACAACTATGAAGAAGAGGGCTACGTGACGGCCAGGTCATTCCGATCCAAAGGGGACAATACCACTGGCGGGGCCACCACGGTTCTGTTTCCCCAGATGAATCAACGAGCCCGTAAGGAGATTGCTGCGGCGAAACAGCTGGTCGAGGCAACTCGTTCTCCTGAAGAAGTCGAAGACGAGAGCTATGACACAAGTATGGTGGCTGAATATGGAGAAGAGATCTTCGACTACATGAAGCATCTCGAGATCAAGATGCTTCCCAACGCTCATTACATGGACAACCAGCACGAGATTCAGTGGTCAATGCGCTCGGTGTTGATGGACTGGCTGGTTCAAGTTCACCTCCGCTTCAACTTGCTACCAGAGACTCTTTTCCTCACCGTCAACTATATTGACAGATTCCTCTCCTGCAAGGTTGTTTCTCTCGGCAAATTACAGCTCGTTGGTGCGACAGCCATCTTCATCGCTGCCAAGTATGAGGAGATCAACTGTCCCTCGGTCCAAGAGATTGTTTACATGGTCGATGGCGGCTACAGCATGGACGAAATCCTGAAGGCTGAGAGGTTCATGCTCACCATGCTCCAATTTGAGTTGGGTTGGCCGGGGCCCATGAGCTTCTTGAGGAGAATCAGCAAAGCAGACGACTATGACCTTGAAACACGGACGCTGGCCAAATACTTTCTCGAGGTCACGCTGATGGACGAACGTTTCATCGGTAGCCCTCCTAGCTTTACAGCGGCGGCGTCGCATTGCTTAGCACGCGCCATGCTTCGAAAAGGCACCTGGGTAAGTCCACAATAGCGACGCGCAAAAGTCTCTTGCTGATAATGATAGACTCCTCATCATGTGTACTATTCTGGTTACACCTATTCACAGCTGAAGCCACTCGTCGGTCTCCTCCTGGAATGCTGCGAAGATCCGCGCAAGCACCATAGTGCAGTATTCAACAAGTACTGCGACAAGCGATACAAGAGAGCTTCAGCATTCGTCGAGACCGAGATTCAGAGAGGGTTCCAATTGCCAGATCCAGCCGCGTCTCTACCGTTACTTCAACCATCCATGGTGTCATTCTACGACAGTGTCCCTTACCTTCGCACGTGAGAATACGGCCACTTGGACTGCTTCACTGACGAGGCATTTTATCATTCAACAAACCAAGACGCGCATCCCGACTCATCGCGGTCAAGGGGAGCCGTCTTTGTATTCCCAGCTTCACTGTACTGGCGGTGACGGACTTGAAGCTGCTAGTTATGGCTGGGCATTCCGGTATTCGTTCTTCTCCATAGAGTCGCGACGCTCGATGAGAAACATTGACGACGAAAATACGACGTTATGACAAACACTAATTGGCCCCTGGCAGGTTGATCGGGAGTGATACGGTCAAACACGGCCTGCTCTCGGGCTTCTGCAAAGTATTGGAACGACTCACGAGCAATATCAAACTAGCTTGTGGTCAGGGTTGGAGAGGGTTGAGGCGCAGTTGAAGAACTCTCCCACGGGGCTGTGGAGGTAGTCCGCGGTGCTGCCCGGCGCCATAGAACGGGACTCTTTAGTCACAGGGCAACAAAGACGTGGTCAGCCATGAATAATGTAAAGATTACCTTGAAGAGAGCGCATCAACGAAATCTACCCACTCAGTGTCCTGCTTCGTCACTATTTCATATGTAAGTGGTTATTGTCCACGGACACGAGGCTGAACAAAAAGGAGGCTGAATGACAGCCTCGCAGCCTTGTCTAACCATTTTCTGGCGTTCCATTTCAGGCAGGTCTTCCGATCCGTATTTTCATGCTCGCCACTTTCACGTCTCCTTCCGCCAGCAGTCTCTCTCACCACATCGCGTCCACAGATTCATTGCTCTGCTCTTCGCCATATTGACGAAGTACAAAATTCTATCTGGAATCATCACCTCCGTGGTCAATCAATGCTGTGGTCGCGTCGGGATGGCAAGGTGTTCAGTGACGAGACTTAATTTGAACCCTTTAACCATACACCCATCCGACCAGCTGGGGCGCAATTTGCCGTTTTTCAATCGTGCGTAAAGATAAGACGCTGACCTATATGCATCGTCTCTCTTCACCTGCCACTCAAGACTCGGCAGAATGGCGCCCAAGAAGGGTTCGGCCTCGAGTAAGGGCAACGCGTCCAAAAACTCATCTCTTGGCGTTCCAGACAGTGATCACATAGTATTCACGAACAGGAAGAGTGACAAAAAGAAACCGGAGCAAAAGGAGCCCGAAGGTGTACCACGTCCCGATGTGAAAAAGATCATTGGAGGAGCGTCTTGGACGGGGAAGCTGCCCGTTAATCTGCTGTCGGAGCACTGTCAACGTCAAAAATGGAACAAGCCCGACTATCAAATGCGCCAGATGCCATCGCCAAATGGTGGCGAAAAGGTCCACCGGGCGTGTGTTGTGCTATCCAAAGCAGACCCGAAGTCCGGTGAAATCACAAAGCTTCCCCCATTTCAGCTCCCACCCACAGATATACATCTCGCAGACCAGTCATCAGCCCTGGAGGCCCGTCATTTTGCCGCGGCTTTTACCCTCTACCGGTTACAAAGCATGAAGAATCTTTCTATGGCACTACCTCCGACCTACCGAGACCTGTGGAAGGGCGATTTCCAGCGCCTCAAAGACGAAGATGTCAAGGAAGGCAGAGCTTGGAAGTATGACGCCGATCCATTCGCTGCTGAATCCAAGCGCCAGGAAATCAAGGCTGCCATGGAGAAGAGGAAGGAGGAGCAAGCACGGAAGCCTCTCAAACCAGAGACAGTGAGCCTTGTGGGTGTCGGTTCCAGCAGTGTCGGTGCCAAGGGCTGGGAACGAGCACCTCGCATTGAGCTGGGACAAGATGCTCGTACCAGGATAGAATCGTTGATTAGAACACACAGCGTCTGGAACCGGAGCGCATTAACAATGTCAGGAACAGACAAATCTTCACTCGAAGCCGACCTGGCAAAGTCGGGCTTTCAACACAGCCATATTCAGGAGGCTTTTGGCTGTTGTGGGACCCGGGAAGAGGTCTTGGAGTGGCTTCTCATTCATGTTCCCGAGGACTGCCTGCCAGCCTGGAGTTTCCCTCCCGGATACAGTGCAGGAGTAACACTAGTCACGAGTGATCTTGCGACCGATGCCAAGGTGAAGAGGCTGACCTTGGGTGGATACGCAACTCAGCTCTGTCTGCAGGCGTTGCGAGACAATGATGGCAATGAGGCGCTAGCAGCAGAGGCTCTGCAGTCCAAGCTCGTGCCCCCCAAGGAAGCTACTGGCTCGGGTTTCGCATTTGATTCACAGGTCTGGGACGAGGAGATGAATGCACTAGAATCTATTCTCGACAACAGATTCAAAGCATCAGCGCCCGATCAATGCTCCATCCGCTCAGACTCAACTTCAGAAATCCCTGCGACCTACCATTTTCGGCGTCCTGTTTCTGGATATCCAGATGTACCACCTATCGTCACCGTTGAAGCCCCAAATCTACCCAGCTATATACGCCTGAGTGCAGTCAAGAAAGCAATTACATATGCGCAGGACAGTCTACTCGGCGACTCCATGGTATTCAATATACTAGAGTGGCTGGAGAGTTCAATGCCTGACATTATCCGGAATCCTGGCAAATTAAGCGACTTGGAGATAGCATCCGAGTCAATGCGCAAGGATGTTGTTCGGCCAGAGGAAGATGTGCACATGCTCCCTTCGCGTTCGAGAACAGCTGAGAGAGTCGATCTCAAGGATAGCAGATCGAGCCAAGTCATGCTTGATACCTGGAAGACTCGGCAGTCATCAGACACGCAGCGGAAGATGAATGCCGCGAGACAAAGATTGCCTGCATGGTCCAAACAAGACGAAATCGTCAGAGTTGTCAACGACACACAAGTCACGTTAATCACGGGTGAGACTGGGTCCGGCAAGAGTACTCAAGCCATACAGTTCATACTCGACGACGCCATCCAGAGTACGCGAGGCTCCTCGGCCAACCTCATCTGTACGCAGCCAAGACGAGTCGCCGCACTCTCACTGTCCGAGCGTGTGAGCGCAGAGCGATGCTGCAACGAAGGCGATGAAGTTGGGTACATAATCAGAGGCGACTCCAAGACCTCCTCCAGGACCAAGATCACATTCCAGACCACTGGTGTCCTGCTGCGCCGGCTACAGAGTTCTCCCAGCATCAAAGCTGCATTGGCAGGAGTCAGCCATGTCTTCATTGACGAAGTTCATGAGCGCTCACTTGATACCGACTTCCTCCTGGCGCTGTTGCGCGATGCTCTACCCCAGTTGCCTCATCTGAAGATCGTGCTCATGAGTGCTACCCTCAATGCAGATACATTCGCCAACTATTTCGGCGGAGACCGGGTTGGCAGAGTTCACATCGAAGGGCGTACATACCCGGTCGAGGACTATTACCTTGACGATGTCCTGAGGCTGACGGGCAGTGGTGGCAACAAACAAGAATTCGGTGCGGAGGACGAATACAGCATTGGCAAAGCCATACAAGGGCTCGGAGGTGGCATCAACTACGAGCTGATTGCCTCACTCGTGCGCCATATCGAACGGGAACTAGGCAATTCACGTGGCGGAGTTCTGATCTTCATGCCGGGCACGATGGAAATTGACCGCTGCCTCAAGTCGTTGTCTGACATGGCAAACATTCATGCCCTCCCTTTACACGCGTCGCTCGCGCCAGCCGAACAACGACTGGTCTTCAAGCAGCCGCCAGCAGGGAGACGGAAAGTCGTGGTCGCAACTAACGTGGCCGAGACGTCCATTACTATTGAAGACATTGTCGCCGTCATCGACTCGGGGAAGGTCAAAGAGACAAATTATGACCCGATCTCAAACATCGTACGATTGGAGGAAGTCTGGGCGTCTCAAGCTGCCTGTAAACAACGTCGTGGCAGAGCAGGTCGAGTGCAGGCCGGGAAATGCTACAAGCTCTTTACGAAGAATGTCGAGGCCAACATGGCAGCGGCAGCGGCACCCGAGATGCACAGGACGCCATTGGAGCAGCTGTGTCTCTCTGTGAAGGCTACCGGCTCAGATCGCAAGGTGGAGGAGTTCCTGGCACGGACGATTTCACCTCCTGACAGTCGCGCCGTCGCCACGGCCATGAAGACACTGCAGAGAATGGGTGCTTTGGAGAACGACGGCCTGACCGGCCTTGGCACTTACTTGTCCATGATACCAGCTGACCTTCGGTGCGCGAAACTGCTCGTCTACGGCGTCTTGTTCGGTTGCGTCGAGACCTGTCTGACCATAGCCGCGATATTGACGACGAAAAGCCCGTTCGTTTCCCCACGCGACAAGCGTGATGAAGCCAAGGATGCAAGAATGTCGTTCCCAACTTCGGAGGGTGACTTGATGCTCGATAGCGCAGCGTTCGACCAGTGGAAGGAGCTCTCTGCCGCTTCACGGTACCGAGACGTGCAGAACTGGTGTTCGTCGAAGTTCCTGTCGCAGCAGACCTTTCGCGACATCGACTCGACACGGCGCCAACTCCTTGACTCCTTGATCGAGGCAGGGCTTTTACCTCCTACATACCGCAACCAGTCGAACGACGGCAACCGCCACAAGGGCAATACCATGCTCCTCCGAGCCCTGATTGCAGGTGCTCTCAATCCTCAGATCGCGCGCATCCAAATGCCGGACAAGAAGTACATCGCGTCCATGAGTGGGGCGAAGGAACTCGACCCCGAGGCCAAAACCATCAAGTACTTCAACGAGGAGAATGGACGTGTGTTTGTGCATCCGAGTAGTGTTCTCTTCGACGCACAGTCATTCTCTGGAAATGCAAGTTTCGTCAGCTATTTCACCAAGATGGAGACGAGCAAGACGTTTATTCGCGATCTGACGCCCCTGAACGCTTATTCGTTGCTGTTGTTCGGCGGGCCGATCGAGGTTGATACGTCGGGGCAGGGGGTGATTGTAGATGGATGGTTGAGACTGAAGGGATGGGCGAGGATCGGGGTGCTGGCTTCGAGGTTGCGAGCTCTGTTGGACGATGCGTTGAGGCGGCGGATAGATGCTCGCGGCGCGGTGACGGCTGATGATGCTGGGCTCTTTGATATGGTCAGGCACTTGGTGGAGTTCAATGGCCAGGATAGATAGCGGGTGGAGGATGAGATCCGCATAGCAGGCGTTCGGACAGCCCATGACGACTCTGGGGATTCATGATCCTGCATAATGTCACCCAACAGCATAGATACGGTGGCTGATCCAGGCTATACAAGGTAGTTCGAGCATGATCGACCCGTGGCTTTGAGATGGGAAGATCATGAAGTGTTGTTGCACGCAAGGACATGATACTGTAGGTGAAGGTGAAGTGAAAGCCCTTACGGTTCTGTCATTACATCTGTATCTCACCCGTCACGTGCACGCCAAGGTTTCGGCTGTCACAACGGCACTAAACAGTTCAACACACAGTCCCACTTTGACATCTCCAGGCCCTGATTGGCTGAGAGAACAATTGAACGGGTTCCTGAGATACCTACCTATACCAAATCGCGTATCGCGTGTCCCGGTATTCCTCAAAGTTGAGCACAACACTGGGCACAATTCTTCTCTCTTCACACCGCCGCCTGGCTTGTCTACCACTCTGTCTAGGGAGATTATTCCCCCAATGTCTCCTCCACCCATAGCCGTCTCTGCGCCAGGCAAGGTCCTCTTCGCGGGCGGGTTCCTGGTCCTTGACCGCCAACACACCGGACTTGTCTTTGGACTGAATGCCCGGATCCATGCCATAGCAAGGCAACGACCAAGTGCGTCCTCAGCCGAACCTGCACGAGGCGACCTAAACGCCAATGAGCACACCGGCCTCGTGGAGGTGGAGTCGCCGCAGTTCAGGGACGCACGGTGGCTGTACAGGGTAGGCTTCGGGGGGTTTCTGGCGGGAGGCAACGATGCGGCGGCCGTGCAGGTCGAACAGGTGCGTGATCGGGAGGAGGCAGGGTTCACGGCCAGTGGCAACAAGTTCGTGGAGACGACGCTACGGTACGTTTTGACTTATGTGGCGAGAGGGGTTGTGCCAGGGGGAAACGAGGGTATTTGGGCGAGGGGGCCTGTCAAGGTGACCATCCTGGCGGATCACGATTACTACTCTCAGCCTGCGAACTCGGGCGCCCTCTCTCTCGTGCAAGGGCAGTCATCTTCAGGAACTGGTGAGTGGAGGGACTTTAACGTGCGGCTCAGTGAGGCGCACAAGACGGGCTTGGGTTCTTCAGCCGCGCTGGTCACGTCGCTTGTTTCGGCGCTTCTGGCCTGGTATTTGCAGAAGAGGGAGTTTGGCGATGAGACGCCGCTGAGTCAACGCACAGTCCACAATCTGGCCCAGGCTGCGCATTGCGCTGCTCAGGGCAAGGTCGGTTCGGGATTCGATGTGGCGGCCGCGGTCTACGGGTCATGTCTTTATCGGCGGTTTACGCCTACGATCCTTGAGAATGTCGGAGAGCCGACGAGTGCTGGTTTCGGGGAGCGACTGCACCTCTGCGTGGACGACTTGCACCGCGATTCGAAATGGGATGTCGAAGTTGCGAGTCAAGCGGTGCGGATCCCACAGAGTCTGTTGCTGGTCATGTGTGATGTGGACTGTGGATCCGAAACGCCGGGGATGGTGAAGAAGGTTCTACAGTGGCGGAAGGAGAGGACCGACGAGGCGACTTTACTGTGGAATGCGTTGCAACAGGGTCAGGAAGAGTTGTGTCGCGAGTTGAGGCAGCTGGCGGCTGTCGAGGCCGTCGACAGTGATTTCACGGCATTGAGGGATATCATCCTCACGATCCGCAGTCTCGTGCGCGAGATGTCTGTGAAGTCCGGAGTACCTATTGAACCGCCTGTGATTACCGAGTTGTTGGACTTCTGCTCGTCGATACCAGGCGTGGTTGGAGGAGTTGCGCCTGGGGCGGGCGGATACGATGCTGTCGCCCTGCTTCTGAGGAATGACCCTGGTGTCCTCGAGACTTTGCGAGCTAGGCTCGAGGGATGGAAGAGTCAAGATGATACGGGCGCAGAGATTGGGAATGTCAAGTTATTAGGCGTCAAGCAGGAGAATGACGGCGTCAGGATTGAAGACGGGGACCGTTATCGCGGCTGGACCGATTAGGATTCCTGAAACATAACAGGCCTGTGAAAGAACTTTCTCCCATCATCCGCACTCGTAATCATACTCATCGGTTCGCCCGAGGATGGACCAAGCAGTCTGTACTCGTAGGATTACGAATTTAGGTGGGCGGGCTCGGTTGGGGGTCACGGGGGGTCACCGGGGGGATCCTCCAACGCCCACGAACCTTAGGTCCCTTGGTAGGCTTAAAGTTCTTACCACTGCAGGAGAAGCCCGCTACCGCCGAGTGTCCGGGGGAAGGTGGTTCCGACGGTCTTTAACTGGAGAACCAGCCCAGAGGCGACCCAGCGACGCCCCCCAGAAATCCGACATGCGCTCCCCGATGTCAAGAGTCGACGATCGGCATCCCCGTAGCAAGAGGCAGCTGGCGTCATCGCAACTGTTTGACCCAGTGTGGGCGCAGTGAGTCGTGACTGAACACTGCGATCACGGTCGCTATGGACCGTATTAATTATCTCCATCGACTGCGAAGTGGTGCAGGGTTGATTAAAAGGACGCTGTGTCTAGGTTTCACATCTGCAGCAACATAGTGCAACGTCTAACTATTTAGCCGAGTCTCTCTCGTGCAGCAACAGCAACAGCAACAGCGACAGCAACAGCCGTGCCCGAAGGGGAGGCCGGTCTGCTTCTCCTCTCGCCTCTGTCTCGCCTCTGTCAGTCCGGCCTTCAGCTCGCCTCATCCATCACCACCACCACCACCACCACCACCTCCACCTCCACCTCGGTCGACTCTGATCTTGTTTCTTTCCAGAAACTTGGCACCCGTTTTCCAGGTCCAGTCACTCGCTTCAATTGGGTGCTCCTCTGCCTCTATTATCAATCTGCCCATCCAGATCCTCATCATCTCTGTTTCCTTGTTCGACTCGATCTGTCTGCGCAGATGGTGAGGCGATAAGTCCAGCCTTCACCCGTACCGCCATCGACTCCCATTGTTCCGTCGAGTTCCTGCAGTCGGCTGCGGTCCCAGGAAATCTCTCAACTGCGACACCATCTCGTCCACCACCAGCCAATCGATTCTTGTCTCGCTCCCTCGACATGTCGGACCTGCCTCCGAACCCTTCCCCCTCAGATCACCACGATGTCTCTGCATCTCCTCCAGACAACGAAGCCTCCGGTGAATCGCAGGTGCCGCCCATGCACGGCCCGGTGAGGATGGATACGAACACTGCCATGGTACAGTCTCTGAGCCCTCCTCCGCCTCCTCCGCCGCCGCCCGCCGCGATCGCGGAGTCCGAACAGAAAATATCAAGGCAGTTCTCTACAGCCATCGGCCCCTCTTCAGACGATGCATCACCAACAGTGCCAGCCAAAGACGGCGAATCGCCGTCAGCAACGATGGGGGCTACGGGACCCTCGCTCACAGTCACATTGCTTCTGACCTCGGGAGCGCGACACCCATTCAAGCTGGATAGCAAGTACTTTGCGAAGCGCAGTGTAGACGTACCCGCCAATGACCCTTTCAATCTAAGTGTCTACAAATTGAAAGAGTTGATTCTGCGCGAGTGGCGGGAAGAGTGGGAAGCAAAACCGTCGAGTCCAACGTCAATTCGGCTGATCAATATGGGCAAATTGTTGGACGATAAGGCATCTTTAAAAGGTATGCGACTGGCCGCCGTCAGACAATGCGCAGCGACTCTGTTCCATGCTAACCCGTGTGTTGTGAGTAATAGATTACAAGTTTTCTACTGATTCACCCAATGTTCTACACATGACCATCAAACCGCAAGACTTTATTGAGGAAGAAGATGCCAAAGGTGGCAAGTCGACCTATTCGACACATCGTGAAGAGAACAGAAGCCCTGGCTGTCGCTGTATCATTATGTGATTCCTCGACACAATTTCAGATCTCGTCGTCTGGGACCAACCATGCGGACAGGCCTGTCAGTACATGGCTCGAACGATTATGAAATGGACATGTCAGCATACGCAACAGCCACACAAGAAACAGGTGTCTTGTTGCCCCGTATGACTCCGAGTCAGTCTTGCTAGCCGAAGGAGGCCTTTTGAAGATATTTGGCTGGCCCGAATGCCCGACAAAATTGTCTTTCACTCTTTCTTTCACTATTTCCGTGGCGTGGCGTTTGGGAGGGTTATTGGGATCTGCCACAGGGTTCAGGCTGCAAGAGGATCAGAAGGCTTGCATCTCCTCCCTCTATCGACTTCTCCTAGGGGTTTACGTCTGCGACCACTTGGCAGAGCATCTCTTTGGGAACTTCGACTGGGCCATAGATCATTTTGATGAACAAAACAGGCAGTTCGAGGGGAAGGAAGACTGGTGATTGAGGGACCGAGTATTGGCGGGCTTGGCCGATCGCATGGGAGCGGGCTCGCCAAGGACTAGCCGAGTCTTGCCAGGAAACATCATTGTAAATATGGAGAGGGGGTTTCTCTTTTTTGGAGAAAGACCCTTTGTGGTGGATGGAATGTCTGTCTTTCAGGCTAGGGATTTTGATGTCCTGATGTTTATGTTAAGGCCGGGGCCAGATCAGGGTCAGGAGCAGGAGCCGGGGGAGGAGAGGTCGCATCTTCCAGGCATTGTTCCGGAGTACATATGTTGACTTTGCATATAACCATTTGGGCCTCTTCCAAGGCTTTCCGCGTGTCCCAATCACACATCAGACCATAAGTAGGCAACTGATACTTGGTAGACACCACGGTTTACCACGGTTCATCGTGCGTAAATGCTTGGTTGGCTGATTCTCGGAGTCGAAGTGATACATAATAAGAGTGAGAGTGAGAGTGAGAGTGAGAGTGAGTGACGAAAGGCAAAAAGGACAGCGAAAGCGAAAGCGAAAGCGAAAGCGAAAGCGAAAGTCAGAGTGAGTGTGAGTGTGAGTTGTGAGTTATGAGGGTACGGCTGAGGATGGTGACCAAGGGAGTATATAGCATGTATAGCATGTATTGTGTGTACTTACTATATGACATGACATGACATGACTACCTATGTACCCGTACGAGGTATGCTCGAAAATCTAGGCCCTGGACTTATAGGTCCACGAACGCTACCTGGTACTGCTTGTCTTCTCCTGGAGGTGGCGTGGTGGACGGGTATGGATGAGGGTTATAGAATGAATGTATGAATGAATGCATGGATACATGAATGCATGAATGAATGAATGATTGATTGATTGATGGACGGTGGACTTGCAGCATAGATAGATGGATATGACAGTGGAGCATGGCTGGGTCTCTTGCGGAAAGACTCTAGGTAGACGCCAGAGAACGGCAATGTCTGTTTCTTGCACGAGCAGTAGCAGAGACACTGAAGAATGCATGCCTGCATGGATAGCTCTGCTTGTTTTGCCCCGGCATTTGCTCGCCCGCTGATGTCGACTTGTGGGCAACGACATCGGTATGACTCTTGCCACAGCACGGCCAGCAGCAGCTTGGATCGTCCCCCGTCACAGAGTGATGTTACCCTCCATCTGAAGCTCGTGCGCCTGGCTGCCTCCATCCCATATTCCTCGCTCTATCGTCCCACGTACACTTGCATCCTCACCACTTCCCCATGCCTACCTTCCGCTCCATCTCCTCCATCCACCCGACCCCTTGCCCGTCTCCGCCGCTCGACAACCGCAGCCCGTCTTGCCCATTATATACATCCTCCCAGCTGATTTCCGTGTCCCGCCCACAGAGGATATCCTCGTGCACTCGCCCCGGCGCGCCGAGAGCGGACGGTCGAAAGCTATCGGCGTCGCGGACCAGCTTGAGTTCCATGCCCCGGCGGAGCGGCTCGGCGATGCCAAATGTCCGGCGCAGGAGATTTTGGCGTGTCGATTCCTGGGTGGCCGTCCAGGCTTGGAGGCGGGCTTCGAGGGGGTGCGACGACGAGATTTGCGCGGAGGAAGGGGACGCGGTCGAGAGAGAGGCGCGCAGCGTGTCGTGCAGGCCGGGGGCCGAGGGCGCGCCGCGGTCGAGAGAGTCTTTAGTCGGGCCGGAGGGTTTGGACGCTGTGGTTGTGTTGGAGGTTGACGTCGGGTGGGATGACGACGGTGCTAGGCGGAGGGACTATCATGGGGGGCGTCCATGTCAGAATATGCTGTAGAACTGATATAATATGATGTATATGTGGAGTTGAGAATGGTATAACGGTGTGGACATTTCTCTTACCATGTTGGCGGCGGCGGTGGTGACTGTGAGGTGAGGCTCAAGTCAGGATCGAGACAGGGCACGGGGCTCAAACTCCCGAAAGGTCTCTTGTAGACCACGTTCAGCTTTATTATGCGGATGCTAGAGGTTCGGTGGAAGCGCGAAGATGGGAGAGCTGAAGTCGTGTCGGTGAGGAACGATCTTGTTGAAAAGCGCAATTGAAGGTCTGGAGGCACAGACAGGCACGAGCACGGAGTACAGGCGCGGATGGATGTCGCGTTCTTGATATGGCGTCTGGTGGAGTAGTGCCGGGCAGTAATTTATACGGGGGGGTGTAGGACTACATTTTTGCAGTTTCTTCTGAACCGCCGCCAAGTATGGAGGATGCTGTCGCTACATTTAAGATCGAATCTCTCGGGAAGTCCTAGCTCGTAATCCTCTCCAAAATCTCAGAGTTCGTGCCGAATCCTTCGCAGCCCCGAGAAAACATCGCTAGATTCCTCAAAGGGATCAGAGCATGCGCTGTGCTCAACAGTGGCCCCATTCCTTGCAGAATTGCTCACACTTCCATTCCTCGGGCAGGTCGAAAAGGCCCTGTGCATCCATCTTGCACTCTCCCGCAGTGACAATGTTTAAGACATACTGTTTGTCCCTCACCCACTGGTAGACTGACTGCCAGCTCTCCTTGACCAACCACTCCTGCATCTCCTCAAGCACGACCAAGGCGGTCCATTCCTCCACCGAAGTATCATAGTCGATCCCAGCAATCCACATGTGCAGATGAAATTCGTCTATGATGAGCTGGATGACGAGTTGCTTCTGGTCTTCTGGCCAGTCTTGCCAATCTTGTTTATCGGCGCGTTTGGCGTGCTGGATATCCGTGATGGCCTCCTCGGGCGTATCCTCCTTTGCCATTTCTAGTGGGGTCCTCAACACCTCGAAAGGAACTTTGCTGAGGTTCTCATGAGGCTCAGAGGCGACTTCTCCTCCGTCCTCCGTCTTGGCGCCTGGAAGATGGGTAGGGCTAAAGGCAAGAACTCGGTCGTGTGGCTTGGCAGGCTCCTTGCCGCCCCGCGACGGGAAGGTCATCCCTTTGCTTGACCAGGGCTCGTTGGATTGGATGGGAGCCGCGCCGACAAGACGGAACGTCAGTGCGGAAGCGATGAGGGCCGTAGTGATGGCGACCATTGCGGCAACGGATAGTGAAAATGGGTTGGTTGGCTTGGGGACGGCTTAGGTGTCGACTTATGCTAGACTTTGTAGCCTTCTTGTGCAGTGTCGGAAGAGGCTCTAGGTATCGAGTCTTCTGAGTTGAGTTGGGAAGCTTTGATGGAGAGAAAATCCTTCTCGAGGACATCGGACGGTGCTTAAATAGTTGTATGGTCGTCCCTGTGCCGAGTTGAGGACCTAGGAAACTCGACATTAGGTTTGGTCGAAGCCGGTTCACCACCGAGACTAGCAACCAAAGTATTTCTCTTCGACCCATCGTTTCTCATGGTCCTCAATGATGTTCGCTACTACAGCCTTGATCTTGGGAAACACTGTCATCAGCCTCTTCAACCCACGACGGCCTGCCAAACAGGTGACAAATACGATTCTAGCTTCTGCGACTCCGTGGTCCACCAGCACTTTGACGGCCATCAACGCGGCTCCGCCACTCGACATCTGCGGGTCTAGAAGCATGACCGTTTCATGGTCCGCGATGTCTGGGAATAATTTCAGGTAGTGTAGTTCTGGTTCCCCCGTGCGGATGTTGGACTGGATGAGTAGTCGACCGGTCAGACAGTCCGGAAGAGTCCGCTTCAGACCAGTCTCCATGCAGCTTCCGCCGCGGAGAATGACCACGGCGGATATTGTGCCCGCCGATTTCAGGCCAGAATAGGTGAGCTTCTGCGGAGTGGAAATTTCATGAGCCACGTAGTTATGGCAGTCCAGGGCTTTTTCGATCAGCAGAGCTGTCAGCCTGTCAAAGTAGAAGACGAAATCGACCTGATCAGTTATTGGGTTCCGTAGGATCGTCGACACGGCTGTGATCTGTGGCGTCTCCCCAAGTACAATCACATTTTCAGGGAGCGTATAGATGTCAACTTGTTGGCCCAGCCTTTCCAGCTCGGCATTGTGCTTGATCGATTTTTCCTTGAGGATCTGTCTTGTTTGGTTGACGATCATCTGAATGGCCATCTTGTTCTGCATGCCCCGTGGGACGATGAGGTCTGCGATTTCTCTCTGCGGCTCGACGTACTTCTGGAATACCGGTTTGACGTATCTGAACCACTGTTTGATGGTCCCTTCAATGGTCCGACCTCGCTCCCTCACATCCCGAACGATGCGTCTTGACAAGCACACATCCGCATCTGCCTCCACGAATATCTGCATGTCAAGCAGCTCTAGCACCCTCGGATCGTGCAGAGCAAGGATTCCTTCTAGGACCACAATATGTGGCGAGTATAGTGAAACGGTTTTCTCCAACCTCTGGTGTTGCTGGAACGAGTAGACGGGGATATCGGTCCTCTTCCCTTGCTTCAGGCTGAGAAGCTTTTCGACTAGAAGGTCAAAATCGATCGACTCTGGAGAGTCGAGATCCCATTCATTAAGGTGTGCCAAGGCGTTTTGTTCGGGGGTGAGTGACTTGTAGAACGAGTCGATAGACAGAATGATGACCCAGGGCAGGTTCAGAGACTGGACGATCTCGATAGCTAAGCTTGTCTTCCCCGAGCCCGAAGACCCAGCGATACCAATGATGCTCATGTCCGCCCATGGTGGAGTGTATCGCGCTTTCTGTGGAAGATCTGCCGCCTCTGCTGCTTGTCGGGCTGAGGCTAGAATTGAAGTCTTTTTCAGATCTGTACCATCTGACATGTTTCCCTTGAATTCCCTCTTCCTGTCCCGGGATGATGTTTTCTGGCCTGATCAGACGCTCGCTGTACACACCTTGAACGAGGCGCGTTATTAGGCTGGCTGAGCAGGACTAGGATTCTCACTGCAGCTGGCTTGAAAAGGGTAAATGTAGACTCAAATGAATCTAACGCCAGGCGCCTAGTGAATACCGAGTTGACCAAGCTGTAAGGCTATGGAAGCTCTAACAAGGTAGCAATGAAGAAACAGTAGTATTGCTTGTTGGAGATCAACGTTGCCCGTCTGTCAAACAGCGCGGAGTGGTGGAACTATTTTCCACCTGGACAGCATCCTGACTTCTTCGTCCTCGAACCTGCGTTTGCGCTCAACAGCCGTTCCTTGCAATGGGCCATGGACCTCAATACTCTCTCAGCCAACTGGAAGAAACTACAGGCAACGCTCAAGACCTCTACCACCGGAATCTCGCCCCGAACGACCTCATCCCAGCATGGCATAAAGCGCAAGCGGGATCACTCTCAGCGTACTACGCGCGAGTCTCTCGCGGAGGCCCCGAAAACTAGGAAACGTCTGCGCGTTGGCAGGAGCATGGCTCAGAATGGCAACAACTCTGTGGGAAGGATGTCGGTCAAAGAAGCTGAGAACAACGACAATGTCCCGCGCCCCAGACCTGCTACTCTTGCTGCCTCCGACAAGGTCAATGCTGGACTGTCACCCGAGTAAGTCTATACCGTCCGCCCATACTGATCGATGCTAACTCGCTTTTAGGGTAGAAATCGGCCGATACGTCGCCCTCGATTGCGAGATGGTTGGAGTTGGGCCCAATCCCGACAAAGAGTCCGCGCTCGCCCGTGTGAGCATTGTCAACTATAACGGAGATCAAGTCTACGACTCCTATGTCCTTCCACTCGAACCGGTGACCGACTACAGGACACATGTCAGCGGGATATCAGCGAAACATATAAAGGTTGCCAGGCCGTTGAAAGAGGTGCAAGCGGACGTGGTGAAGATTCTCCAGGACAGAGTTCTCATCGGTCACTCCATAAAACACGATTTAGCGGCATTGATGTTGAGCCATCCGCAGCGAGATGTTCGGGACACTTCTCGCCACCCGCCCTACAGGAAGGTTGCTGGAGGCAGTTATCCGAAGCTGAAGATCCTTGCATCAGAGTTGCTGGGCACAGACATCCAAGAGGGTGAGCATTCAAGTGTCGAAGATGCTCGGGCCTGCATGATGCTCTTCCGGAAAGACAAGGCTGTGTTTGAAAGAGAACATTCCAAGAGATGGCCCACGCAGGCTCCCATTCAGACACAGCAGGAGGTGGATGCACCGACAAAGCCTCGCAAACACAAGAAAAAGAAAAAGAAGCACTAGGGCGATCGCGTTGAACGAACCAACAGCATTCGTCGCTGCGTTGTGGAAATCTCCAGGGGCATGTTCTCCGGCCTTCTCATGGTGCACTCGCTCGCCCCTGTGACGGTCACATACCCAAGCCTTGGTCCTAGCCTGGCTTCGCAATACACGAGATGACACTGGACGCCATGGCATAGAGTCTTTCGCGTAGTGGGGTCCGAGGTTGTTGACAGGGTCTACGGCCAGCATATCTTGACTACCTTTCTTGATCGAACTCGTCCAGTTGTTGGCAGTCGTTAGGTGACCACGAGGGACGATATATTTCCGGAAGGAGTCTCCTCCCTTGAGCATGTCTCAAATATGGACTCAGGCATTGTGATGCATTGAAAGACTGTGGTGCCTCGACCCGGTCTAAGCAGCTTGAGTATGCGTCCGAAGTACCTGCAGAAAGTCCACGGCCAACTACTTCAGTCATCTCACAATCTCATCGGAAGGTTCTCTCCCAGGGATAAGGAGCTCGCTGCAGTCCGCACAGAAGAACCCCGATATTGCCTGTCAATCCCTCTTCGGCAATGCATCAAATCAATCCGCAAGGTCTTTCCGTCACCACTCAGCGTCAACAAGGAGTGACTGACATTCGGGTTTATTAAAATCTTGATGGTAAATATACCCCGGCCGGTGCCAATCTTCAGTACGTGTTCTCGTGGTTTTGTCTTGCATTTGAATGACTCGATCCAGCTTTTGCTCCCTGCTTGCTCCACAGAGTCCCGTCTTTCCCTCTATTACTTTGGAGACCACCTCCCATGGTGGGGGCAGGAGCGTGTCATACTATTTGAAAGAAAGCCTCCAAAACCTACACTGCTGAGATTACAATGCACACTAATACTCAATTGGGCATCTCTCCGTGTGTCCTTTCGTCAGAGCAGTCCGTTGACGGTCGAGAAGAGGTAGGAATCCAACATTGTTGCGTCTGATAGTTCATTCTTCGCATATCACGGTGATATCATCCTGCTCTCAATCACTCCTCAACCGGAAAAAAAGGGGGGTCATATCTGAACATTCCACTTCAGAAAGCATGCCCGACCACGCAGAGCCCCGAGACAGGATTTTAGCTCGCGTGGTGAGCAGAAAGGACCCACGACAGACCATATCGAGAACCAGAGCTAATCTCACCCTGAAAACGTCGAGGGATACGCGCAGGGTGACCAATGGAGGGACGTCGGCTTGTATCTTATTCCTGGAGCTAGCTACTGTGCCTTCTCGCTCGTCGACGGTGAAACGTCCGCCCTTGAATGTTTGAGAACAAGGACTGGACGCTGTGTCTCTATGTCTTCACAAAAGTTTCCCAGCAACCTGCGTCAATGCAGATGCGTACTCGATCAAGCGCTGAGGTCTTGTAAGATACAACGGTACCACCACCAAGAACTCAACCTGCAGAACCAGTCTGGGAAAAGCACAACCAAAATAAAGTGGAAGGTCTTTCTGAGAGACAAAGTTGAGTGAATCTCGGACAAAATCTAGCCAGGGCGACATCTCAGATCAACGTTTCGGTCCAATCCGCCTGCATGGGGTGACGTGCAGCGCAGTGAAGCAGCAGACAGAACGTCCGAACAAGGACGATTCATTTTCATTTGTAGCAGCAAGCGCCTGGTCCAGCGAGAGAGGCAAAGCACCGGTCTGAGTAGCCACTGGAATGCGTGATCGAGCAAAGACGACTCACCCCAAGGTTCGCGTAGGCATGGTACGAGTAATATCTTGGTCCAAGTGCGACTTTAGCTGCTTGCTCGCAGGGACGGGACGTGTGTCGAGCAGTTGACCGCTGCGAGAAAGCGCCTTGCCTCCATATAGTATGTATTCTCGCCAGAGGTCCTCCATGCCAAGTGTGCTTCGGTATGGGTTGGTGTATTTGTTTCGTCTGGTTGATGCCGAATTAACGGTCCAACAGATCCAGACCCTCAAGGTTGAGGATACCATGGCCCGGGTGATGTGGCTGCATAAAGGGCAAAGCCAATGCTGGTGTCTGCGGCATGTCGTTTCGATGGAGCAAGGGCTTCATAGAGCAAGGTTTAGAGAAACCTTTCGAGGGCAATGTATCTCCGCAACTCGATCTTCAGAGCCTCGGTCCACCCTTCGTCCGGTCGGTTCTACGAAGAGGAAGCCCCCCTCTCCAGGACCCCCCAGCCTGACCTCCGCAACTCGCTGTCGCCTCCAATCACCACAGCCGAAATTGGTATTTCAAACCCGATACCAAGAACCTCAAACCTCACAGTGCCAGTGGCTTTTCCTTCCTAGGACTTGTAACTCTACAGCTGCCATTCACCCGACCATGGCGACCGAAACCAGTGCTCTCACCGAGCAGCAACGTGCCGCACGCCTCATGGAAGCCCAGACTATGGCGTTTGAGCTCTTCCGCGAAATCGAGCGAGACTTGGTCCGGCCGGGCATCAGCGAGAAAGCCTTGAGCGACGAGATCCACGAACTCGGGGCGAAGCGCCACAATGTCCGGACGCACTGGCACAAACGCGTCGTCCGCAGTGGTCCGAACACTCTCATGCCGTACGCGGAGAACCCTCCGGACCGAGTCATCCAGCCTGATGACATCTTGTTCGTGGATTTGGGACCGGTATTCGAGGCCTGGGAGGCTGATTTCGGCCGCACTTTCGTCCTGGGCGACGACCCGGTGAAAAAGAAGCTGCGTGACGCACTGGAGCCCGTCTGGACCACGGTCAAGGCCCGCTACCGGGAGAAGCCCGACATGACGGGAGGTCAGCTCTACGATATCGCGTGCGACGAGGCCCGGAGGCACGGGTGGGAATTCGGCGGGCAGATCGCGGGGCATCTTGTCGGGTCGTTCCCGCACGAGCGCATCCCCAACGACAAGATCACGCTCTACATTACAAAGGGGAATACGGAGTCGATGTCTCAGTCCGACGCTCACGGGCACAAGAGGCATTGGATTCTCGAGGTGCATTTGGTCGACCGCGAGCGCCAGATCGGGGCGTTCATGGAACAGCTTTTAACGATTGATTGAGGCGGCTACGATACCACTATCAGGGTACAAAGCGATCCTGCGCTCTCTGTCGCCTTCCATGTACAATTCTCCTGCTCTCTCTTCATGGCGTCGGAGTCATACTAGTACAGTCCGATCATTGCCGCTTCGGACCTCATCGCGTGTTCGAGACACCTAGTTGGGCGTCATGGCCCAGAGCAACGAGTTCTCGGAGAAGCCCGAGTTGCTGTCGGAGATCCCAGCAGCGAAGTTGACAGGCTCAGAACGTATTCGTAGATCTCCTACATAACTACGAGGTAGGTACGAGTAGGTGCTAGGGGAACTATGACTGACGCGAATCAAGATCATCCATGAGCCTCTGTGGTGGGCATGTCCGCGGCTTCTCGCCTAAACGGGTAATCAATCCATGTTGCTAATGACTATCTCTAGTATACATAAAGGTCTACTCCAGATATAGAGTTGGCTGATCACTGCACAGTCACTCATCTCGGACTTTTGGGCCACAATTAACTACAGCTCTTCCCACAGCACAATGGGTATCCTTCCAGCTCGCAAGGCGGTGGCGTTCCGGGTCCAGGCTGGCCAGGAGGTCAAGGTGATCAACACTTATGGCAAGCAAGTCGTCGACTTCTGGGCGTTCAACCCTCAGGAGCCCAACGACTTCCTGTCCATGGTGCACACGCGAACGGTGCTGCTCAAGATATCCCTAGCAAAGGGCGATGTGCTGTACAGCACGCGCAGGAAGCCAATGCTCGTTTTGACCGACGACACAACTCGGGGTGTGCACGACATGATCTGGTCCGCGTGCGACGCCGAACGATATCGCATGCAAGGCTTTGATGGGTACCACGACAACTGCCACGACAACATGCACAAGGCGCTCAAGGAAGGGTTTCCCGACTTCCACCTCGCGGACGACTGGGTTCCGGACCCACTGAACCTGTTCATGAACGTGGCCATCGACCACCGCTCCGGGCTGGACATCAAGGCTCCCACGTCCGAACGCGGCCAGTATGTGACCATGCGCGCCGAAACGGACCTGATCATCGTTATGAGCGCGTGTCCTCAGGATCTGGCACCTGTGAACGGGGGCATGCCGACGGACTGCGAATATCTCGTTTCTGGCTCTGGGACGGCCAGTACCACCACCGCGAGCACGAGTCTGTCTATGACGATCTCGACCTCCCCTCAACGCCGCCGGCGCCGAGTCAAGGTCGCGCTCTCCTTCGACTTCGACGCCGTCTCCCACTGGCTCGGCACCGGCTGCCACCCGGACAACAACATGGCCGACTACAGCTCGGGCATCTTCGCGGGCCAAGTGGGTGCTCTGCGACTGCTCTCCATGCTCTCGCGCTGCGGGGTCGCCGACAAAGTCACCTGGTTCATCCCGGGCCACACGATCGAGACGTTTCCCGACGCGGTGCGCCAGGTCGTCCAGTCCGGTGCGGAAGTCGGGCTGCACGGCTACGCCCACGAGGGCATCTACCAGATGACGCCGGAGCAAGAGCGCGACGTTCTCCTGAAATGCATCGACGTGGCCACTCAACTCTGCGGCAAGAAGCCCCGCGGCTACCGCGCGCCCATGTACACCATCCGCGAGACTACAGTGCACCTCCTACGAGAACACGGCTTTCTGTACGACACGTCGCTCATGCACCACGATTCGCAACCCTACTTCACCCCGAGCGACCCACCCATCAAGACCATCGACTTCTCCCAGCCGGCCTCGTCGTGGCTCCATCCCACCCCGATCGCGGCCCAGACGTTCCCGCCGGCCGACACGCACCCGCTCGTCGAAATCCCCTGTGGCTGGTACAACGAGGACATGATGCCGCTGCAGTACCTGCCGCACCTGGCCAACAGCATGGGCTACGTGTCGACCCGCGTCGTCGAGCAGATGTGGAAGGACAAGTTCATGTGGCTGTGGGAGCACGCCGCCGAGACCGAGGGCTCGGATTCGGCCGATTTCATCTTCCCCATCCTCATGCACCCGGACACGTCGGGTCTGGCGCACATCATCGGCATGTCGGAGCGCTTCATTTCGTGGCTCAAGGGCTTCGGCGACGTCGTCTCCTTTTGCACACACGAAGACATTGCCCGAGACTGGCTCGCCGAGCAAAAGGCCAAGTTGGGCTCAAAGTAAGACGTGCACCCAAGTCATGACGGCGCAAGTACGTCTTGGGGATGAGCTCTTCACAAACCACTCGAAACACACATTCACGGGCCCAGTGGAAAGGGAAACCTTGGCCCTTCTCGCATGTTGCTCCCCTGGACGAATAGACGCAGCGACTCTACCAAGGAGTGAGACGTCGCATCGGTCGCCAATGAGACCAAGTACCATGTGACGCTGCGACTGGTATTAACGAATGGCTGTGACGAGGACGATGGTCGCCTGAATTTCTCGGCGTCGGAAGATGAGTATGTAAAAGGTGCTCCAGACTCACGTACAGCCCAGCTTGAACGCTGCGCTATTATCGTTTATCGACTTGCCCTTCCCTCTCACCTCCGTGCTCGCCTCGGTCTCGATCACATATATATACTTTCCCTCCGTCCTCACTATCGCGGCCATCATCACCAGAGTCACATCACACAGCTGGACATCGCCAACATGGCCAATACGGTCCTCGAAAACATGAAGCGTTACACACAGAAACTGCTGGATGCCTACGCAGCGTGGGATCTCGACGCCATCCTCGCAGACAGGGCGGAAGAATGCGTCTACCACGCCCGCCCGGAGACAACAGGCCTCCCGCCAAGGAACAACGCGGAGTACAGAGAGTGGTACACCACTGAGATCATGCCATTGATGAAACGGGGCATCAAGGTATTGACAGGCTCCAAAGATACCTACTGTGCGCGGGCTTGACTACTAACACACGCTGCTAGATGGAAGTGCATAACGCTGTGTACGATGTGGAAGCGCGCAAATCGGTCTTGCATGGCATCAGCGCCTCGGAATCTGTTGTTGGACCGTATCAGAATGAATGTGTTCTGATCACGACCTTCAATGAAGCTGGTGACAAAGCTGTCAGGATTGAGGAGATGTTTGATAGTGCCTATTTTCAGCAGTTTGGCCAGCGATTGCAGGAGTTCATGTCTTCGCAGGAGAAGCAATAGGTTGTGAGAGGGAGACGCATGTCATCCCTGTGCTAGTTAAGTACTGTACGACGCTCCTGAAATACTTATGGATGGCCAGGATGAGTAGCGACATTATGTACTAGAGCAGTCAGCATGAAGGAGACACGACTGACACTCAACTGATTCTTTCTTAATTATCCCGCTCGCGTAAGGCGGGCACTGCGGGGTGAGCACAAGGCGGCGTCACCGCTTTTCCCGATCAGGGTGACGCGCGAGCAGCTGCGTGTCGAGGGTGTAAACGCGTCAAGCAGTAAATCCCCTCCATGTCCCAGAGAGTTTCGACAGCACATGGACCTGCATTGAAGACCTTCATATACGGACAAGATGCTTGCATTGCAAGGCCTCGACGAAAACGCAAACAAGCGCATAGCCAATATCCTACCGTGCCGCATACACCACAATGGTCCTACCAAAGTGACGAAAAGATATTGGTCGCCTCAAATCGAGAAAGGTGCGTCGCAAAGCTTTCCGCCGCCGTATCTTGCAGACATTCTGACTTTGTCATGTCAGACGGTACAGCGACGTCCTACTTTCGAGGTCGTAAGTTACGCGGAAAAGTCATCACGTTGCCCGCGGGATATCGAGGTGCGAGACACTTTGACCTACATCTTGTTCCCCGTCTAATGTATTTTCTAGGCGTGGTCGCCAAATCGACCGACAAATATCTCCCACAGCCGATCAAGTCTCAGAATAGCCCTACGTACACTGCCGTGGACGAAGATATCGAGATCGCCGACGATGAAGAGGAGCCTCCTGAGCCTGTCAGAATCCTCGAAGAGACGTCGACTTTCGCGGACATCATTGTTTGGGGGCATGATATCTTGCCAACGAATGAAGATCCTTTTGTCAAAGGCATCGAAGAGTGGATATCCTTTGCTGAGGCCATACATGGCGACGGCGCCAAAGACGACCAACATGCGAGCGGTGACGAGAAGAAATCGGCTTGACCAAGTCACCCGTGCCGCATAGATCACCCACCCTCAGATTTACAATACTCCTTCTTCGCCTTCAACCACTCTTCCTTGAGCCGGACATACCGCTCGGACGCCAGGCATCTCCGCCAGTAGCCCTTGAAGATCTCACTGGCTTCTTCTTTCTCCTTCCTCTTCCCATCGACATCATCCTCAGTCCACTTCCCCAACTGCTTGCCATCGGCACCGTACTTGCGGCCGCCTTTATGATTGGCGTACCGCTTGGCCCGAGTCATACCCATCTGGATGAATTTGCGCGTCATGTCGGCTCCAACTAGATCACCTCGGTCGACATAGGACTCGAAAATCACCCACAAGACTTCGGCTGACTTTTGGGCAATTGGCACTGTCCGGAATGCCCAGAATGGTAGGATGAGGCTCTTATATGGTTCGAAGGACAAGACGCCCATTTCTCCTCGAGCAATTTCGTATGAGAAGCATAACTGCTTGTCGTCCAGGGCTGGCGCTTCAAGGGGTGACTTTGGTGCGACCAGGCTGTCAACTGTTGCCTTGGGCATCTTCCTGGTCGTGGGTTGAGCGCATTTTTGTCGCAGGACTGATAGAGTGCGAAGCGTTTAAAGAATCAAGAAGGAAATGGATCACCTTGGTGCCCTAGCAGACGGTCATGACGACACACGGTTCGAATGACATGAGCTTGGCCTCAATTGACGCAGTACCGCAGCCAGGGTATCGGAATTCCCTACAAGGCTTGTTTCCATCTCTTCTTCGACTCGGATAGTACAAAGTCTCTGAAGGCACGAAACATTTTGTCTAAGGATCCCTCTTGGAGCGGCAGAGGTACACCATGGCGGGGCAGCTCGCGCAAATTGGGGTCGTGGTAAACAGCACCCATGTCGTATCCCAGCTCAATTTGTTTGCACCCTCTGTGCTGTTGGCAACTCCTGCGGACCCGCGAGAGGGGCTCGAAGCAACTTTGTCCGGCGGGGAAACGCCTCGTCACGTTACCACTCCCGCCCTCTCATCGATCTGCTCTGACCTGGAAGAGGATACCGCTTGCAGCACCTGGGGTTCAGCTCTCAGAGATGCCATGCACACAGCACCGCCAACCCGGCTTCGGTTTGATGGCTCGTTATTGCAAAGCTATCTGCCACTAATGGCGTTTTTCGAAAGGGTCCCTGCGTAAGCTGGTCGAGCGGCATCCGTAAACCCAGTTTACCGTGGAGGCTGGAGGAATCGAGGCCTAGCCAGATGGAAACCCAGCATGGGTCCTGGATTGACCGCAGCCAAAGTGTCAACTGGTCATTTGAACGCGTTAACGGCGAACGTCAGCTAATGGTGCAGTCCAGTCATCAATACCGCCTTTTAGAAACCTGCAAGGTTCTGTGCTGAGCCGCTCCATTACTGACGGTCTCGGGAGATCAACCATCTGGCTCAGACATCTTGCGTCGCTTTCGTGACTTGCTGAGCTGTGGCTCATAGCCGACTCTTGGCCATTCTCAAGGTTGCACCACCGCAACAGAGGGAGTCAAGCTGATATGGGTTACGCTCTTAGGCACCCGGAAACAGTGGTTCCACCAGTTCCAGCTCTGCTGCACCTGCAACGGCCTTTTGCAAGCCAGCCATGGGGGCTCACGGAGTCGGCCCTACAGCGTAACAATCATCGACCAGTTGTTCGCGTAGCTTTCTTGGGGTGGAACTAGTGCCTGCACCGCAGCACGACAACGAATCGAACCCATGTCCGCTTATCCCCTTGAGGAAGTGGCACCATCTCAGTTTGTCGAGAGCATCCCTGCGGCTGGAGCAGAAGTATACTCGGAACCACACTTGAGCCTCGAGGCTGGCCCATGCAGATGGCATTGCCGCAACCGCAAGAAGACACTTAGCTTCGTGCAGATGCTTGTGTAAGCAAGAGCCTTTTACTGGATTCGTGCCGGAGCAGCGCCGTCAAATCAAGCCAAGAAGTTTGTGCGCCAGACAACTGGCTTTCATCTGCCCCTTGTCCGTCGATTGGCGGCACAACTATACCTCTGCAAAAGTAGCAGTACCGTCAATACACCTGCCAGCGGGTTTCTTCAAGGGTCTCCCCAAGGCGGACCGCATCGGGTACGAAGAAGCGGAGGAGATTCAGAGCTCCTCTGTTAAGCGAAGACACATTTTCATCCTGGTTGATGCTTGGTCGCCCCCCGTCGACCTTCAGCTTACTAAATTCGCGACTTCCATCAATGTGTACTGTTCTGTGGATCATCACATCTCGCCTAATTAATTACACAACACATCGACACCGCCTGGACAGCGCAGACTGCTTCCGAGTGGGGGATTGCGCTACTGAATCTCGCTACGATATGTCAGAGCTGTCCTGCTGGCGATCAAAGCTGCTGTTCGTCAATGCTCGAAGACCGCAGTGTAAGGCTGTTGGAAGCCACATCGTCCGTGAGGCGACCAAGCGAAGGTCCTTGCGTCGCATGGAAGGTTTCTCGACTCTGCGGCAGGGTTGCCGCACCACTTACTTTCACGACGTCCGCAGTAGGGGACGATCATCGGGCAGCATGTCATGCAAACGGCTCCTTCTCGGACATTGTTCGCCGTTGGCTTTTCTGGCACTCGTTGGGACCCATGCAACCCATTTCTCGTCCCCGTCTTCGAATGTGTGCCCCTGGCTACAGACCCTTGTGCGTTTAGCTCCAGACGTGGCGGACCAGGATACTAAGCCGCCGCCTCGAGATATATCACATGCAGCGAATTTGACGCCACATATTTCCTTCTCGGGTTGCAGCATCATTACCGTGGCTGCTGTTTACCCGTATGCTCCACCACTCAGCTCTCTCCCACGCCATAATCGCAATCTGCTTGGCGCAGATGCAAAAGCTGATTACCATCGGCTAACCCACGAGCCCCACAACAACTGGCCTACCACCGCGATTGTGCCATTGTTTTGGTCAAGCACGGGCTATAGGACCTGGGAGGGCTGGAGAAGTATGCGGCAAGGAGACCATGGTCACACTCGCAAACGTGGGTCATGGCCCACGTGTGAAATTCAGAATGTTGCGAAGAGCAGGCCGCTTCATTGCCAAGACCACGCGTCCTTGGAGTGCCATCTTTCTGGTTAACAAGCACTCCTTAGCCTCTCGGGCGTCTTGGAAGCTTTCGACCAAAACCTTGTTGCATACCTGACATACTGCATCGTCCTGTAATACCATGTTACATGGTAAGGCCATCTCAGGTTGCTAATTCGGGGATAGCTATGACCGCTTTTTCCAGACGAGTGTGCATTGCCAGAGTGTTCTCGCCGCGAGCAAAGTCTCGCGGCGGGAGACCTACGTCGGATGCTCCCTCCAACCCTCTTGGATGTGGTTTCAACATCGCTGTCTGGCTTTCGCAGCCATGGCTACCTTTTCCTGGCAGAATTGGCCAACCGATACGCCTAAGTTGCTCAGTGGGGTGCGATAGAGTCTGTGTTACAGAACTTCTTCTGGTCACATTCTTGTCAGCAGTCTCACCCCGTCTACTCTCACTTGTGAGGCTGAAGCGACCCCAAGATTCCATTCAAGTTTGGTGACTTTGCAGAAGGCTCAAGCGCATCGACTATGCCACTACCGAAGTCAACCCTTTACGCCTGCCTCAACGGTCGACTGCCCGTTCCCGACAACCACTCTGTCCCTTAGCGCCAACCCTCGAAACGATGGAGGAGGTTCTAGAGCTGCGTTCCACCTTCTAGCCGGTCCTTTTGCAATAAGAGTGTCTCCGCCGCCAATGGCGACACGAAACTTGCACTTTCCATCACCCACTCAAATGCTTCATCCATCGGGCCACCCTCTGCACGGTGACGTTCCTTAAGCAGCTGGTTCTCAGCCTCCAAGTCTACGACGATTACTTTGAGTCGGTTGATCACTTCGAGGAGTTCCTGGTTGTGAAGGTGCAGAGTTCTCAACTGTGACTGCTTTTCGGCCAAAGTCGACGATGCCGTCTTCAGTTGCGCCTCTTTACGAGCACGATAGGCACGCTGAGCCTTTCTGTTTTGAGCACTAAACGTCCCCTCGAAAGGCGTATTAGCTGTCCTCGTTTTAAAGGACGATGAAAACGAGATCCATGACTCCACTAGCATGGAACGAGTTTGATGAGGACTCACCGTCTCCTCTAAGACTTAGTCAGCTCTTGCAACAGCAGCGGGCATTCGGGATACACGTACTTCACACCTGGATTGAACCACTTCACATCCCTTGCCCTCGGGGTCGATCACAAGGAAATGTGATTCGCTCAGCATGCCGCTGAAAGCTCCGGCTGGAATGACATGATTTTCACCTTGGTCCTGACAAGATCCCGTCGGCGTAGAGGCTGCAAAGGGGGATGTTGCCACAGTGAGAGAATACGCCGAGAGCAGCTTCGAGATCGAGGATTAGTTCATGCGCAACCCGCGAGCAATATGAATCTGCTCACCTGATCCCATTCGTAATCGTCGAGAGCAGGGTCATCGTCGCCTCCGAAACGACCGTTGTTGTGAGTGTCAGAATAGACATAGGGCTGATGAAAAGCTTCAGCCCGGAGTCCCTTTCGGAAGACCAATGTGGAGGATGAAGAAGCAGGGTCCATGACTGAAACTCGCATGAGGCTCCTCAATGGTTTATCAGTGGGAAGCCCAGGACTTTATTGGGATGTGATCTGATCTTCGCCCACAGTGTGCATGTATGCACTATACATACATACATACTTTGGCTCTCTCGCGCAGCCGCTCGGTGAATCTGGCCGGAAACCGACCCTATCAAAGGGGTAACACGTACATTCAGATCGCCCGGGTAGATGACTTTCGGGCCGACGAACTCAACGACCCAAGTCGTGACCCTCAACATCAAAGCACTTCGCCGCGGCCGTTCTAGCGCGGCACGGCACTTAACTAGTAAGTAGGAGCTCATGTTCGCCATATATCGCCAGAACTCGCCCAGGACTCGGCCCCAACTCGCCACTGCAGTATCAATATCATGGTACTGTACACGGACCGTGTAACAAAGTGGAAGTGCAACACGCCACAGGTGGAGCACTACGCCAAAGCAGGGCCACACAAGGATAGTTACGGTAGGCAAGGCCCACCGATCATATACCCAAAAGATACAAGGGCCATCTTACCTAACCAGATTATCAGATATCACCGGATGGGTGCCAGATTCGATTGTCTGAACGTAAGCGAACATGGCCAAGAAATGAGCCGATGCAGGTCGAAGCCACAGGCAGAGTCGCCAATTACCTTCCTCATATGGAATAGTGGTGCCGAACAAGCCTGGCCATTCACGATACCTGAACGGTTGGCCGCATCGAGAAGCTGGTACGGAGTACTCGTCTTGGTCTTTCTACCATGGTACGGAGCCATGTATGATGCCAGCCAGCCTCGCCGGCGTGACCTCGCCCGCTATGTACCGAAAACTAAAAGATAAAGGGCTCTCGTCCAGTCGCAGTGTCGGTGCCCTTCCCAAATAGACCCGTTCACCAATTCCACTCGGCTGGAGGTTGTACCTCGTCTGATCTGGACCTTCGGCTTTTGTCTTGTTACTCGTACTGTACAAGTATTGTGGTGGTCCAGCAGAAGATGATACCGTCGGTCTACCCGCTCCACCGTCCTCCGCTCAGTCAAGTCACGTCATGATACGAAGCGTGTACTGTGTCTTCAACCAACATGTACTGTATTGGAGGGTTTGTTTTCCTGATCGGAGCCTCCTGTTTGCTGCCTGCTCCGTTTAGTGTCCTCAACCTGACCTCAACCTCTCGTCTGCCTTCCTATGCTATTCTGAGGTCCGAGCAGAATCGAAAGACTATGGTCATACCTCTGTGAGCCGCCATGGGAACACTTGTAGTTTTCTTACCTGTCAGTACAGCAATGCCACGGCCCAGCAGGGCCTAGACGTACGCGACTTTGTGCCGACATCCTGGCTAAGACAGGAACGTTGTATGAGGGAGATCAGTTGTGCGCGCACTTGGACCTGTCGATCAACGAGGTAATTGGTCGGGTAATTACACAACCTAGGCTGCGAGGGAGATTGCCGCTTAATGGCAGACAAGCGGTCACATGAATCATGTCTTTCAATCTGGCGGCCTTCAGGTGTACATGAACTTGACCGAGGTCGAGTTCACGGGCTCCAAACGGGCATGACGACGAGTATACCCCTCCGCGGCAAGTCCCCGACGGAGGGGAGAGTCAAGATCCAGGTCCGTGTCCAGGAGAAAGGCTGTGCGAACCGACATGACGATTATTATCCCAAGGACGAAGCTGCCACCACCGCCGGCCATCACGATGACACCCGAGTGAAGACATACTTGATGCAGTACGCGGCCTGGGTAATCTCTATACTAATCAGGGAAAGGAGGAGATGTACTCACGGGCACTGCGGGGGCACGGAGAAGGCGCTCGGGATGGAGCACGCGTCGACACTCTCCACGGTCATCAATCTCGGCCACCTCTGCTCTGATTAAGAGAAGCTGGAGCAGGCGGAGCAGATGTACTCGCGGGCAATGAGGGCTTTAGGAAGCTGGAGACCAGAAACACTGTTTGGCCGAGAATTCAACTTCCTGAGTCGAGCAGATAGAGGACGTCAGAGTGTTCAAGACATGTGGAACGGACGTCCCGGAACGCATTCCACGGGTGATCTGACGTTCATGGACGTGAGAACGCCATCTTATGGACCAGGAGTCTTCGTTTAGAGAATAAAAGGTGCTCCCAGCCGGTTCCGTCTCGAAGTAACTTTAGCCGCCTCCTCTCTCCTGCACCCCAATCTCCTTATATAGGCGCAGCGACTCCCGCTTCAGCCTTCTGCGGGTGGTTCGTCAACTGGCGTTTGGCAGTGCTGCGGGCCAGATTGTGGCCTTCGTGACCTCGCGCACCCATGAGCATGCGTACCCGAGTCTCCACTTGCCAAAGGAGCGGATCCTGCTTCAACTCTGCGTCGAGGTGGGCGGCGAGTTGATTAGATAGGCCATCCTCGTGAAACTTTTCGATGTGGCGCCGGTCACTATCTTCGTCTCGGAACGCAGGGCGGGCCGTCAACCGAAGAGCAATTCGCCACATAGCTCTGACCGAGAACCGCAGGGTCGACTTGCAATAGTGCTGTGACCACTCGACTGCGGTGTTTTGCCCTGGCAACTTGGGCGTCAGTAGAGCAGCGTAAACGCCAGAAAGGAAATCAGGCTCTGCAGAGTTGTGGAGCCTGCAGCGAGATTGTCCCCCACTGTCTGCGCGGCTTTCAGAGATATGTACTATCAGCCGCCTTTCCAAGCTGCCGCCTAATAGCATGAATGGATAGGCCCCGTAAGTAACCGGCAATGATCGACGTGCTCTTGCAAATGTCGATAAAGGTGCCCCTGGGCATTGAGTTGTTGGTCACGAGTCTCCAGGCACGACCGGTGTTAACAGATTTGCGTCACATCCAAATCCTGTCGGGAAGTTCAGCACAAATAAAACCTTGGGTCGCAGTCCGCCCGCGAAAGATGGCGTTGATGCGTGCCCCAGTCCAGCAGTACACGTGGATAAGGAACGTGGTTCAGATCTGATATCGCCCGTGGATGAAAACCAAGACGTTGAATGTCCACAGCACGAGCGGCCACAGGTCAGATCTTGGACCGTGAAACCGTGCTTCGCCTGGTGCTTGCTGATGACGACTCCTACGAAGACCAAGGTTCATTGGGTCTACTGAAGCAGTATGCGTCGGTTTTGCCAAAGAATCAGGATAGGAAACTGTGATAGGAAGGGTTCCGGAACCCACGTACACCTCGCTTCTCTCCTCTGCGTTTGTATCGCCCCAGCGAGTCTGGTAGAAGCCCGTGAAGGATCAATCTGCAGTGGTGCAGATGGGATCGCAGCCGGCTTCTCCTTATCGATCTGAGAAGTGCTCGTGGCGGCGTAGAACCGTAAACAGGCTTCAGGTCAACAGTTCCCGGGCAGGAACTCCGTCCCCCCAATTCTGGCCACAATGTGGCAACGTGTAACTGGGGACTCAAGCCGGCCTCCAGCTTAGAGGCAGTATTCATGTCCGCCGAATTATCTGTCTTAGCCAGATGAAGTTCAACAGGAGCTCTGCAGAATGTACGATTAGCCCTGCGCTATGTAACATAGTCCAATGAAGAGTGAAGCAGAAGCTTACGCTTGTAATCATCATGTTCTTCCGGCCCAACACTGAAGCCAGTATGAATCAGTCTTGCTAGAAGATATTGTCGCCCAAGACGGCCCTGGGCTGCAGCACCACCCGTAAGAAGTCTGAGAAGTCGAAGCCGAGAGCAGCTCAAAAATAGCAGAATGGAAATTCAGCAGCCCCTACCACTTACATCCAGAGGTAGATATATGAGAGTCCTCGCCATGAAATCAAGCTGCTGCGACACAACAGATCGCCAAGTTCCTGGCTGTCACTCCCATTTACCCGATGCTCAAACGGAATTCCCTGCATGGACGCTCGATGATAAATCTTTGCTGCTGAACCACCACATGCCTTTGTGACAATCTTTGGGAATTGCTGAGTAGATCCAGGTCGGAGTCCTAAAGCATAGTCGTTGCCACAGGCTTGCAAAATTGGTGTTCCGTTCAGATTTGTGCCCTTCTTGGCACCTACTTGGATGTTGCCAAGTTCGGAAAGTACCATGAAACGCTGTTTCAAGAATATCAATGACCGTATTAGGGACATTTCTGTGATACAAATGGACGGCGCGAAAGTCCTCTGATTGCAGCAATGGCGAGCTGTGGTAGAAAGCTACGAAGACAGTCTGTCGAGGGGCGGCTAAGCGTGATGGCTCCATCCGGACAAAGGTGGGGATCATCTGAGACGAAGTGGCAGCCAGACTAAGGTCACACCTGAGATGGAGGTTAGTGTCCCACAGGCACGGAAGAGTGAGGTCGAAATACGCCGTGAGAGGCGGCACAAGAGCGTACGTTGGTGCAGGAAGGTCTTTCAGCCCGCCGGGCATCTGTATCAAATCCACCATACCTGCAAGGTGAACAGCAACGGCTGCACTACTTCTGATGATCCGTTTCATGTTAGCTGCGGGTAACGGAAATCTGGAAAGGATTTAGCATCTACGAACTCGAAAGAAAGTAGGAACACAATTGAGACAAGGAATGGATTTGATGGCGGACTTCTCGTTCCCGAAATATAGTGCTGAATTAGAGCCAGTGCCTTGGCTTCCGCAGCAACACGAATTGGTACATTCTCAGATCGGTAGCTGACAAGCAGCTGTGTGGCCAAGATGGCTTATTCGTATACGGAAAAGAGATATGGGAGAGGAGTGCTATTCATCACGAGTTGGCCAGGAAAGCTCTAACCGCACTGCGCGATGTTAACGGTGCTTCCATACGCCTACGAGCACGTCAACGAAATGTGATTTCTCTTCAAGGTAAACCATGGGTACTTGACGCCGCCCAGCTTCGCGTAGCGCGAGAACGGGACCTCATTGGCAAGTTACCAAATGTCCACGAGCAGTTGCTAGAGGAAGGAATCAGGAGCGATACCCTTCTCGAGCTTATCACAATTTGGCAAGTCGGTTGGATGGCGATCCAGCTTGCTGTGCGACTCTACAGGCGTCTGGCACCCTCGCAGCTCGAAATCTTGACGCTCGCCTTCGCAGTCTGTTCCTTATTCACTTTCCCCCTGTTCTGGAATAAGCCGAAGGACATTCAAGCAAGAGTGTCCATCCAAGCCGCCAGACAAGCATGTGCTGACGACCTCCTTGAGCTCGCCGTGGTCGGCCCTCCGCCCTTCTTTCACTATCGTACTGGCTATTGCATACCGAATAACGCCGTACATCGAATAACTGGAAATGACGACCATTCAATACCCAGGCACTCTGACTCAGACTCAGACCAGGTCACTCTAGACGTTGAGAAGGCTGACGAGATCGACTCCTGGACGAGAGGCACTTTCATAGTATCCTCTGCCATGGGCTCTGTCTTGTTCGGCAGCTTACATTTCATCGCGTCGAATTTTGCGTTTCCTTCACCAGCAGAACAATTACTATGGAGGATCTCCACTGCAGTGACCACTCCCCTGCCACTCGCTGGAGTTGCTGCGAATGCCATCCCCGTTTGGTTTCACAAGCGGCATCGGAGAACCTTTGAGAGGAACAGGCAAACATCGGCATACCAAACGGATCTCTTTAAGCAGACTGTCTTGGCTATTGTGGACATTTGCCACCCCTTATTTCATTGCAGGACTCTTTATCCTCGTCGAAGTCTTCCGTTCGTTGTCCTGCCTTCCGCCCGCTGCATACCGGACAACCTGGGCAGCGTCAGTACCTCATATTGGATAATAGCATTTGGCATTCATGGGTCCTACCTCTCTTCGGAAATATCATACTCTTAAACCAATATCATAGGTACAATGGCGCAGCCGGTGTCTATACGGGAGTTTGCGTGAACAAGAACAAATACTGCCTTGGAGGTAATTCCTTCGGAGTATTGAAGCAACAGGAGACTTCGACCCTTCAGGTCCTGTCAGCCTGCTCTGAATGACCGTCATCGGCTTCCACCGGGATGTTGCTTGAACGTGTTGTTGAAAATGAAGTGAAGCTGATTTCGAGTTCACCGGAGAATTACATATTTACTGTACGCAGTATTCAGCCCCCTTGTCATACGCTTCCGCCGTTCTTGGCACCCCCACGCAACCGCCAGCATTGAATCTCGCCGTCGCTTCGAGTCGTCTCTCAAATCCCACAATCTGAAGGACAGCCACCAGGCCGACCTAGTCCTCCACTCAGCATCGAGAGAGAGCTTATAGGCTTATCCGTAATGTCGACACAACCGGAAACGAAAGTCGAGGCCGAAGCACTCGTCCCTCAATTCAAGCTGGAGAGAGTGCTCAACCAAGGTGAGACCCAAACGTGACACGAAGCATGCCGCTACCATGGTTTCACCCTCGCCCAGCCCAGGTTGTATCTCCCCTCTAGCTCGTCGGGGCAAGTGGCTCGCAGGAGTTGAGATTCTGACCTCCGCGCCACCAGATCAGAATGGCAGGCGAATCTCCCTCGCGGGCAGCATCGCCGACAAACCCGCGCTCATCACGCTCGAGCGCGCCGCGCTCCCCACCGACTCTCACCTCGTCACTGTGCTGTTGAAGTCTTTGGGCAACGTGACCAACCTCGGCGCCAACGACATCTACAGATGGTACATGGCCAGTCGGACGAGGACAGATACGACACATACAAATCTAAGCACAAACACGAATGCAGACGCAACCGCAACCGCCGACGCCCCATCTCTCCTCGACACCAGTATTCCCGACGTGAAACTCAACCTCATCTACCCCTGCACGGCGCAACACATCAAGAAATACTCGGCCCAACGCGTCCGCATGGTGACCGAGACGCCCGACATCTACGCGCACCACATCCGTCCGTACATGGCACGCCAGCGCAGCCCGCCGCGGCTCGACTGGATCTTCAACATCCTCGACGGACGCACCGAGCAAGACGACGTCATCGCCCGCGTGGACTGGGATAGCCCCTCCGACACGGGTTTTCTCCTCCTCCCGGATCTGAACTGGGACCGGAAATCCGTCGAGGGCATGCACCTCCTCGCTCTCGTGCAGCGGCGCGATCTCTGGTCGCTGAGGGATCTGAGGAAGAAGCACGTCCCTTGGCTGAAGGCCATGAGGCGGCAGATTGTGAGAGCGGCGGCAGAAACACAGACGCAAAAGCAAACGCAAACGCAAACGCAGGACGTAGCGACCGCCACCGCGGCACCTCCACTCGAAGAGGACCAACTGAAATGCTACATCCACTATCAACCGACGTACTACCATTTCCACATCCACGTGGTGCACGCCATGCTCGAGGCCGGCACGACCCAGAGCGTCGGCAAGGCGTTCGGGCTGGGCAACGTGATTGCCCAGCTGGAGAGCATGGCCGGCGGGGACGACGCCGGCATGCATCAGGTCGACATGCATTATTTCGTGGGCGAGGAGAGTGAGTTGTGGGGACGATGTTTTGGGCGGTTAAAAAAGGGGCAGCCGGTCGATTTGAATGTACAGGCTTGATAGGATAGGTAGGTAAAGGCATATCGGATGCGTGCATGTGAATGCGAGGCGAAGGCGAAGGCGAAGGCGAAAGTATTGTAGAATGCTTGGTTCCTCGGGCTGTGCATAGACATATGCATGTACGGGTCAGCATATTGTCCATACTTATACACGTATAAATACGTAAAATCCATGCGCTGATGAATTGAAAAGCAACTGTGCATGACCGATGCATCAACACAGGTAGATGTGTACACATATTCATGCCGTCTAGACGTACGTACGCAGATACGTATGTATTTCGAAGACCGCGCCGCCCGCATCGAGCGAGACCGGCGCGAAAGGCTTGCTTAAGGCTATGTATGTGTGTATGTACAAGAGAAGAGGAGAAAAATCAAGTCAAGTCAAGCTACTGCACTGCAATGTACTGCGTACTGTACGGTCAAAGTGTCCACCAAGTCAACTCAAGCCAGAGCAGGACAGCCGTACTTTCGCATCAGCTGCCGCGCCCGAGTCAGAGTCCGAGCCTGAGTCGAAGCTTAAGTCCAAGCCCAAGTCCAAGTCCAAGTCCAAGCAAGCTCACCTCATCTCATTTCTCAGAGATGCCAATACCCAAGCCTGGGGTGCGGTACTGCAGGGTTTCCCTCCCCACAGATATCACCACTTAAGTTGACTGCTATCCAAGTATTCAACTTAGGCAGGACTCAGGGTGAACTCGTCGTCATCGATATAGCACACGAATCTGGTCGGCTTGCCAATCCGGCCTGTGACCGTGCTGGTGAAGGAGACAGGTGCTGTAGTGCTCGATTCTGGCGCTGGCACTGGCACTGGCGCAGGAAGTGGAGTCGGCTGCACGTCGGTGGCCCCATCGGTATCGCTGGGCCGGGGTGGAAATCCAGGCGGCTTGGCCGAAGTATCAGTGGGTGCTATGGGCGTGTCAGTTGGTGGGGCTGGGAAGGGGTCGGGTTCAGACGAACATTCAGTCTCCTCCGGTTGTGATGCTGTGGGCGTCACGGTGGTGGTGATGGTGATTGTGGAGCTTGATTCCACAGTGGTGGTGGCGTCAGACACGGAGTCAGAGTCAGCAATTGTCGTTGGCCCGGATGATGGCAAGTCGTCGGTCGGGGAGATGACCGCGGAAGGCTTGGCTGGCGAGGCGGTGATCTCGACGCTGACGGACGAGGATGTTGTGCTGATAGAAGAAGTCGCTGCGGATGGTGCCACGCTGGTGGCACTTGCGCTGGCTGTGCTAGCGGAAGCCGAAACAGATGGTTGAGAACCGGAGGATGATCCATCAAGAAGGGCTGGCCCTGGGATAATGTAGTCGGTGACGGTAGGGTAGTAGATGTTAATCAAGATACCAGGGTCCTGGGCAGTATAGAGCTCAGTGCCCTTGGTGCCGCTGCCCAGGTTGTCGGTACCAGAACCAGAGACTTCCAGGTTGATACATTGCGGGTAGTTCTGGGCACCACCAGCGTCGAATGCAGAATGGAGGGCAATGATCTCGTGACGAAGGACGTATTTCCCAGGAGCGATGCTGGAGGGGATGGTTACGGTCCAGGAGTTGTTGTTCGCGATCAGATCATCGGACGCCCAATTCCCGGGCGCGGGATCACCATTATTCAGACCAGCCTCGTCGATCTTGTTGAAGAGCAGCTGGGTCTTGTCGACGGTGGTACAATCGTCGCCACAGGCTGCAAGGTAATCAATCACCGGACCGTGGTGTGACTCCGGCCACTCTGTCCATTGAAGCTCAATAGAGTCTCCCGCGGCGACGCTCACGTACGAGCCGCCTGGAGTAGCTCCCTTGTGGCAGATGATATCAGGGGAAGTGTAGTCGCTGACGAAGCCGCGGTCGGAGACTTGGGGAATGCTCCACCCGGCCACAACTGGAGGAGGGTTCGAGTATTGGAAGGAGGGGTCGTATCCTGATTGCCAGGCGCCGTTGGCCACGATACCCGACACGATACCATGGGCTGAGACCCTGGACAGGAGGGCGAGGGTGCCAAAAGTGGCAGTGAGTTTAAAGGATGTCATGCTCGGCAACTAGTAGATCACAGTGGATCGTTTCGTCTCAGGGATATCGAAAGCTTTGTTGCAGGTCTGTTGAGAAAGCGAGAGTCTTGACTGACAGGCCTCAATCAATGAAGGCTGTAGAAACGAATGTGGTAGTAACAATGAATGGAACGGTCACAAGTGACCTGAAGAATGAAAGACCTGCTTTGAAAAGCTGCTGTTGAGGGAGACCTAAGCTCTGACGAGAGAAGGGAAAGAAAACGGTCCATGTCGACGGACAGACCTAGATATATGCTGCCACTGGCTTACCATGCTATCTTCGGCACCAAGGCTTCGAGCGGAGTATAATTTCAGTCTCGACTGGGTACCCGTGGTTGGCCAGTTTCATGTCGAATGGGCCTAGAGATAATGGCCATGCATGGGATACGGCACGCAGGGTACGAATAGGAGAATATGGGTATCTTGTTGCAAGGATAGTGTGATGGTGGCTTGGTAACGGCATAACATGCGGGGGAGGCAAGGAACAGCTGGGAAAAACTGTGTCGGTAGTGCAAGGGGCTGGATCGTAAACGTTGGATCTGTGATAAGCGGATCGATGATAGCGCCATCAGACTGCGAGGGAAGATTTGTCTGTCTGTTTCATGTTGAACGTGGCAAGCAGGGGTGCGGATGAATGATCTTGGCTTGTGCTGTGAGTTGCTGTCAAATTGTGCGACTGCAGCAGAGATGGTTCACATCAGGATCCGTGTCATGTAACTCGAGTCTCAAGATGCCAGCAGTGTGATGTCTGGTTGTACGGAAATGTAAGTGATGTTGATGTGAAAATGATGGCGTGGAGGCGGAATTGAATTCATTCTCAGCGCAGTTCAGATTGAAGTTGGCCTGCCAAGAGCGTGAGAAATGGCTGATGTTTCGGAAACGACAAGCCTGTCGTCATTGCGGCATCAGTAGCCCACCGTATCCACCTTGCACTCTTCTGTCATTTCTTCCCTATCAAACCATCTGCCGTGTACGTTCCCATCGAATCGTAAATCACCAGGCACCCCGGTATCTTTTTGCTGGTGTTGGCAGAAGCTGTGACCCAGAGTCGAGGCGAGGGCTGCCCATGCAGACGGCTCCAGCAAGATCCATTCCATTGTTTCAGAATCTGGTGAGTGCATGGTGAGAAACCCTTGAATGAGGAACAGCAAGTGGGATGTGAGCGACTGTTGGTGGTTTATCCCACCCGTCCACAATTAAAGTATTCAAGGATTGATCTCACGCCTCTGATCCTCAAGTGTCGATGGGCACTATGCTCTTATTCCTTATGGCCGCAGGTCCGACATTCCGGGTCAGCAAATGCGTCGGGAAATCTATCTCACGAAGGGCGGATGCCACAATTACGCTCAAGCCAGCATACCCTTGCGTTCAGCCGCGTGCTAATCACTGCGCTGAACCCATAGTAACAGCATGGTGATATATCGGTAAGCCACATACGCAGTCCACGGCACGACTGCATAAATTATCCCCTGCTCTATACCCTCGTGAAGCCGAGGCGTCGTCTCCTCATTGAGAAGCCTCAGGTGACGCTCAAACAAAATCAGTGAGCTCATCCCTCGTGTTGATCGTCTTGCTCAACTGACCCTGACTGCCGCGCTGCACCACACCGACAGCCTCGGGACCAACCTGGCCGAGGCGGAAGTTGCGAACCCATCCGTCCTCATCGATGGCGCCGGCGCTGCGAGAATAAAACATTCCACCCCTCGAGCACGGCTCCAGCACGACCAGCCCTAAAATCGAAACCTTTCCAGTCTACCTCTCCATGTCAAGATCAAGCAGTACCTGCAAGCAAAAGTCGGATGCTGGCAAGTTGACTTGGACGGTCCTTGCATGTGGTGCTTTCTTGGATAACCTGCTTGATGGCCCGGTACCGATGATCGCAGGATGCTGCGCCAGAATTGGAATGCGCATGCGCCCATCGAAGCTCATAAAGCCATTCTCAACCGATGTGCGGGTGTCCCTGCTCCAATCTGAAACATTATTCACTGATCTCCTAATGGAGGACGGAGACATTAGCAGAGGCCTCGCAGAGTGGATGGCAATGTCCACAATGAGCTGCTGATCCGATCCGAAGAGTACTTTCGCGCCGTCTGGAATCTCTTGGAAGATGCGCTAGCAGAAGCTGTAAGAATGATCAGGCCCTTCGGCACGAGATCGACCATCATCACACCATGACTCTCCGCAACCCACTGGTACCTCCCAGCACCCTCCGTCCGGTGACAGCACACCTTCCCTTGCCGCTCTCCCAGCTTCCTTCACGACTCTTTCGCTCCGTCTCGGATTCGTCGTGCGATTTTCCCTCTTCGTCAGCCTCGTCCTCATCATCTTCCCACTCGCTCATCTTCTCTCCTCTCATGAATGCTTCTTGCCGTTCGTGTGTTCCTTCGATCCACTGAAAGATGCACTTGTAGTCGAACACATAGCCGGTCTGACACGCTGCCGCGGTCGAGATGGGATGCAGACAGATGGGACAAAGGTCGCTAGATGATGGTGGAGGAACGGTGAAGATAGGGAGATATGTGATACTGGATGTCAGCGGAGACCGTTTCGTTCCTGTATTGGCGGGTTTCCCCTGGGCGGCTCGCTGATAAACATTGAGCTTTTTGGCGAGCTCCATGCCGGAAACGACCGGAGGCGGTAACTCCAGTCCTTCCGCAGCCTTCCTGCTCAGTTGGCGCGAAAAGTCGCTGGCATGCCACCACTCCAAGAACTTCAGCGCAAATATACTCGTGGGTAGAAGGATCCTCAGGCTGGACAACAACCGCGGATACATTGTCCGTGGGTTCATAAGTCCACTTAGCCCTTGGCCAGGTCGTCCAGCAACGGAGGTGGCAGCTTTGTCAGCCGCGTCTCTGGCCGCGTCGATGGCCTGGTAATCGGCTGCTCCCATCCTTCTCATCCTCGTGCCGACCATCCAGAGGAACGGGCTCGAGAATTTGGTGCCGTCAAACAGATATGCCAGGCTAAAGGCCAATATGCTGAAGTAATAGGCCGCGTTCAGGCTTGGATAAACGTTCCGCAGGAACCACTTGTAATACCACATGATCCGCTGTTTAATGGTCGGATTAGGAGGTAGGGCATCGCGGTCCAAGTACCGGCGCCCTTCAACACCTCCAAGCCCTCCGCCGCCCATCATCAGACCGGCACTGGGCGCGATATGTATGTCATAGCTCTCATCTAGTTTCCTCTTGATGTATGGGATTCCCACCAGTACTGCGAGGTTCTTCCAGATGTCCGCACCTCTCAGCTTAAGGCGCTCCCTTACCTCTGCCGGGACAGCAAGCTGCGTCCTTTTGACCTCGCCGCCCCTTACACTTAGAACTTTCTCCCTCTTCAGTCCATAGAAGTTCTCGGTGAAACTGCCACCGAAGGTTTGCAGGTAGTACTTCTCGACGACGAGGGACAAGAGGCCATACACCTCATCGTAGTTGTTCAAGATACGGAGTAAGTAGCGTGGCCACCGATGTGTCGCGACTGCCAGGAGATAACGCAGCGTCGGCGGGAGGAGGGCCGCAAGTTGTTGCTCGGAGAGCAGTTCGAAAAGCGACGGTTTGTGGTCGTCGACGGGCGACTGGAGAGCGTTGAGGTATTCCATACTAACGATCAGCCGCCGACTCGGATGCTGATTCTCTACTATCGCAACATGGCTAAAGTGATACCATCAAGGTATTCTCCGTCGACTGATGAGCGACATGGCCATGCGTGTCGCGGGATAATGAATCGAGATGAGCCGAGGCTGGATTGCGAGCGCGAGCCGCAGCCTCGTCACGACGGAGTTGTGCAATAATCACGTGAGAGTGCGACGAGGCTGAATACGTCATCGCCTGTTGAAGCTGGCTGCCACAACTGCGGAGTTGTTGCGGCGCAGATAAACCGTTCGACCGGCGGTATATTACCTGCTGCTGCCGTCGCCGCCGCTGCGTTTCGCCCCTTGATCGCCTCCGACACGATATCGCAGCAACGATGAAGACACAAAGCTCGTTGATAAGTATTGCGCTGAGAAGCAGATGGACTTGCATGGCGTGTCTGCGGCAGCAGCAGCGGGTCCAATCTCGCAAGCTATCGACCTCGGGTTTCCAGAGTGATCCTCTGCCACAAGAAAGCCGCGATAAGGCACTGCAGCGGTCTGTAGTCGGAAGCAGCAGGCCACTGCATACTTCCAGACCCTTGTGCCGCGAAGCAGACCAGCAACGACAAGCGGTGCCGTTAGGGGACTTCTACACCGATATTCTGGCAAATCCAACTCCCAAGAAGTCGAAAGAGGAGACGAGCCTCCCTACGTTCGTCCAGTCAGGGGACAAATCCAAAGAAGAGAGGGCTAAGATGCTTTTTGGCTCAATCGAAGGCTCAGGATACGAGCGGCACACTTATGACAAACCAGACAATACGTGGCGGACTATCAATGGTGTGCCCGTACCTCCGAGGCCTGCTGAGCCGGACAACTGCTGCATGAGCGGCTGCGTACACTGTGTTTGGGACGACTATCGGGACGATATTGAGTCTTGGGCTTCGCGAGTTGCCGAGGCACAGGCGAAGTCGCCCAAGAAGCGCGCTCACGGGAGGACCCCCAAGATCGAGATGTCTAGGCCAGAGGTAGACAACGCCTCAGGCAGTATGGACGACGACGGGGGCGGAAGCGAGGCTCTCTGGACCACACCTTCGAGCTCGACCGATGAGGACGACGTGCTCTTCCAAGGCATCCCCGTCGGCATTCGGCATTTTATGGCTACGGAGAAGAGGATCAGAGAGCGTAGACGTGCAAAGAGGGAGAAGGGTGCATCGGTGGATGATTACGAGTGATTTCAAGAGCAGCATATTGTTTGAGCATGAAGCGGGGACTGTGTAGCGATTGTCTTGGTATCGAATATTTTTTAGAAGACAGGGGTACCTGTCCACGCCTGCGATCTAGAAACACCTTGGCACCTCATGATTGTCATTGTCTCTATTGGACTCGTCCCTCTGCATTTCCGATCGCGCTCTTCGGACTCCAGAGTGTGCACTGCCCTTCCAAGACGAGTTTGGCGTCGCGTCGATGGATCACGACTCTTGGAATCGCCTCTCACTCCTTCTCACTTCCGAGGCAACCGAGTCGGGCAGGTGATTTGGCAGACGGTGCAAGAAGATTTGTCGATCCATGGTTGTACGCTGAGTCCCGATGGGAAGTGGCCCTTTCGCACGATGTCTACAGGTGTGCCTACAAGAGCGACATGACGGTGTGGTGAGACCAAGCCGGTACGATCGAAGCCCAGGCGACGCCGACGGTCAATCAGCAGTATATCAACTGGCCGCATCCTCTCCATCCTGCGTGAGGTGCATCAGGTCACTCGACCATGTGGTGGCTACATCTGAACACGATGCGCTGTCCTCGTTGCGTCATTTGGCAGCAAAATGTCTCCCGGCTTCCACATCGTGTCTATCGACAGCATTCGAATGTGCCATCCCAATGCGGGCTTACATACCGGGAGTCGACGTCCTCCCTGCAGGCACCATGCTCTGGATGTCTCGCAAGCAGAGAGCAATGGGTTTGCCCTGAGCGATTTCTTGTATGGCTGCCGCATGATTTCGCCAAACCACAGCCTGTCTCGAGGGCTCTCCATGGGTTGGAGTCGATACCCTACCAGCTTGGGCCAGATTCGGCCTTTGTAGGCTACAGGACCGTTTGTTGTGGATCGGAGCTCATAGAGGTATTTAGCAGGCCACTGTTCTCGCCAGGGTAGGCGCTCCCTGACATTTTCTCGAGTAGCTCATAGGGAGCGACGGAGCTCAGAGCTGATCGACCAAAGCCTTGAATCCCCAGCTAGCCAGGATTTACTTGACAAGCGCGTGCTTCATCATACAGTATGGTCGGGCTCTCTTGAACTGCCTGGTCTGCCGAGTGTCAGGATCAGCTCACGTCCAGGGAAGGCTTCCGCAGGGCTCGGAATCGGCTCACAAAACAGACCAGAAATTACACCGTCCGCCGCACCTGAAATCTTCTCGGCAAATGATTGCCGCAAATGCTGGTGGTGAGGGCCCTCCTGGGACACCCATGACACCGTCCCTTCCCCGCACAATCCGCCATAGCAAAAGAGGTGGAGGCTGGTCTCTATACTGATTTCGTCCTAGTTAAGTAACCAGTAATCAGCAATGGGTCTACTGTGTAGCTGGAGACGCTTGCCGATGGTGCGAGGTATTAACATGGACTGGCTCTGTCGCCTGAATCTGATGTATTCGTCTTTGCTAACGAGCTGAAGCCGGTCCTGAAAGCATGGCCCAAAGCGCTTGGACCTGGGCGACAATCGTTGGAGGGCTACTGCTTTACTCAGGGCTTGTGTTGGTTATCTACCAGAGATTCGCGGCTGGCCTGGGATCGGTTCCCGGACCATTTGCGGCCTCTTTTACTGATCTCTGGCGCTTGTGCGCTGTCTACGATGGCAGGTTCGAACTCATTCTGCAGGCTCTGCATGAGCGACATGGGGACTTGGTGCGGATTGGACCCAATTGCATCAGTGTGGGAGATCCGCGGGAGATCAGGCAGATATATGGTATTTCAAGGCTGTTTCCGAAGGTGAGGCTCCAGAACGGTTTGCATCTTTCCCGGGCGTAATATAACACAATGAACTTCAGTCAGATTTCTATCGAGTGGCACAGCCTCTCGTCAACGGCAAGCGAGTCGCGTCGCTGTTTATGATGACGGACGAAGACCAACACAAGACCGCAAAGAGACCCATTGCTCATGCCTACGCTATGACGAGCTTACTCGGCTACGAACCCTTCGTGGATAGCACCTCACGGGTACTGGTAGAGCAACTGTCGAAGCAATATGCCAACACCGGCAGAGTCTGCGATTTCGGCGAGTGGCTTCACTGGTATGCCTTCGACGTCATTGGCGAAATGACCTTCAGCAACCGGTTCGGGTTCCTCGAGCAAGGCAAAGATGTTGGCGACATCATTAAGACGCTGACCAAGTCTGGGGCATACACCGCTATTGTGGGTCAAATGCCCTGGCTGGATCTGTGGCTGGGAAAGAACAGGCTCTGGGGCGAGGCGCTTGAGAAGGACAAGTTGGAGGTTTCGAGATTTGTCCTGAATTTTCTGAAGCCTCGCATTGAAGAAGCGGATAGGCTTCGTCTGCAGGGCAGTGAGAAAGCGCCACTCGATTTCAAGGATCGAACAGACTTCACGGCCAAGTTCATCTCGGCTTTCGACAAGTACCATGGGTCGATCCCGCAACCACAGTTGCTGGGATGGTCGCTGAGCAACATCAACGCGGGTTCGGACACCACTGCAATCACGCTGCGTGCCATTTTCCGTGGGTGCTTCTCGGAATGAGCCACCAGATCGTGCATCACTGTTGACGTTCTGTGCGTAGACTTCCTCCTCCTCAACCCGTCCACAATGACAAAATTAAAGACTGAACTCGAGGACGCTAATCTCTCGGCCCTCCCCCGATGGCACGAAACAAGCCACCTACCTTACCTAGGCGCCGTCGTCAAGGAAGCGCTCCGCCTGCACACGCCCGTCGGCCTGCTTCTCGAACGCATTGTTCCACAAGGCGGCGCAACGTTGTGCGGCCGCTTCTTCCCCGAAGGCACCGTCGTGGGCTGCAACCCAGCCGTCATCCACAAGGCCAAACGAGTCTACGGACGGCGGTACTCGGTCGAGGAATTTCACCCGGAGCGGTGGCTGGAGGCGGATGAAGAGGAGAAAGGCGAGATGGAACGATGTTTCATGGCCTTCGGAAGCGGCAAAAGGACGTGCATCGGGAAGAATATAAGTCTCCTGGAGGTCCACAAATTAGTGCCACTGCTGCTGAAGAGATTCAAGGTGAGTTTGATCGTGCAATGACCTGTTATATCCTGCGCCCAAATGTCTCGATATAGCGCTTGCTGACCGAGATGCATGGTTTACAGCTCAGACTTGTGGATCCCAACAAGAAACTACATATCTGGAATACGTTCTTTGTGCACCAAAAGGGCCTAGAGGTCTATGTTGAGACTGCATGACCGACCGCGTACAGCTGTTATGGTCTGCTCGTACCCAGCGAGGTTGAGACCACTTAGCATGCGGCAGATGGAAGCCGAACAGGCGGTTATGCGGATACTTATTGTCGCAGGAAGTCGGCTGCAGTGTGAAGACAGAGTAGGAGTAGGGGAGATTTGAATGTATCGTTACGATCAATACCTATCTGGGCAAGTCCGGCTCTTATCGCCAGTTTCTCAAATCACAATGGCGGGAATTTGCACGGAGGACTGCGCTTCCATGTCCCCGTCCTGTAGTATGTCGAAGACAGTGGCTTCCCTTGATTGACGCTGGGTCAAGACTGGCTTGTATTTACGGGCCGCCGCCGTTCATGTGTCTACGGCATACGATTAGACATCGCTCGGACCCAGAGCAGAACTAGTATGACCGAGTCCGAGCACGACCAGGGCGGCGCCGAGGTTATGGAGATGTGTTTTCATCGTACATGGCAAAGCAGTCCCGCCTGGAACCTTGTCAAGGAATGGGAATGTGCTTCCAGGCAGGCGATGCCAGGCAGTAAGGCACACATCTGAAAAGCCGCGCGGGAAATCATGGCATTCCGCCATCAGGGACGCGGGCTGGGGCGACGTCGAGACAGAGGTGGCATCTTCCCGCCTCAATGACCTGATGATCCAATGATAGCCATGTACCCAGCAGTTCGTTTGTCAATGATGAGCTGGCAAGGGTCGATGAGGTCGGAAACAGACCACGGCGTTCCGACGGACGACCAGCACCGCGCCGCCCGTTCCCCACATTCGGCGGCGACAATCTTCCCGAAACCGTCTCGCATACCCCCCCCCCAATGTGGAGAATTAGCTCGCCCAGGGCAGGCACTGGCATCCGCACCTGACTGGGTGGTGACGACCATCGACAAGAGAGATATAATACTTGCTGTGATGCGTCGTATCATGGAGCGCGTGCTGTCTACGTACGACCTAGTCAGGGCTTTCACGACCGGACGACAGATAGTAAAATGACGACAGAACCCGGTGCTGTACGTGTATTTATGATGGGCTCAAGATGTATATGCTGACCCTGACCAGAAGCAGCAACCTTTCAAGGTCATAGTAGTAGGAGCCGGACTGGGTAGGGTTTCGTTCCCGATTACACCGCACCAAGACGCTGACCATTCATAGGTGGGCTTGCTGCCGCGATCTCATGTCTACGCGGAGGATGTGAAGTGACGATCCTCGAACAAGCACCAGCAATATCACCTGTAGGTTGGACAAGACAGTGCGGTTCTCATTTCCATGCCTGATAGCCATCCTTCAGATAGGTGCCGGCATACAGATCCCACCGAACGCAGCACGCGTGATCCAGCATTTCGGCCTCGAGCAGAAGCTCCGAGACGCTGGCGCCATCCAGATCAACGCGAACCATCTAAAACGATACAAGGATGGCAAGATCCTGTGCAGCAGGATAGGTGGAGAGAAGATGGTCCGAGACTTCAATGGTCCGTGGTAGTAAGTCAGCCCTCAAAACCGCACGCGAATATCCCCCGGCTGAGACGGACAGCGTGATCCATCGAGCCGATTATCATGGCGTGATGCTGGACGAGGCGGTCCGACTCGGGGCTCAACTCCGACTGAACTCCAAGGTGGTCGATATCAAGTCTTCTGACGCGCCGCAAGTCGTGCTCGAAGGAGGAGAAGCGATCACCGCAGATGTGATAGTAGGCGCGGACGGTACGTTTTGCGGTATCTGAAAGAGCTTCCCACCTGGACTGATCCGCGCTAGGTCTTTGGTCCGCAACTAGAGACGTGGTCCTAGGACAGCCTTCGCCACCAGTGCCCACGGGAGACCTGGCGTATCGTGGGACCTTCTCCAGAGCACAACTTGAGGCTTTCCAGGATCCGAGTATCGACGAGCTCATCAACTCGCGCTGCACCTATAACTGGATCGGCCCTGATCGCCATAGCGTGTTCTATCCCGTGAAGAACAGCACGGCGTTTAACCTGGTTTTGATGTAAGTTGTATCGCCGTGACTGTCAAGACATATCAAAGTCCACTAACGTTACGTCCCAGCCGGCCTGATGACCTGCCCGCAGGCTCTCGGACAGCAGCCGGCGATGTCGACGAGATGAAAATGACATACGAAGGTTGGGACCCGGTGTCAGTCCATTTCCTTTCCACAATCAAAGCATTGGGGTGTGGTGTGCTGATCGCAGTGCAGACTCACAAAGATCATATCATGCCATAGCACCGTGTTGAAGTGGAAGTTGTGCCACCATGAAGGTATACGCAGCCCGGAAGTCCAGCCCCGCCACCGCGCTATACATCTTCCATGACATGGCTCAGTAACTGACGCTTATCCCAGAGCTCCGCACGTGGGTCAAGGACAACATCGTGCTCATAGGCGACGCCTCACACCCCAGTCTGCCCTATCAAGCGCAGGGCGCCGCCATGGCGGTAGAAGACGGACTGGTCCTCGGTCTCTTGCTCGGTCGTCTTCTAACCACCGAGAGATTGCCCCGAGGTGACCAAGACAAGCGCGCGCACATCAACTCGATCCTGCTCCTTTTCGAGTCGTTGCGGAAGAAGCGCACCACCACGAATGTCAAAGGAGCGATCGCAAACCGATATATGTGTGAGTTGACCCGAGTCAGAAAGTTTCTGCAGACACTGACGTACTTCTGTAGTCCACATGCACGACTCGCCAGAACAAGAGGCGAGGGACAGAGAACTAGCACAGGCGGACTGGGTCAAGCCGTCGCGGTGGATCTGGGCCGACGTCGGATATCAGAGGAAGATGCTGGGCTTCGACTCGGTCGCTGACACGAATAGGGCGTTCGAGGTGTGGCTTTCGGGGGAGGGCAAATAGTTGAGGAACAAGGGAGTGGGGGGTGGGATGCCGCTGTTATGGACTTGCAGACGCTCCCGTCTCAAATTCGTCGAGAAATTGACCTGATCTAAGCGGACAGGACCTGCCACCTGTCTCGTTGGTAATATTGAATGCGCTGGTGTCGGGTGTAAAGGGATGCAGCCTCGTCACGTGGCAGGCTTGCTCCTACCGTAAAGTCAACAACTCGTCTTCCCTGTCTGCATTGAAATACTGGCATGTTCGTCGCACATGGCGGTCTAGGCAAAACGGAATGAGTGGGTACCTTTGCTCAAACTTCACAGGAAGTTCATGTTCTGGTAGGATTCAATGGGTCTTGAACGGCTTCGACGAAGATCATAAGGTGCTAAATTATTGCATTTTGATGCGGCACCGGTGTGAGCATTCGGGGCTGCTACCGTAACTACAGTAGTGGTGCCAGTAAGCACCTCAACTTAGCTAAGCCTCTTTAACTACAGCAGCAACATAGCAACCTAGGACGAGGACAGGACCTAGACCTTAATTAGCTAGCACCTAGAACACCCGCTCGCGCCCCTAAGCACCCGAGGCACCCCTCGATTAGCACCGCCAAGTACCCCGCAAAACATCTCGAAGTCTAGATCGTTGCTTACACACAATCTTCGACTCCATCCTTCATACTGCGCCCACTGACCACGGCTGTCCGCCAATGGTGCCTCGTCACATCACAACATGAATTACGCAGCAGGAAAAGCCAGAAGCGATCCGGAACGGAACGCAGACAACAGGACAGTATCTCACGACGAGCATCTGCTCAGATGAGGCGCGCAAGCTTCTTCATTTTTACTATTGTGCCAAAAACGCCTCATCGTCTACGCAACTTCCACCACGTGCATTTCTCTGTTAAGCCGACCGGTAGCAGCAGAACGTTGGCAGCGTCTAAGTCGGACATGGCACAGAACAAGAACAAGACAGACACTTCCCTCGCTCCCGCAGCACAAAAGCCACCCGCAATCTCGCACATCCTCGAGACATGTCTCATGGTCAAGGACATCACAGCAGCCACAGACTTCTACAAGAACGTGCTTGGCATTGATCCATTTCTGAATAATGTCCGTATTAACACCCCTCTGCCTCGTAACTAGGTTTTATTCCTCCTCCGCCTGGTGAGGGCACTACCGCTTACATAAAGCGTTTCCCCCCCCAGGCTCGCATGTCCGGCTTCGCCTTGTCCCAGACGACGTTGCTCCTTTTCCAGCTCGGCGCCACCGCGCTGGATAGCCAAATGCCGGATAATCGCGGCACGATCCCAGGCCACGGACCTTCACAGGATATCCTCAACCTGCTGCTGTCGGGCTCGGATGCGGGCAGTTCATCACACCCGAGCTCAAATCGAGTTGATACTCCAGGGAGATTGAACCAGCATTTCTGCCTGGCCGTTTCCGCGCCCGAGGACGTGCAGGTTTGGGAGAAGTGGTTCGAAGCGAAAGACGTGCAGATTCTGGGAAAGGTCAATTGGCCGCGGGGTGGGAAAAGCGTGTACTTTGGCGATTTGGATGGGAATGTCGGCGAGATAGCGAGTCGGGGTATCTGGGAACATTATTAGGCCGGCTGGGGTTGATGAATCGGAGCCGCATGGAATCCGGTTCGTGTCAAGGTACATAATTTGTGTCGACCGGCAGTAATCATGGTGGTCACCCAAGCAGCACCGTCGGAGGATCACTGTAGCGTAAATTCCGAGACATTCTTCCGTCGCCTCGATCCCACCAGCTACACGCGATGGCCTCGATTCTTCTCGCCTGATGCGATGATCTGCTTGATGCCTGATGCCGACTAAAGCAATCTCTAGTCGCCCGGGAAGGCAAAACAACTTATGAAGCCTGGCCGACTTGCTGCGCGGAGACTTCGTACGCTTTGCACGCTCTCAGAGGCTGCCTGAGATCAACGTGGTTTACGCTTGGGAAAGACAACTCTCCTTCATTCGACCACTTTGCTTCGCGCTGCGTGAATGCGACCTCACTCCAGCCTCCCAGCACAGGCACCTTATGACAAGGGAAATCACCAGGTCCACAAACGCCCGTCCGCTTCGCACCACAACTCAGAATTCGTCTCTGCAAGTAGCCTGCGCCACCGGCCTTGGCCGGGTAAAGACTTAGTAAGTCGCCAGACCCAGTCCCAAGTCGTCTATCCACCGACCAGAAGGGTCAAGGTCATCGAAGAAGATGGGGTTCTGACTCATGAGCATAGGATCGGCATGCTCAGTATTGAGGACTGACGGGTCCACCGACGTGTGAGGGCGAAGTCTGTCGACCGAGTCCTCCATCTCACGGTCCGATCGCGGCTCACTCACATCTGCCTGGCCAAAACACGACGATAGCGAAGGAGGAGCATTTGGAATCTGACCAGACCGTTCCAAAAGCCAGTAGTGTCTGCAAAGCTCTGGACCAAAATCGTCAAAGAAGGGCGCAAAGTCTGTCGATCCTTGACTCGGCACATCCCCAAGGCTTGGACGCTGCAATGTGAGCTTTTTCATTTCGACCAAGACGGCCAGCGCACCTTCGGCCGAGCCCCACCTCTTCATCAGCTCCGTCAGGGAAGACTGGATGATGGAGAATGACTCTGTCGCACTTTGTGCGAGAGTTCTGTACCTCAGGGCAGGCATCTGAGCCAGCCCCGCCGCAAAGGCATAGAAGGAGAAGACCGGGCCACAATGGCAGAGTTCGCCCCGATTCAAGAAATCTTCAAAGATACCCACCACGAAGGAGGATGCTATGAAGGACACTCGGAGAGTCCTGTTCTGTCCGGGCGAGTGTCGGGCCAAGATGAACAAAGTCACCAAGTAGGGCACTAGGAGCTGTCTGGCCTCGAAGCTATACGGGTTGAGCTTCTGGGATGATGGATGGAAGAGACGAAAACTGGGTGGTAAGTCTTTGACCCAGCGATAGAGGGCGTTTTCGAGATTTGCCCGCTTCGTCGCTGTCACGGTCTTCCGTCGGATGTTCTCGGTCAGATCGCCTAAGAGGCGGATGATCCCAGAGAATGCCACAAACAAGCGTGCTTTGCTATTGGGGGCTGGGAAATCATGGATTGTGGGTGGTGCGACGTCGCTGTCGTCCAGATTGATGGTTCTTGGTCTGCCTGTCCCGACGGAAATTATGTCGTCTCGCGCCTTTTTTTCTCTCGTCTTAGTAACTAGTTGATCAAACGATCAAGGGCCGAGAGACTACACACTCACCACTATGGCCCACCACAGCCTGCGCCGAAGGCCCCTGTCTTTCGCCGCAACAGGCTCCTTGTGGAGTCCAGTCTGATATGCCAATCCGGCCGAGATACGGACCCAAAACCCACTGGTACTTGTGGAAATGCGCTCGGGTCCCGTCGGATTGTACCACTGGAGTAGAGTGACGGCAATGATGGAGTTGAGCGGATCTCTTTCATGGCCCAGGATGAATAACAGCCTTGCCTTTCGATAGAAATCCTCGGCCAACGCGGCCAAGAGGTCATTTGATGTCACACGGCTGCCGGCAAGGAGGAGGGCATTCAACAACAGTGGCGACGACCCGTTGCTTTGAACTTCTTCCACCGCGGCAGGCTCCAGGATGGGGACCCATGCCGAGCAATATTCGAAGTAACAGTCGATCAGACTTGCGACAACCGATCGCTGCGGCGAGTCAAACGCTTTTTGTACTTGAAGCAGATGCATGTCGGTCTGGCTCAAGCCAGAAGCAGGACTTTGTGCCTGGCCCATCTCCTCGCGAAAGCTCACCTCGCCGGCTCCGATATAGTCACTCCGGCCAACGTGGCTTTCCACGGTCGCGACATACACCGGCGACTGAGGAGCTGCGTCTTGAGAATCCCCCGCGAAGCCATCTGACGCCGGTTGCGTGTCTGCTGGTTCGCTACGCAGAGTGAAGGGAAACTGACCGAGGCTTCCGATCTCAGCAGCATTCTGGAAAATTCGCGTGGATGCTCCGCCGCGCTGAGGTTCGCGAGGAGCCGGGGATACCGCCTCCTCCGATGTCAAGGTGACATAGTCAGCGGTCTGGGTGGATGTTGGTGTTTCTGGACCACCACCTGTTGATAGATATCTCGGGCGCTTCCTCTGGTGAGGTCTGCAAGGGTGGCCGCCCAGTTTGCAGTTGCTACATGACTGGAGCTCTGCATCAACGTCACATTTGATCTGTGATGAATTGATGCATTAATTAGCCGCCGGCGTACCGGATCAACGTCTTGTCGAGCATGGGCATAATATACCTTTCTTCGATGGCACAAGTCACATGCCCTTCTTGTCCTGGTCCATCCTGGCATCATCACAGGTTGTCGCTGACCCAAAGGTCTCGGATGCAAAAACGCCGTGCCGTGGGCGCCGGCGAGCCGATGCACAAAGGTACAGTACCTATGTAATAATGATCCGTCCCCACCTTATTAACCCCCACCGTCGCATTCCCAGTCTTGCCGGCGTAAGCCCTAGTTCCCCTCAGTACAAGCCGAAGCAGAAAACTGGAAATGACTTGGATGCGATGTGCTAGTAAGACTGCAACATCTGGCCCGGCCGAGGCTTCAAGAAGGAGTTTCCCGTCCTCGGCATACAACGGGTCAGGAATCGTGTACTGAATATTCCGGGGCTTATGTGCCTTCCCTAGCCCAGCGAACGAAATAGTCATACAAGACAGGTCAGAATTACAGGATAGGTCCTGTACACCTCATCACGCGCGTCCAATTTCAATTTCATCTATTTGCTCCTCAATGTCACCCTCTCGTTTATGCAAAGAAGAGAAAGCGTTGATTTGCCTGACTCGCTTATCCTCTCATTCATGGAAAGGTCTCTGTTTGACATGTGGTTGCAGTCCTCGACACCGAGAGAATCATCCCAACCATCATTATATAGTTCACAATTTCGCACCCAGCTCTGGCTCGAGGTGGTAGAACTGTCGAAAGTCCTCGAGGCAACTGGAGTTGACCACGGTAGAGCTGATGGTGCGCGGCATTTTCCCCGTGGAAATGACCTCCTTCACGAGCGTCTCGACTTTCTTCCCATTCGACGTCATGGGAATCTCCTTGACCTCGACCACGAAGCGGGGCACATGTCTAGCACTCAGCCCGCGACGGATGGCATCCTTGAGTGCTCTCTGCAGAGGTCTGGTGAAGTCGTGTCCCGGACGCATGACGACAAAGAGGAAGACCGACTCGTCCGAGTCAAGACCCTGCCTCTTCCGCCCAACGCAGAGTGTGGCGACGATTTTGCTGGGGAACGGCGCCGCTTCTGTGATGGAGTAGATTTCTGCCGAGCCAAAACGGATGCCTTGGGGATTGAGGACGCCGTCGCTGTGCACCACACGGGTTTGGTTAGTATGGTATGCAAGCTTTTTCTTCTTCAAAGCGTATCTATTTGTCTCAAACGTACCTTCTTCCATGGACGATCCAACCTCCTGTCAATGGATTGACGCTCGCCCAATCGTGCTGCGCCCAACACGGAAATGAGTACCGGCTGAAATACGATGCTCGGTACTTCTCGCCCGTCGCATCTCCCCATATGCACACGGGCATGGAAGGGAATGGTTTGCGACACACGAACTCCCCAGCTTGGCCGGTCACTTTGATGGAATGGCCATCCACCGGATCTGCGATGTCGACGTCGTGCCCCAGGATGGGCATTTGAATTTCTCCCGGGTACACGGGACCGGCGGGATCGGTGCCGCACCAAGACGTGACCAGGTCAGTTCCGCCAGTCACGCTCGTGAGATGCACGGCCGAGGGGAAGACGTCGTAGAACCAGTGGTACTGATCCGAAGCAAGGTGTGAGCCGCCCGTCTGGACCATCCGAAGATGGGAGAGGTCAAATTCCGTCTTTGGCTTACAGCCCGTCGATTCGAGTTCCTTCAGATATTTTGGAGAGGCACCCCAGTAATTCACCTTGAATTTCTCGACAATCTGAAGCATCCGTTGCGGCTCCGGCCAGGTGGGTGACCCATCATACAGGACCAGAGTCGCGCCCATGGCGAGGTGGCCAATCATGATGTTCCAGAGCACCCACGACGTGCTCGAGTACTGGAAGACAACCTCGCCCGGTTGAAGCGAGTTGTGCAGCATCCCGACCTTCTTGTGCTGGAGGATGGTGGCGTGGCTGTGTACGAGGCATTTCGGAGGACCCGAAGTCCCGCTGGAGTAGAGGATGTAGAGCGGCGTGGTAAAGGGCAATCTTGCGAACTCGATCTTGTCGCTGCTTCTCGATCGGGCCAGGAAGTCAGACAGCGTCTGAAAATTCCCTGATACTCCTCCCGTGGGTATGACAAACACCTCTGGTGTCGCTTCTAGTGCTGTCACGATGTTCGAGATCTTGGTCGCGTTGGAATTTTGTCGCCCCTTGTATGTGCAGTGGCTATCTGCAAACAAGATGGACGGCTGCACTTGTTGCAATCGGGAAACACATCCCTTTGGATAGATAGGTCAGCAGAGCGGTTCGTGCCGTATCTCTTGTCGTTCGACAGCTTACCTCGAGGCCGAGATCCGGCGCGATCGACGTGAAGACGGCTCCAATGCTGGCCGTGGCCAGAAACAAGGCCACCGACCAGACCGACGTCGAGACCAGGGCCGCCACCCGATCACCCCGCCGGACGCTGCTTCTCAGCAGAGCACTTCGGACTTTGCGAACTTGTTCCCGCAGCTCCGACCACGTCCAGACTTCGCCGTCGAGCCCCTGGCCTTCCTTGAGCCCTATGAGGGCCGGGGTATGGTCCGCAACACGTGGCTGAGTCAATACATTCTCGGCGTAGTTGATGGTAGCGCCTTCAAAGAATGGCGGAACGTCTGAGATGGGGATGTCAGGGTCGTATGCTCGCGTTGTCCCTGGAGGCAACGTGGGTATCAAGCCGACATAATCCCAGAGATCTATCCAGAACGCTTGTGGCTCCGTGACGGTCCATTGGTGTAGCTCGTGAGAGTTCTTCAGCTGCTGTTGGAATTTCTTGTTGACATGTTCCCGGTAAACGTTCAAGGGGATCTGATCGAACGGCACTGTCGGCTTCCAAAGGGGCTTCGGCTGGCTGGAGTGGGCGTCGAATCTATCTTTTCCTGGCATGATGTGCTCTGCTGTCGTTACAGCCATACTGGATTGAGGCAACCAGACCACGTTCGCACAGGAAAGAACCCGTCAGCAGCGAATGCCTGTGTCTGTCCATCACCTATAAATCTTAACAGTCCATCAAATCTCGGAGAGGCGGAATAGGTGGCCGGCTGGAATGAGCATTCGTGCCCCACCGTTCTTGTGACACTGCCGTCTTACGCCGAGTCCTCGGCTTTGTAAAGCAGGCCAGCATCAGAGATAATCCGGCTGGATGTCCTTGTCATTTGAGTGCCATTACCGTTCCACATGCGAAATCTGCATCCCGACCTGGGGAAGAACGGGCCCCTCGGCGTTCCTCGGCTGAGAACCCCATGGGGTCGGCAATTACTAGCCTTAAGACCTTTTAAAGAACTGGACAACTTCAGACATGGGAGTGAGAGCTCCTGGCTCTGGCTCTGGCTCTGGCTCTATCAACACCGACTGCGAGTATGGCTCCTCTCGAGGCCTCCACCGTGGATAAAGGATTCATTTTGGCTCCGCCACCTCTGGCAAATCCTTTCACGTCGGATGGCTCTTATCAGCGGATTCTCGAATGGTACCTGCCGCCATATGTCCTTCAAAAGGTCATTCCCCGCCTCAGCAAGTTTGCAGGCGAGTCAGTCTCACAAGAGATCAACGACTTGATATCCAACGCCGAGTCTGAACAGCCGCACGTCAAGACTCACAATGTCTGGGGTGCGCGCTACCCTTATGATCGCCTGGTGACGAGCCACGGGTGGAAAGAACTAGGCAAATGGGGATCAAAGAATGGGTACGTCGACGAAATTGGTGATCCCTTTACATCCTCGACGCTCACTGAATGGTATCCAGTGTGATAGCGCTTGGTTACGAGGAGGAATTTCAACAATATCGGAGACTCGTCCAGCATGCCTTGTAAGTGCGATTTTGTGTCTTGAAAATCTCCTGCGAGCGACACTGACCATGGCTTAGCAACTACACCTTCTCGGCCTCCTCAGCCGTATATTCGTGCCCGGTTTCAATGACCAGTGGAGCTGCGCGGCTGGTGGCCAAACAACTAGACTCGGTGCCGGCGGATCATCCGTTTCATGAGATATATCGTCTCTTGACTGCCCGCGAGGGCAACTGGATCTCGTCGCAGTGGATGACCGAACGGCCAGGCGGCAGTGATGTACAGAACTCGGAGACCGTGGCCGTGTACTCTCCCCTTCCGAAAAAGACAGGCCGATTCGGATCGATCGAAGAGGGCGACTACCTCGTGTCCGGATTCAAGTTCTTCTCGTCGGCGACGGACTGCAATATTGCCCTGATGCTGGCGAAGACAGAATCCGGCCAGCTCAGTCTCTTCGTCGCACCGACCAGGAAGACCATCAACGTTCAGGGCCGGAGGCAGGAAGTCACCAACGGCATTCGCATCCATCGTCTCAAGAACAAAATGGGCACCAAGGAACTCCCGACCGCCGAGCTGGTCCTGGACAAGGTCAGAGCACATTTGATCGGCCCCCTTGACCGCGGAATCGCCACGATCGCACTGCTTTTGAATGTCACACGAACGCACAATTTCATCACCGCCCTGTCATGCTGGCGACGGGGCATGGCCATCGCCAAGTCATTTGCCACGGTCCGGACCACCATCAACCAGCCCCTGGCGACGTTCCCCATGCACCTCCGGCTCCTGGCGACCATGGAGGTCAAGCACCGAGGCGCCCTCCAGCTCGCCTTCTTCACCACGAGTCTGCTGAGCTTCGTGGACAATGGCTTCCCCCCGGAGCATGTCCAACGACACGGATACGTGCCTCTCCCATCTCCGGGCGAGCAGGCAGAAGTCATCTTGAGAACGCTGACGGCCACCGTCAAGGCTGTCGTCTGCAAGACTGCAACGCTTGCATTGCAGGAATGTCAAGAGGCCATGGGCGGAGTCGGCTATCTGGACGAACCCGAAGAGCCCGAGTTCAACATCTCGCGCCTGATGCGCGACACGGCCGCCAACATGACGTGGGAAGGCACCACGAACGTGCTGAGCAGTGAGGTCGTCAGACATCTGTTGAACAAGGACGCCCGATATCTGTCACGGTTCGGCGACTGGGTCAAGCAAGCAAACGCACACGTCCGCGACGCCGAGCTGAAGAAGACACTGGATCGAGCTTGGACGGAGTTTTCCGGGACTCTAGAAAGCAAGCGCGCAGACATGGTGTCAGCGTTGGCCATGGGACGGCAGTTGATGTTCACTCTCGCGTGGATCGTGGCAGGTGTCCTGCTCGCCCTCGACGCCGAAAGAGACGGCGATGCCATCGCCATGGAAATTGCTCGACGTTGGGTTCTGGAGGGTGAAGGCAATGTTGGCGAGTTTCATCTTCCGCGTGCCGTCCGAGTGTCAGATAGAGCGCTCGGAATCGGCGACAGAGACAGGATCAACTGGGACTGTAGATTAGTCTGGGGTTGTGATCTGCCTGCGGACGCGGCAAAAGGGTATCGGGTGAACACCGAAGGAGCCCGGCCAAAGCTGTAGGTACGGTATTCGATAAAGGAACGAACTGGACTTTGCCATCGTCAAGCCTATCATTGAGCTGACTGAATGGATCGATCGATTTCATAGGATGGTCCTAGCCTCGTGGACCGGGATGAGCGGGAGGTCCTGCGGGGCGAGGATGGTCCGAGGGAGGGTAGAGAACGGCCCATATTGAGAAGGGATCGATGTCGAGGAGATGAAGAAGCCGTCCTCTACGTGGGTGAACAGCGGCGAGGTATGGAGGTGCTAGGCCGGGGTGCCGTCGCGGCCTTGAAGGATCTCATGGTTGTATTGTGTGTTTAGACTGTGAATGGGGAGAGAGAGACAGCACGTCCAGTATTCTCAAACCGGAAGCACCGCGAACAGGGGGTCCATATCACGGACGTCGAAGCTATGAGACGTCTCCCAGGCTTCGAACACTCATCCGTCGTTATCAGAGGCTAGAGAGACTCGGCATTGGACAGAACAACAGGATCGAGGCTCCTTTCGTTGGTTCGTTGACAGCTGGCGCCCTGTCCCTGGCAGTGCGTTTTATCTACAGATTCCCCTGATAACACTAGGCGTACTATTGATTGCATATATCAAGTCCCATCCTGGCGTTCCTGCCTCTTCTGGCATGCCGCCCACCCGGCCTTCGGAACGAACTGACCTCTCTGTCTGAACGGACGACACACTAGGCATTAGCGTTATCTGGGCATCTTGGTACATGTCACGCCCATCTAGTAATGTCACAGTTTTCACGCCGGTCCAAGGTCAACGCCGATCAAATCTCCCTTGGTGGTGGTCCCCACCGAGATACTGTACTTCGACAATACTACCCGATGACGCTTAGCCGCCACTGAGTTAGTCCACACAGCTGTTGAAACGATACCCAGCGAGGATAGATGTCGGCAAAGTGACGTCTGCTCTCATCAATTCCCCCTGTCTCACTGGTATAGGACAAGTGTTGTACCCTGTTGAGAGGGGAGGCGGGCGTAACATGACGAGCAATAGCGGGATTCCGTCTCGGCCGAAAATCTGGCGGGACATAGGTGGCTGTAGGAGCGAATTCGCAAGACAAAGAGTTGGTGTAAGTACATAAGGGGCCTTCCTCCCTCCATTGAGTGAGTTTGTCCTCGTTACTGATCCGAATTCTATTGACCCCTATCGAAGGTAGAACCACCGCGAAAGTACCGAAGCTATCCAACTTCTGCCTCAACCACGCTCAAATGTATCTCTCAAAGCTCTTGTCTGTTGTGGCACTCGCTGCGTCCCTCTCCCCCGTTCTCGCTGCGACAATCAGCCACGAACAAGGACTGGAATTCCTTAGCGTGGTAGAGGACGAGTGGGCGAATTCGTCGGCCCTGCAGAAGCGTGACTGTCCTTATGGTAGCTGTGATGGTTGCTATGAGAGACAAACACAATGTGCCAATTTCAACAGAAACGAGGATTGCCTTAGTTGCGCGGCTTCCTGGTGAGTATTGGAACGTCTTGGTTAAACCCGGAATTGTTTGCTAATCTGGGTGTAGCATTGTCTATTGCGAAGCCAACTGCTGTTAAGGGAGCCCGTGGCAGTATTGCAACTTGACATTGGATGGTTGGTGTGGGAAAAGGGGGAGGTTTTCAACAAAACTTGCGCCCTGGGCTGTAAAAGATCATTCACTGCCCGTGCGGTGAGGGTAGAAGTGTTACAAGTCGATCTTTTACGCAACCCCTCAAGCAAGAATAGGAGGGAGCCAGTCCTGAGATAGGGAAGCATGGTCTGGCTGGCAAGGCTGAGTTACGTGACGCATTCTGGTGCTCAACGCCAGAGACCCGTGGAGCAGAGGGTACCCGTCCAAGGCCAACTGCATGTATACACTCATTGATAGAAGAGAGAGTTACACTCATGTGGACTTCTCATGCCTACCTTCAAGTGATCCCTGGGGTGACCCCTCTTTTGTACTTGGTAGTCGTTCCCAGCGCGTGTGTCCTCCCCCTCATACCCCTTAGTCGAGAGAGCCTTGGCGACTAGAGCCCGCGCGCTAATCCCTTGCGGCTTGATCGAGAGGGCAAAAGCTCCGCCAAGCAGCCAGGGGACCTCTGCATTAAACGTTCGACGTCTGCATAGTCGTACTGGGTAGTTGCCTAACCTCGGAGTGGCCGGGCTACTGTTGAAGCCATGCATTATGCGCGGTGCGATATGTCTGCTCTATAGGACGACAACAACCCTTGGCATGACTCGGAAGCGACAGTCCACCAATAGCGGTAGAAAGTATACGGACAGCACACTTGGCACCACGTTCCGCTGACACGCATTAATCTCCCGACAGGCATCATATCTGGAGCCAAGGCCTTCTCGACTGCACGAGTCATGATCATTTCGTGGATCATAACACATTCCCTCGGGTACGTTGACTGTAAGGAAGAATGCCTTCCATGCCCCGTCTGCGCTTGTACCCCAAGGGGAACTCTCTGGAGAGAATCCTTCAGGATTGCATAGATCACACTGGTTTCCCACTCCCGTCGGAGTCGACTACCTCGTGAGATCGAAGCGGGAGGCTGTGGGTGCGCGGGCCGCCGATACCTCCGGAGGAACCGTGATACAGCCAACAAAGCAGTCAACGCAGCAGCCGACACAGTAGTCAGCACAGTAGCCAACGAGGCAAATGAAGCCCATGGCCAACATCAACAACTGCCACTACAGGAGCGATGACAATCAGAACTGCATGCGTAGGACAAGCAATGCCCACGACACGACGGACCGTAGACTAGAAGCGGAACCAGAAGTTCAAGCATGCCGAGCGGGACATCATTCGCAAGGGAAGCAGAACAGGGTTGGCCAGGAAGCGAAGACGAGGCAATTAGATCATCACCATACAAGCACAGGGAGAGCATGGCCGTGAGCACATTACAAGGACCCCTAGCGTGGCAAATACTTCGGAGAGCCCAGTCCAGCACGCTCCTTCGTTAATTATGGACGATGAGAATACTCCCAAGGACGTAAAAGAGCACCGGCTGAGCTAAAATAACTTGGAATTGCACAGAGAATGCTGTCGCCCCCGACTGTCCATATAGACATATGGTCGGCACACTTTAGGACTTCCTACCCCTGCCATCTGAGGTAGGAGCGCCCCCGAGCAGCTCTCCACTACGCGGTAGGCACTAATAGTTAACGCAGCTGAGTGCTTTTTTATTTAGTGGTCCTATTGACAACGACTCAACGCTCAAAGAAAGAAGGAAGAGCCTCCCTCTCACGATCCGGGTGAGAGGAGCTCTTAAGTCTTTCCTCTCTCTTAGTGTCACGTGAGCCTGGCATGAGGCACTAATAACCGATAGCTACCAGCTTATGCATCTCCTACTTTCTAGCCACCCAATTCGGGTGGGGGATTATAGCACTTACGTAGAAGTGCTATATCCCCTTTCCTACTGTTGTATCCTGCTACCTTCTCCCGTACTATTCCCCAGTACCATTGGGTTCCAAACCCGAATTGGGTGAGAGACCTAATCGGGCTTGTAATAGCACCGGGTTCGTGACATATCTATAGCTGAGGAACTAACCCTCATATAGAGCATCACACTTACATTAGACGAATTCAATGCTCTACTATAGAGCGTATGTGGACGAGACCATGTTATTTATCAAGCTTCTAACTTCCTTTCCCGGATCGGATTTGCGAAATACAAGTCCATGCACATCTCCTCTGAAGGCAGCCTCAGGATAGGCGTCTCCTGCACATAGTTAAAAACCAGGCGCCAACAGTGAAATGCAATCATCTCCATTTGTAAGCCTTTACGGAATGCAATCTCGGCTCTCTCCATTCGACATGCTGAGTAGCAGCTCTGCTCAGCTAAGCCACAAGAATTGAAGAAACACCAATGAAAAGGAAGCATATGAGCGCAGATAAGCTACCCGCTCTTTCCGTGGCTTGCCGAAATGGACTTCATAATTCTGCATACAATACGGGGACGGGTAGGTCACTTGTGACTACTTCAGCATGCAGCTCGCATGGAGGATCGTCCTCTCAGAATGCGCGATCAACCGCAGCAAGGGTTCTCCAAGGACCCAGCACGCTCCCATCTCAGCAAGCCACCCTTAGCTTCTCCCGAACTGGTGTGGCGATGTTACACAAAGGATGCATCAGGTTCCTCAGGGCGCGCTCTTTCAAGACACCCGCCGTTGTTCAAATAGTCCGAGATGAGGAGCACCGAATTTTCTGTCCTCCATTCCACGCGGCGTCCCACCACCTGATAATGGCTGGCTGGCTGGCTGGCTGGGTGGATGGACGTGGATCCTCGAACGTCCTGTCGCCATCAACTTCTTGAACCAATCCTGACCGCAGAATCTGCTAGGGAGAGCAATGACTTTGCGCCTTCAAGGCATATTCTTGCAACATACCCCCCTTCAGTCCGCGCCTGACGACGAAACTCCTCATGGTCCAGGCCCGAGGTCGATGCGCGTGAGGCTGGCTGAGTATCAGCTTTGAAGGGCTGTCCAAGACCTGTCCAGCTGTTCCGTTACGTGAAGGCGGCGCTGGTCATCGTGAACGTGGAAACGACGTTGAATCTCCTCTTATATAAAGCAGTGAACCTCCGTCTGAAGCCTGGGGCAAGCTTGACCTCCTGCAGTACGTCCTTCCGACACATATCAACGCCTCAACAACATGTCTATCGTGCCATCCAACCTGACTTTCCTCTCCTGGGGCAGCACCGCGGGTCTTGTCTACAGCGATCCCAAAACCAACGTCGTTGCCTGGTTGAGGTATACTGGCACCGAGCTCAGTCCAACGGGCGGCGGCCAGCCTGATACGCAGCAATACGCGGTGCAAAATGCAATTCTAGTTGGAAAAAAGACCATCGTCGAGGCTCATCCTGGCAAGGTTGCAGCATTCCATTACTTGGACAAAGTGGGCGGCCAGGAGATATATCAAGTCTGTTTTTCCCCCAGTTCACAGGAGCCCGCCGCATTCTTTACTAATGAGTTCTGCCAGATTCGCTTGTACTACATCCAAAAGACACAGCCGAAAGACGACGCTGGCGAACCAAACCAAATCAGGCAAGTCTGTTATACTCAGTCAGTCGCCGACTTCAAGGCAAACAAGCCATCCGAATGGTATCGAGGTCCCAAGGGCGCCGATACTTTCGACGTCAAAAAGTTCATCGCCGCCCCGGACTCGCCACTCACCGTGGGGTTCGATCAGGGATTTGTGAGGCTCTACTACAAGAGGCCTGATGAGAACAAGCTGCGGGTTGCGTTCACCACCGGCAGCCCTTCTCCCGATGGGAACGACGTGTGGAAGGAGCGGGTGGCTGCTGAAAAGTTTTGACAAAGCCCAGCTGGGGCCCTGCAGAGATGCTGGAGGTTAGAAGTATGTAGTCTGGAAGTTTGGGTGATATGCTGAAGTGTATAACTACAGTTCGCCATTTCGACGTACGCATAGTGGGGGATGCTGGGACATCGGGCTGGTGTGGTGGACTGAAGGGAAAGTCGGGGGCGAAGTCATTCATTCATTCCTTTTGCAGGATCTAGTGACGAACAGTGGCATCCACTCTTTGGCATGTCCCTTGCGGTATCCTATTTGTCATGCTGTTTATCGAATAATAGCTGGTGATAGTACGGCGTAGTGTGTACGGGTCACTCGCCGGGCACGAGGCTAAGAAACCCGAGCCACGGGCTAAGGTCGCCAAGTACTCCACCGTAATCAGTAGGGTGGAGTGAGTAAGCATCAGTAACACGCTTACCATCCAATCTCACCATGAACAATTCACCACACCAGCTACACAGGATTTGTACCACACTTCCTACTGCTTGTTACTCTTCTGCATTCTCATGTTCTGACTAACGCTAGGCCAATCCACCAGCGACTCCCGCTGCGCACGTCAACGTCGCTCTGTAAGCACTCCCTTCGCTCCTCGGTGACTAGAAATTACTCAAAGGCCAGATGTATTGCGGACGTATTTTCATCGCAACCCCGCCACGATGGCCTTGCATCGCATCGCGCGTCGCGTACATGTCCTCATACTCACAATGTCACGACGACCTTCCGCGCCGAGACGCCCCTTTCCAGAGTATCAACCCCGGTCTGGATACATTCCAACCCGTGCCCCACCACCAGAGGCTCCGGCGCCGGGACAAACGTCCCCTCTTGAAGCGCCTTGGGCAAATACTCCCCCCAAATGGGCCCCGCAAGGTTATTATCCCGAAGTGACAGCGCGAGCATCTGCTCCATGGTAACGCCCACGGGAGGTTCCGGAAACCGGGGCGTCACGGTGGTGACGAATCTTCTCCCCTCCCCCGGTGTGTCCGATCGCGCTTTGGCCTTCTTGTATCCCTCGTGCAGATGGACGACCTCGGCGGCGGGGGCCCAAGCCGGCCCGCCGACGGCGTCGAACGCCCCGACCAGCGTCTTGCCCTCCAGGGCGGCGAGCACCTCCTTCACGACGTCCGCTTTGTTATAGTCGAACACCTGGCTCGCGCCGAGGCGGGTCACGTACGCGAAGTTGGCAGGCGACGCGGTCGCGACGACTTCGTAGCCCGCGCCGACGGCCAGCTGGATGGCACTGCACCCGACGCTGGAGGCGCCGCCCCACACGAGCAGCGTTTCCCCCGTGGGAGCACGCGCCGGGACGGTGGGCAGCTGCAGGGCGAGGCAGTCGACGTTGAAGAGACCGTCCGCGGCGGTCGACACGGAAAGGGGAAGCACGGCGGCCCGGTCGAACGAGATGGCGTCCGGGATCTTGCTCGTCAGGCGCGTCTCGAGCACCGTGTACGCCTGAAAGCCCATCTCCGTGTCGCGTTTCGTGTTGAAGCCGACGGTGTTGCCGACGACTCGGTCGCCCACGGCGAACCCCCTCACGTGGGGTCCGACGGCGACGATCTCCCCCGCGACGTCGTGCCCGAGAATGGTCGGGTATTTCAGCGGGTACAGCGCCTTGAATTGAAGCTTGCAGTCGATAGGGTTCATGGCCACGGCACGGTTCTTGACGAGGATCTGGCCCTCGCCTGGCGTTGCGAGCGGAGCGGGCTTGACCTCGAACGGATGCGCCTTTTCGGCAGTCAGCCAGGCGGCCATGTTGGAAGCCATGCTGTGCTTGATGCGTGTCGAGAGGAGAGAGTATGTCGCCGTGGGATGCGCGGATGTGGATAATTTGACTAATCGTGGTCGTCGTTCTGCCACGCGCTGGCCGTGTATGTATATCACTCCAGTTTCGTCTTGGTGCAACCGCACCAAAAAAGTACAACACAGGGATGCTTGGATCAGAGGGGTTGGAGATTCTCCTATACACAGCTACTGTAGCTACACGGACGACTTCCCATGCGTCCCTCAATTTAAACCCAGAGGCACACGGGACGTCAGAACACTCTATATACGTAGCCTAATCAAGATCTGCGGAAGTACCGTCTACAGTACCTGGTCGCCATCCTATCGGCCTTCTGGACTGCGGGCTCGGTTCTCATAAATCCGAAATCGTCAGTATCTCCTAATTAAACCCCTTGATTTGCAAGCCGGATGTACGAGTACAGGCCCCGTATATCCATCCATCCACGCAGCGGCGAGGAAATCTCGCCATTCCAGGCGTCCCATAAACGGTACAGCGCAGCGTCTCGGGTTCTCGCGCCTCCTACCAGAGTGCGCAAAGCTTGACAAATGACGGCCAGATGTCCCGTTGAGACAAGCATTGTGAATGGTTCGGACTGGTCAAAGACTCTCAGCTCGGCCGAAGGGCATGCGGAGGAACCACGGGCTTAACATGTCGCCTATCTCCCAAGACGGCAAATCTTGGACATGGAGTCTTTCCTAACTGTCACCTTACGCGCTCCTGCAAGATGCTGCTCGACACCATGCTACACAGCTCATACCGGGCCGGCTTAAACTTGTAATGCCTTGATAGCCGGGCCAGCGAGATCGCGGCTCCATCAGTCGTTTTCTCCAGCGCACGCGACGTAGCCGAAGATTGCGTCGTCCTCTGAAGTATGCCGTATGGTAAGGTCTAATGTTCTTGCTGTGTTCCCGCTTGTTCCCTCCTGCTTCAGTTTATCACCAGCCTCGGACTGTCGGCAAAACCCCAACTGTGTACTCTGTGCCCGCAGAACGGTCTGCATTGCACCCCCTTCTCAACCACCACCAACCTCGTTCATAACTCCGCCATCCAACTTCAAAACCTCCCCATTGACATACCCGCATTTCGTGAGGAAAATCACCCCCATGGCCATCTCTCCATCGCTGCCCGCCCGCTCAGCCGGCACGGCATGTCCCTTGTCCTTGACCTTCTCCGGTGGCATGTGAGCCTTATTCTTCTCGTCTGACTCCTTCATTGTCATCTCGCTTGGAAAATAGCCTGGCGCAATGCTGTTCACACGCACACCCGTCTTGCTGAACTCCTTGGACATCATCCTCGCAAGATGCGCCGTTGCAGCTTTCGAGGCATTGTAGGAGAAATGGGCTTGCGAGTGGCGCATCAGCCCGGACATGCTCGAAATGATGATTGCGCTGGCATCCAAATTTCGTGGTGCGGCCTGAAGAAGGGGAAGGAACGAGACGACGGAGAAGAACACGCTGATGACGTTCGTCTGGTACGTGTCTTTCCAGTCCTGGATCTGTTCGCCCCAGAGGTTTTCTTTCATTTGCTTGGCGTCGCTGGTATCCGGGTAGCCCTTTGGGCCAGAGACACCCGCAGCAGCGACCACGAGGGACAGGTATTTCTCTTTTGATTCCAGTTCCGCTGTTAGCTTCTGGAGGTCTTCCTTGGAGGTCACATCACATGGCCCGATGGGGATGATTTGACCAGTAGATGACGGGTTTGATGACTGCGGGCTGTGCGTCTTGGCCGCGTTGTCGAGAACTTCTTTCCTGCGTCCGGTGATATAGACTTTGGCACCTAGCGCAAAAAGTAGGTCAGATCAAGATGTTTCCCGACATTAGCCAGACTCTCCGTCAACGTCTATGACTTACCATTAGAAGCGAGGGCTTGAGTGGCCATTAGACCGATCCCAGTTCCTGTTGATTGTTGTCAGCTTGTTCCTCGTACATCTCCGGGGTACTATTTGTTCAGCTTGGATTTTCCTTACCGCCGCCGGTGACAAGACAGACATGATCCTTAAGTGAGAAAAGATTCGAGATGTGTAACTCGTCTGTCGACGCCATATTGTGATGTGTAGGCGATCTTCAAGCGTAATTTGAGGAAGGGAAGGCGGGAAAGATAAATTGAGTCAATTGTAGAGTCCAGCGATGATGGAGGATTTATGATGCGACATTGAATTGCCATGTCCTCATATATCGAGAATGATTGATTTACAGAGAGAGCCACCTGAAGCCCTGACGACAATACGTGACGTCACGGGCATAGTGCAGAGAAGGAGTCCGATTGCGGCTCTGTCCTCCGCTGGATTTCCACAGCCCGAAGACACTGTACCTGTTTGATTTTCACCCTTGCGTGCACTATTAACAAGACGGTACGCAGTGCCTGGTCTGTCCGAATCGTTTGCTGGAGCATGAAGAGACGTTCCATGACTTTCTAACACAGCACCAAAATCCGCTGAAGATGGAGGGTTAAAGCCGACTCTTCCTACCATGATTCTTTGCCCGAAATTCATGCATCATCCTCCTCCCTTCCGAGTCGAAACCATCTCCCTCAAAAGCCCGGCCGAACTCCCACACACCGGCGTGAATGGCTTCCTGCGCCGGAACCTGTTCCCATACGCTCATCAACCTCTTCTGAGCAGCGAGCGCTTTCGGTCCGGCCCTCAAGAGCATCTGCACCCATTCTTCCACAGCATCGTCCAATTCACTCGCTCCGACAACTCTATCCACCAGGCCCCAGGATTCCGCTTGCGCCGCTGGAATCATGTCGCCCAAGAGTAGTAGCCTCCTTGCCCGCGCAGATCCAATGATTGCAGGTAGCAACGCTGACTCCACTGTGCTGGGCACGCCCCTCTGCACCTCAGGCATCCCGAAAAGTGCGGTTGAGCTTGCAACCCGCAAGTCCGCTGCAGCTGCGATGAGAAGACCACCTCCGAGTGCGTGCCCATTGACCCTCGCAATGACGGGGACAGGTAAGTCCCGGAGTGCTTGGCAGGCCAGATGGATCTTGGTGATGAATCTGCGCGCGGCTTCGGCGTCGGGAAGGGTGCTCATTTCCGAGATGTCGGCGCCGCCTATGAAGGCTTGCTGCTTGGCTTGAAGGAGGGCGCCCGTTACAATGACGCAGCGGAGATTGGGGTGGTCGGACAGAGAGGATATGGAAGACACGATGGCATCTAGAACTGTGGAATTTAAGCTATTTAGTCGCGAGGGATTCGATATGGTGAGAGTTGCGACGGTGTCATTTCGACGCTCAGAGAAAGAGACTGCAACTGACGCAGTGTCGCCATCAGGCCCTCCCATCGCGGCTTTCCAGTCTGAGATATACCAGGTATTGAGCAGTTTCGTGACGGAGAAGCTCTGTCAGCTCATCTCGTGCAATCGACTTGTGAATCTGAAGATTGTTGTGGTCAGATGCCAGATCGGAATGATTTCTGGAAAAGAGCAGAGTGTGGGGTAAAAGCTGGGGATCGGATATAATTCGGTTGGAAACGATCTTGGTGTCGGATGGTGGACGCACACGGCGTATTCGTAGTGCGTGCTGGCTGAGCTGTCATGGAAGACAGAATCCCAGGCCTCGGTACTCTGAAATGGACGTCTTTATGCAGCGTAATGACAGTGCGGCAACCTTGCTGGCACCCACATGGGCATGAAAAAGCTTCTCTGCCATCGAACTTTCAGTGTTGAACCGTGCCTCTCCAACATTCCCCCAACATCAATTTCATTCCTTATCCGCACTCAATCCTTTCCCCTTTCAAGCGGGAGCATCTTCCATAAGGAGCATGTCACCGACTCTTGAAAATGCTCGACATGCCCGTGTATCTCCACAGCAAAGCCTGCTGAACCTGACTTGGCGTAACCTGGCGCTGGCAGTTGTCGCCTTTTGCCGACGGTGTCGACCCGAGCATCTTTACGCTTTCGAAGCGCCACGCGGTAAGCCGTCTGAGGGCAAGAAGTAGTCAGTGGGCTACTAACCCGGCGGGTGGTGTCGAGAACCGCCACCGTCTTCAAACAGGAAATTCCTGTCGTGGCTTTCGTTCAGCTGATTCCGGCAACACGACCATGTGATCACGCTGCCAGGGCCAGGGCAGCCATCGCCCGGACACCAGCTTCAGTCTTGTGGCCTCCAATGAAGCCGCTTGCATGGACAAAGACAGCTCCATTTTCAACTGCGTCACCCAGCAGAGCATCCAGTTCTTCGTCTCTGACACCGCGCCACGGTTCTGGGAGGCTCTTCCTATTCTCGAAGCTCGAAAAATCCTTGCTGACCGCCTGAATTCTCCATTTCGAGCCGGGCTCTTCTTTCTCTGGATAGATCACAAAGAGGATCCGTCTGTCTGTCGGAAGCTTGCTTTCCTCCTCAATATTGTACAGGTGTTCTTTCCACGGGATCCCAGCACGAGGCAGTACCATGAGCTGACCAGACGGATGAGCGTCGGCTCGAAGGTCGAATGCTTCCTTGATAACGGCGCGAGCAGGAAGCCAGGCGGTGGCAGCGCCGTGGAGCTTGCGCAAGAAGGCAGTACCCATCAACGTCGATGCCTGAGAGAACCGGTAGTCCTCCTCGGCCTGCGGTTGTTCTGCAGTCGCTCTCGATGGAGCACCTAGCGGGAGGGGATCTTCATGGTTCAGATCATTGACCAGGCTGGCAAGCGTGATGCCGGTGTCTTTGAACTTTTGCTCGATACCCGCCTCTTGCAATTTCGAGCCGTCGTATTTGGAGATTCCATTGTCGTTGGCGTCGACCGCCTCGATGAAATCATCGTACAATTTGCGGAAGAGCAGTTCGACATCAGGATGATCGACAGGGAGTTTGGTATGCTGAGCGATAATGGCTTTGCCAAAATGCATGTAGACTAGCCCGGCGGAGGAAAGTCTGGTCTTGTGGTCGGGGAAGGCGGTGTCAAAACTTCGCTGATGGTGGTCATATCGATTCTTCAGAGCGTCATATTCACCGCCGACATCGACAACAGTGTGACAGGTCTCCAGCACGGCTGGATCTCGAGTGCGGACAAGGGCAGCCGAGGCGTACTCTGGGAGGAGCCGAAGCATGTAAACTGCCAGGGCTTCATCTGCATGAAAGTGACCATTATGAGTTCCAATCAAGGGAGGATTTGCCTTGAGCCGCTTCGTCGCTATTTCTGCAGCCATTCTGGTCAACCTACGGAACATGCGCAAGTGGAAGAACAGATGCCTGATGCTGGTTTCACGGTACACCGACCGGAAAAAATATACAATTTGATCGCAGCCAAATTCTGGGGAAATGCCGGATTAATGTTACGCCGAGCGCCTGGCGCGCACCTAGATTCTTGTCCGTTGCGTGTTTGCAATCTGTCCTTTTGGACAGCAGCGCGTCGCTATCCTGTGAACTGCGTAGAATGCAGACAGCGTACAGAGTAGATGCCTTGCCTTGGCTGGCCTCCTCGCCTTGAAGCCTCCTCGCCTTGAACATCCCAAGTCGTCGGCTCTCGGGCAGCGATCCGAGGCAGGGACCAAGCTATTTGAGGAAGACCTAGGCGGGATCCAGATCTCAGTGGGGTAGTGTTAGTTAATAGTGACTGCCAAAGGCGTTACAATCTGCGTTGCGGACATGTGGCTATCTTGCGGTGAAGGACGTGTGAAGGGATGCTGGGCGGTCGCATAAAAGCTCCCAGCAGAGAATGAGTGTCACGACTTGAGCAAGCACAATTCTTCCAAGGTCCTGCAGCGCCCCTGCTTGCCCTGCTTCCCCTGCGTAGCCCTGCTGCTCTGCTCTGCTCTGCTCTGCCTGCCGCCAACGTGGCGTGGCACCTGACGTCTGTTGATCGAGTTTCTTGAAATCTCGCTGGCCACCTTGACCTTGATTTTGCCAGTCGAATCGCGTAGCACGCGACTTCCTCTTTCGACTGCCTATTTCTTTTCCCTCCCTCACTTTCCCGTCACCAGAAAATAAAACCACGCCGCCGCTCTTTTCACGCCACGATAGTCAACCCAGCTTCCACCGCGAACACAACCGGAATGACATGTGAAAATCCAGACGGCGATATCACCACGAACTACACAAGGCCAGTCTAGCGGACGACGCGGCACTCGAGCCCACGGAGGCCATTCAGACGCTGGGGACAGACAAACCTCTGCTCCCATGACTGCACGGGTCAATCTGTTGTGACTGCAAATTCGCTCCCTGTTGGCACACCCCGCCATCGTCCAACCCACCGACCGACCGAATGTTGTTCCGCGCCCTCTCCGCGATCCTCTTCCTGACGCTCATTATTGTCCTGATTCCACTCACCTTTGATGTGGGCGGACGCGACGCCGGTCTGGCTTTCTCTCTTTCGATATCCTCCTTCTACTTCTTCCTCTCCCTCTTGCGCATTTCGACGCCAGATGGATCCAGCTTCAGGCAGGCGATCGTCAACATCCTGCGCGGCCTCCAATTGCTGATATTGCCCATCTTATGCATCTGGGCCCTGGGAAGGTTCTCGGTCGACGCAGACAACAGTTCAGGCTGGGTCGAGAGGACGTTCAGAACAAGCAAAGATTTTCTTACACCAAACCCAGATCTTTGGCAGTCCATCGTCGGAAGAGAAGGTCTAGTGGAGAATGTTACACTCGGGAGCTGGGACATTATCCTACGCTGGTCATCGCCAATTTTCCAACTACTCGAGGGTTTCTGCAGCCTCCTAGTCATTCAAGCTATCGGCCAGTTCTCTCGATGGCTGGTCAACCGGAGCGAATGGAGCGATGCGTGGCTGCTCACCTTGCTGGTCACTTCCGCAGGAGTCGTCTCCAGTTCGGTCTATTTCCTCTGGAGAGTGCTGCAGTTCCCGGACATCTCGAGCCTCGACTCCATGCTCATCGGCATTGCGATTGCATCAGCCATATTTCTCTGCGGATACGGAGTCGTCTCAGGTCGTGGCACAGCTACTGAGTCCTCTTTGCTGTTTGCATACATTGTGCTCTGCATATACCAGATCTTCACCGACTACAAGCCGAGTGTTTCCCCTGCAGAGGCCGCTACCGCTACCGCAGCCCCCGACTTTCCGCCATTTCCACCCATCATCATGTCTTCCTACACTGCTTTGATGGCGGCCCTGTCGTCCCTTCCAGGTGCATTAGTCAATGCGTTGGACTTCATTGCTGCAGCCTTCAGAGCAGTCACACCGTCCGTCCTGATTTCCCTCGGATATCGACTATTCGTGTTCTATGCTTCAACCCGCATCATTCCTGCCATCAATGAAAGCGGCGCGCACGGACTCAGTATGGAGCCATCTCTTGAGGACAACAATGCTGGAAATCAATTCTTGGCGTTTCTGTCCTGGTTCTCACCCAGCATCCTCATTGCAGTCTACACCAGCCTTCTTATGCAGCACTTCGCAACCACCATGGGTGGCTATGCTCCAGGGCTGACCGAGACGATCGGGGCCTGGTGGAGCGGCAACGGCGAGCCGGCAATGAACGGGAATCTGTGGAAGTGGGTCAATCTGGTCGGCACCATGACCCTCTATGCCATTGAGCTGTGGTTGGGCAAAGAGGACGACATCAATGGTGAGCATTGGAAAGTGGATTGATGAAACAGAGAAAAACGTGAGATGATTGATAGATTCGCACCAGCGTCATGGACTCAGTGTCTTGAATGATAATTGAACCACTCGTTCATAGGGACCACAGCCTGGGGGCTTGCGGGTTTCAACGAGAATCGGCGGCACATCAATGTTGGAGTCGCACCATCGGCGGAGAAACCGTTCGATCCCATGGAACCACGGTGGCGAGCAATGCACCAAGATGATCGGCAGCAGAGTGCCACTCAACATGCAGCGGGTGAGCAAAGGCTGTGATCTGCAAGCATCATGACGAAGCGGGAGTTGGTGTTCTCAAGAGGTGCAAACGCGTGTTATCACGAGTCAGTCCGACTGCCCACATTAGCAGCCAGTACAGGTGGGCGCAGGAGAAACACAGGTCCCGATTGATGACCTTCGAGGCGTGGGGGTCCGAGGCTCTGGACAAGCAGAAGCTTACAGTACAGCGTGCGGGCTGGGGATGACTGACAGATTTCTTGGATGCGAAGGGCGGGTAGTTCAGGCCCAGCAAGGTTGTGTCGGTCTGCTCGGCCACGAGAGCGAGACCCTGCGGTGGGATGGAGCAGTCTGAAGCGCGATGTAGCCATTGGAAGGCACGGCGCAGCACAGCACAGGACAAAACAAGACAGGATAGGCAAAAGTGTGCTCGCCGCCTCTCGAATAGTGGATAGGTTAACTAGCACACACAGTGGACTCAAATGACAAAATCGAATTCGAACGCAAAGTGAGGCTCCCGCCTCTGGG